GCTTTCGATTGCGCGTGGCAGGCACGTACGCTATCGTTTGAAGTGGTGGAGGAGATGCAGAGGTGCGAGCGGTGAGAGTTTGTGGCTACTGCTAGAGTTGTTAAGGCGAAAGCAGCCACCATGGCTGGGCAATATGGCTTGTTTGCCGGTGCGGTATGTGCTCTTGTAGGCCGATAAGCAGTATGCGGTGTTGGCGACGAGTGGGCCAATAAGCGGGCTCACGCGAGCAGCTTGTGGCGGTGTCCGGGCATTTATTCTCTGTCCCATGAATGTAGGGCGGTCGAGAGAGCGCTGGTGCGTGCTTATGAGCACGTATGCATATCGGTGTGTGTGTGTGTGTGGGCATTCTTGGTGAGCTTGTATAAAGTTGTATACCAGTGTAGGAAGAGAATATGCGAATGGGTAAGAGGCGAGAGAGAGTTCTCGTGGATACTGTGAAGCCACAGTTTAATTAAATTGTTTTGCTAGCCGGCACTGTGTACCCTGGTTCAGAGCAATTGATGATGTAGCGGCGGCGGCATCATAATATTATTATGATTATGCATAGGTATAATGCTGAGGGTACAAATACACCTTCTGTAGTGGGGGTGCCATGGCTTCTAGGTTAATATTTTTGGTGCAAGTGGGCATCATGCTGTATGCGTGTGGTGTGACGCCTCATGCCAGGCCGTTGTGCGAGTTCTTGGCCTCGGTGGTCGTTCGTTTGCCCTCACTGGGCAGTATGAGATCGGCCACAGCGGGCAGTATGAGATCGGCCACAGCGGGCAGTATGCTTTTGCCCTAGACGGACAGGTTGTCGACCTCGGTGGCTGTTCATTTGCTCAATAGGCAGTATGACTCTGCCCTCGGTGGGCAGTATATGATCGGCCCACATTGGGCAGTATGCTTTAGCCCTCGGTGGGTACTGCGCTTTACCCCTTGGCGGGAAGTTTAGCCCGTTAGCCCTTGGTGTCGCGTACGCGAGCTTCGTGATTTGAATCTCGATTACTTAGTTATAATTGTATTACTTCCCTTTTTCACGTCTGCTCTACGCGACGTCATTGGCTTTCCCCAGCTCCCCTTGTGAGGCGCATGTGCCCTCCTTTTTCAGGGCTTTTTGACTTTGCTGAGAGAGATGCTAAAAATGTATGGCAATGCCCCAGTGATGAATGTGATTTCGTGTAGAAGCATGTAGCCATTTAGATGCAGGAGTGAACCCAGGGCGCAGAGGTGAAATTGTTCACCACATTTTGGTCACCTAGAGCCGACGTGAAAAAGGGATGAAATTGGTTGTTCCAACGAGGAACACACGCTTCTTGCCGAATTTGACACTTGACTGACTCACGACTGCCATCCGGAGCACACGAGGAGCACGTTGCACCTTCCACTCGGCAAACCTACAAGAAAGCACCACTCCCTGCTCAATACATAAGACTTGCATCGAGCGTAATTTTAACATCTTTAATCAAAACGAAGTCATGGCGACCCCCAACCCTATTGTGAGTGAGCGCGTGGGTACGTCGTTGTACGCACAGACGGGGCTTGGGAGTGTATGCAATTATGTTTGTGCACATAAATGTGTTCATGTGTGTGTGCACGCGCATGGCCCTGCGCATGTGCGTATCAGGAGGTGTGCCCGCAGACCTGGGTGTGTACCCGTGGGCCTGGGCTAAATTATTATAGTTTTGATCATGCTAGAACACGCTTTCCGATTTGTTTGTAGAAAGGCAACTTCAAGGATGGCAGTCGTGAGTGATTCAAGTGTGAAGTCAGTTGACGAAAAAGCGTGAGCTGCGGTGTATGGAGCACCTTTCCTATGGAAGGCAATTTGTCAATATGATAGATTCAATTTTCTGTGCACCAGAGACTGGTCACAGAGGACAAAATGGACTGCAGTTTGTTTCCTGTTGTAAAGAGGCGTTCAAGGTTTCCCCCTTGCAGTTATAATTAGATAGGTGTGACCTTTGATAGGAACCACGCTACTGTTGTTGTTGTTGTTGTTGTTGTTGTTGTTGTTGTTGCTGTTGCTGTTGCTGTTGCTGTTGCTGTTGCTGTTGCTGTTGCTGTTGCTGTTGCTGTTGCTGTTGCTGTTGCTGTTGCTGTTGCTGTTGCTGTTGTTGTTGTTGTTGTTGTTGTTTGGATTTTGAATTTGAATTCTTTATTCTCACGATGGCACCATCGCCAAGAAGAGATTGTTGTTGTTGTTGTTGTTGTTGTTGTTGTTGTTGTTGTTGTTGTTGTTGTTGTTGTTGTTGTTGTTGTTGTTGTTGTTGTTGTTGTTGTTGTTGTTGTTGTTGTTGTTGTTGTTGCTGCTGCTGCTGCTGCTGCTGCTGCTGCTGCTGCTGCTGCTGTTGCTGTTGCAGTTGCAGTTGTTGTTGTTGTTGTTGTTGTTGTTGTTGTTGTTGTTGTTGTTGTTGTTGTTGTTGTTGTTGTTGTTTATATTTATTTTACTTCATCAAAAAAAGCTGTGACGTCCGGTTCTCACAGGATGCTCTCCGGACTTACACCATAATTATAGTCTTGCGATCATTTGCCTGTACATGATGCATTTCTTTATCCCCTCAAGTTTCACGAGTGTTGGCTATTGCCTTCTTTGTTTGCAGACAAGCCAGTGTTGATGCCTGGCCAGCAGGATACGATACACGTTGACAACAGCTCACAGACATTCGTGACCAGGATCAACGTAGACCTGACGAAAACATTCGGACCCGGACCCCTCGTTTACAGGTGGCGTGCCATGTCCGTTGGGGAGCTATGTGGCTGGCCAGGGGAGGACGTCTGTGTGCTGAAGAGTGATTCTGAAGAGCTTCACGTTGTGCATCTGAAACAGTAAGTGCTTTGGTGGTTGTTGTACAGAAAATGTGGTAACCAAGCTACATCACAGTTTATGCCGTACTGATCTAGCCAGGCAGTGGGTTGGTCTAAGACCATGATTGAGATACGGGAGGTGCCTGGTTCAAGTCCTGCCTGGGAGCGGCTTTGTGCACTCACGTTGTGCACTCGCCTTGTGCACTCGTGTTGTGCACTCGCCTTGTGCACTCGTGTTGTGCACTCGTGTTGTGCACTCGTGTTGTGCACTCGTGTTGTGCACTCGCTTTGTGCACTCACTTTCCATTGCTCACATGCTCTACTCTGCTTGCCCTGTTCGCTTTTGCACTTGCGTAATTCTGGCACCTCTGCATCAATGAAAGCTTGCGTCGCGTCCCACTGCGGTATCTGGTATGACTTTTTGAAATTGCGCTGCAAACAAGCCTAAAATTGCAAACATTCTCGGGCAAAATTGGTATGCTGAGATCTTTGTGAAGTTTAAAGTAGAAACAGTGGTGCAAATGCAATCTTCAACCTGTGCTATCCCAATATTGGCTGCGGGGACAGCTCTTTAGAAGCTGTTCATAAGACCGATGGTGGCTTTGATCTGAAGGTGCATGGTTGTATTGCTGTAGGTGATTTTTTGCCAATATCTCCAGTTGCTCAGGTCAATATCAAGGGTGTGTTGAGAATAACTATGGGGAAACGTGCATCATGGTGCACGTAATCGTCAATTCATGTAAGTAGTGACATCATGTTCAGGTATGATGACATCATGTTCAGATGTGATGACATCATGTTCAGATATGATGACATCATGTTCAGATATGATGACATCATGTTTAGATATGATGACATCATGTTCATATATGATGACATCATGCTCAGATATGATGACATCATGTATAAAATATGACTGAGCATGTGCTTTGTGTAATAACGCCCAATTGGTGGTGCTGATTTTAACCGGGGTCGGATAAATGCTTTTAATGAACTCATGAATATATTGTATATACATACGTCACATGACCACATTGGGCAGCGGCCATGTTGGTTCCTAATCAATATCTGTCGCTGCATCACTAAGTCACCTGATGTTGGCCGTGACTAGCTTCACAGTCCATATATCATGCACAGTTTGTGTACAAACATGGCTGAGATATTACAGTGAATGGCCAGACTACTAGCACTACAGTAGAGTTGCGCGCCCAAGAACGTTGTTTCCAGGGGGTTAGCCTAGGACGTTCTTATTTTTTCATCAATCTGGCTGCGTTCTTATAGCACGTTCTTAGAACCAATCGGTACTGGATTGTATGTTACCCACAGGCTCCCAGAAAACCAACACCGCCGTTCTTAACTTTAGGCTGTGGCGTTCTTAGTATTTCAGGCTGGACGTTATTGGGCTCCACGTTCTTCAGCGCGCGACTCTGCTGTAGGTCCTACATTCCTACTTTCCCAGTACATGTACATGTACACAACAACTTATCTCATTGTGTGTGTGAAGATTGCACATCAAGTGTACCAAGGTACAAGTTACCAGAGCGGGAAGTATAAACATGCTTGTTCATGTCTGGGTCACTTGTTCAGCTACCTGCGACCTGCACCCTGTCCTGTTGGGACCATTCTCTCAGCAGCCGGCCTATGTAGCAAACATCACTACTGGCGGTGAGCACGTGGAGAACGCATTGTTCTACTTTGACTATGTGGTGAGTAGCAGAACTGTGTGTCTGGTCTCATACACAATGTCCTAGAGCCAGCTATGTAGTTTGGAGCTTCATGGCACCACTTGCGGAGTAGTTCTGGCAAGGTCTGTAGGACTGGTCCTATTTTGATGGTAACGGATGCAGTGCATGAAATACTTCTTTTCAGGTACATTACTTGTGCTGTATGTTCCGCTATTGGGCTAGTGATGGATAGGGGTGAAATGCAAAGAGAGCACTTGAGCAATCCGACAAGGTGCTATCATGCTACTTGTTAGCAATGTGAGGAGTTCACTGTGTCGTGTGTCATTTTCCACGATGTGCTTAGGCCAGTGGGGACTTACAGCTGATGTCACACAGTGTCAACTCTTCCAGTGATGCTATATTGCCAGCCGTGATCGCCGGTGGCGACAACACGACCAGCCCGGTTGAAAGCCTGCACTGCTGTCAACGAGCCATCATGGCGGCTGGAAGTACCTACAAGATCTGCACGATACCGGAACGTAATAAAACGAAGCAGTGCTTCAAGGGTCTGGTCTCTACTCCGGCGCTAGTGCGCGAAGTCATACCCGTGACGGTGTCCCACTTGACTGTACAGCGAATGGTCGGTATCGGCGTTGGAGTGTTGCTTGCTCTCCTGCTGCTCATCATCACCCTGGTTACCGGTGAGTGAAGTGTGCTGACATATAGCCACACTACATAGCAACTCTTATGCATGCCGCTAATAATACAGATAGTACACCTGCTTGATGGACATGCCATGTGCAAGCTAGCAAAGTGATGGGGGCAAGGCAAGCTATGTTGGCATTGCTTTGTTGGGCCACGCAGGAAAGTCATCAACAACGGCCATTCCCTGTTTCAGCCTAAGGGCTCTCGCAGGTCTTGAAAAAAATTGATTGGTGTAACAAAGTGAATACTTGCATACAATCTGGATGTATGTTCTGAGTTTTAGGCAGTGCTTGCACTCCACGTACTCGGATACTGGGAGTTCTACTCTTTGAGTCTCAGTTTCATACTTTAAGCTGTCTTTTTAATGAATACATGTGAATATTGTACCGCCATTTTTAAACACTTCCATTCCTGAACAGGCTCTTAGCTGCAGAGAATGAATGAAGCCAATATTGGGAGTCCTTCATTCATTCTGTGCGGCTTAGAGCCTGTTCGGGAATGAAAGTGTTTACAAGTGGAAAGAAATCGCTGCAGTAGAGTGCGAGAGTTCTTTGGGAAATGTACTTTACTGATAGGACAGTTCTTTAGATTGAAGGACGCGAGGAAAGATATTGCGATAGAACCTTTGGCTGGCCATGCTCCATTTACTCTTTCTCAACCCGTCACCACCATTCGCTCTCAGCAGAACCAATGTACAAAGCATAAACAATGGGGCACTTGCGCCATTTCTGCTGTATAAGAATGATCATTCATTTACACTCCCTTATCATCATTATCGTCCTCTACTGATGAGCTCGAAGGAGCGAAACAGCTGTCTAGAGGCGTAACAATTATCTGTCAATGGAAGTTTCCTTGCTGTGCTGGTGTGTTTATGCTTGGTGCATTGGTTCGGCTGAGAGGGCATAATGGTGGCGGGTTGAGAAAGTAGTGATGTGAGGATAGGGCAATTCTTAGGCATAGTCTTGATACTTGAAGTACATGTATGAGTTTGTTCTGTATGGCAACACTTTGTTGTACCTCTTGTGTGCAACATTGCTTGTATACCTCTTGTGTGCAACATTGCTTGTATACCTCTTGTGTGCAACATTGCTTGTATACCTCTTGCGTGCAACATTGCTTGTATACCTCTTGTGTGCAACATTGCTTGTATACCTCTTGTGTGCAACATTGCTTGTATACCTCTTGTGTGCAACATTGCTTGTATACCTCTTGTGTGCAACATTGCTTGTATACCTCTTGTGTGCAACATTGCTTGTATACCTCTTGTGTGCAACATTGTTATACGATGTTTGCAGTACGCCGCCGAAGGTGGAATACCACCACAGCACTAACAGAGAGCGAGGGTCTCGATTTGGTGGATTCCGGTGAGAATGGCTACTTACCTTAGTCTCACTGCCTTTTGAACTACTCAGTATCAAAGAGAATGAATGCGCTTGATTATGTTGAGCTCATCATGTTTTGTCAGTAGGCATTTTGTGTTTGTGTAACGTACATTTGTAGGTATGTGTGTAGGTGTCTGTGTGCGTGTGTGTGTGTGCGCGTGCGTGCGTGTACGTGTGTGTGTATGTGTGTATATATATATATGTGTGTGTGTGTGTGTGTGTGTGTGTGTGTGTGTGTGTGTGTGTGTGTGTGTGTGTGTGTGTGTGTGTGTATGTGTGTGTGGTGTGTCTGTGTGTATGTGCATAAATTCACTGGTGTTAGTGTGTTTTGAGGTAAAATCATTTGCAATGATGCTGCGGTGTGTGTGTATGTGTGTGTGTGTGTGTGTGTGTGTGTGTGTGTGTGTGTGTGTGTGTGTGTGTGTGTGTGTGTGTTTGTATTTGTGTGTTCAGATTCTGATGATGAGATTAAAGATTCTCCAGTGTCTCACGAGATTGTTGTACCAAGTAAGTAAATTCAGCGTACTCGCATGCAAACCTTCCGTGTTTGGCTGTACACAATGGTAGTATAGCATCAGTCATGGAACTCACTTGAACCATGCATTGTATCCTTGATGTAGAAGCTAATCTCAACAACAACTCTTTAAAGTGCAGGGATATGCTTGGTTTTGATATTGCCACCGCATCTGGGTTGAATTATGATATGTATATACGTAGGTTGTCAAGGGTCTTGGAACAGCAAGTCTGTACCTTGATAGACGCTGAGCCTGTCCTAACTACGGAACATGGCCAACATCAGATCTAAGGCACGCCGAAACGGGTTTGAAGAGAATTCTGAAAGGTTCAGACATAAATATTCTAGTTGGAGACAAGATAGCAATTATTGATAGAAACACAACCAACCCACAACTAACAGACACCAATGCGGTTTGACAGAAACATTTTTCTCCAGAATTCTTCAGTGGCTACTTCTGTTTATTCTCCAGAATTCTTCAGTGGCTACTTCTGGTTTTTTTTCTCCAGAATTCATCAGTGATTACCACCATCTGCCAGAATTAGCCACTGGTGAATTCTGAAGAAAAACCAGAATTAGCCACTGATGAATTCTGAAGAAAAAACATAATTAGCCACTGATGAATCCTGAAGAAAAACCAGAATTAGCCACTGATGAATTCTGAAGAAAAACCAGAATTAGCCACTGATGATTTCTGGAAAATAATGTTTCTGTCAAACCGAATCGGTGTCTGTTGGTTGTGGATCGGTTGTGTTCCTATCAATCGTGGTAAGACATGCATGAACATACATATACATATTCCTATCCCAGTATCAAATGCACTGTCCATGGAAATTGTCCTATTCCAAATCAACCCACATACCTCATCCTTTCAATTTTCTTTGTTTTTTATTATTATGACAGTCCGTCTCTGTGTTATGTTGGGATGGTTTCAGGTCGAAAGTCCAAGGCGAAAGGGCAAACGAATGGCATTGCGGGCAGTCATCATGCCAATACCAGCCGCCAGAGAGGCAGCAGTACAGCAACACTGTATGCGGATGGTGCGATACCGGTGGAGGCCAGTGGTGAGTCCTGCACGTGCCCCGCTATGTCAACTTCAAGACCAGCTGCTGTTCTCTGCTTGTCTAGATATAATGGCTGCCACTTCAGTGCAGGCTGAGTAGACTAATCTTAACTAGGGTCTAGCGTGTGGAGCTTTATGCCGAACATGTGTGTTTCTAGTGGAGAGCCTAGGTGAGTACTGACTTAGTATGCATGGCTAGTGAGGGGATTATCACTTCATCACTACCAGTAGCAAAGTCAGGCTTCATTGACAATGTGCTGTATCAACCATCCTTAGTTCGGTGAGTTGTTGGTAGCCAACCAATACCTTAGCTGGCACCTTGGCAGTGTTTTTCAAATTATCTGGCATCTGTGATATAGTATTTTGAAGGTTTTTTCCGCTGCATGCAGTCGCCTGTTCTACATGTAGGAGTAGATTGAAATGATGCGTTTCAGTGCATGCTGTACTTAAACACAGGCCAGCAATGGTCAAGGTTACACTCTAACTCACGTTACTGGAAGAGTGTACTCAACTAGTCAGGTTTCACTCTAACTGGAAGCGTGTACTCAACTATAAAACAGAGAGGTTCCAGGCTGTCCAATAGACTGCTCAATACCGGAAAGCAGAGCTATTTCCAACAAGAATAAAGGATGAAAAAGTGTTTTTTCTCCGAGTTTCACGCTCTACGCGATCATCAGATAACACACTGAACAATGCATGGACCAGGCAGACAGAGCTCTTCCTCATCCGGTGACATCATCCCCTGGCATCTACATAGCTGTGTCTGACATGTGTATCACTGACTTGATGTGCTCTCAGATGATGGTGCTGCAGAAAAGTCAACTCTTGCGAGGTCATCTCCAGGCACGCCCAGTGCAACTCTTGCAAGTGCTGGTAAAACAAAAGAAGGTAAGAGATGTGTGCAGATAACTTTCCGGATCAACAACATTATCCAGGGCATTAAAGAACGACGTTTGGATAAAGGTACTGAATTACAACATCGGTATGGATGCAAGCACAGTTTTCCAGCTATATATTACTCATACAGTAGACCTCAATCATCCATGTGACAGTTCAAGAGGCAAAGTAAACAGAACAGAGAACAGAGAAAATACAGGTGGTCATTTTGCTTCAAATATATCCCAAGGTCTGGAAGAATTTGAGTTGAGTTTGGTGAATTGGCTAAAACTAATGGTGGATTGTTACTTAGCGTGTGCGTGGAGGACTTTCCTGACTGCCATTATAAGAGAAAGGGCTCAACCAATCCGTGATGCATTCTATTCTTCTGTCTTATTACAATACCGTAAAATTCCGTAAATAAGCCCACCCTAAATAACGCCCATGTCCAATAATAAGCCCAGCTTTAGGCGGTGTACACTTCCAGTCCGTTTTAGCGCCCATGCCCGAAATAAGCCCAGGGCGTAAAGTGGACTCAAAATGACCAGCGCGCGAGCGTACCTGTTGCGCCTTGTTCTTACCATAGCAAGTGGTTTACCTATCTAATCTCTAATTTATCCCTACATTCTTGGTTACGACCAAATTTCCAGCTGTGGTTTGATGTACCTGTACCGCGCTCAGTATGAATGGTGGTTCACTGAAACTAGTTAAGTGGGTTGCTGATAGATTGATCTTCTGCAGGTTGCGTCCGAAATAACGCCCATGCCCTAAAATAAGCCCATGCCCAAATGTACGCCAGGTTTTGACGCTCGGCAAAGTATACGCCCGGGGCTTATTGACGGAATTTTACGGTATGTCCTTTGTGCAGAGCAAAGTCCGCATGCGGCAGCGACAGCGATGCTGAATGTGGCCTTCTCCGGCATATCGGAGCATCTAGCAAAGCCCGAAGAAGAGGAAGAGGAGAGTGCAACGACAACACTGATGTCTGTGAAGGAAACATCAAGAGGTAGGTATGAACAGAGAATTTGAATTTGATGGAGGTGTCGCTGATACTGAAAACATCGCATGGACACGTGACGCACCATTGAATTGGTCACCATTGATTTTCACATTACTGTCCATGTGTAATGTCAAGCTACGGAAATGTGGATTCTATTCCAACCAGGATTGATTAATTTTTTGATGACCTCCCATCTGGGTTTGGCTGTAATCTCATCACTTTCACTTGCCATTGGTTACCGAGATATGGGGATGTATGTGTGCATGCGTGTATTTGTGTGTGTGTGTATGTGTGTGTGTGTGTGTGTGTGTGTGTGTGTGTGTGTGTGTGTGTGTGTGTGTGTGTGTGTGTGTGCATGTGTGTGTGTGGTGTGTGTGTGTGTGTGTGTGTGTGCATGTGTGTGTGTATGCTATGTGTGTGTGTGTGTGTGTGTGTGTGTGTGTGTGTGTGTGTGTGTGTGTGTGTGTGTGTGTGTGTGTGTGTGTGTGTGTGTGTGTGTGTGTAACGCTGTTCGCGCGGCCCGCGCGCCATTGGTTACCGAGATATGGGTATGTATGTGTACATGCGTGTACAGTCGTCCCTCTCTAATCCGGCACCTTTTGCTACGGCGTTTTCTGCTGGATTAACGAGGGTGCTGGATTAAGAAATCCTGCCCTCTGACCCGGCCCTACCCAATTGCATGCATGTATCATACGTCAAAACGCAGGGTTTTCCGTGTCGACCCCAGTATTTGGTGCACGGCTTTATATTCTCAATTGTTCTCCAGGAACATACACAGTGATAAAGTGATAAAGTAAAACAGAGAACATGTTCACACACGCACACACACCTGAAAATTGGCAGGACACTACTCCTTGCTAAAATAAGAAAGTATGGTTGACTGCTTAGCCGTTGTCTCCTGGACAACATTGACCAGACTGGCCTAGCCTGGCCTGGCAAGGAGTGCACCTGTACTGCCGGATTATGAAATCAAACTACGTGCAGTTTGAGTGATTCGTTTCAAAAAGTCACTGCCGGAGGCGGAATTCAAGTGCCGGATTAAGATGGAGGAATTGAACGAAAAAAATCGGTTTCGTCAGAAAGTGCGCCGGTTGGCAAGGGTTCCGGATAAACAAGTGCCGGATTAGAGAGGGACGACTGTATTTGTGTGTGTGGGGGGGGGGCATGTGTGTATGCTATGTGTGCATGTGTGTGTGTGTGTGTGTGTGTGTGGGTGTGTGTGTGTGTGTGTGTGTGTGTGTGTCCACAACGGCGAGAACAAGCACGGGGTGTCCCCAGCCGTACATGCCAACAGTGCCTGAGGTGGGGTATTCATCGACAGGAGACTTGGTTGGATAGTTACGATGCTGACACTCTCCTCGTCGCCCCCACCTCGGAGTCCTTCGCGAGGCCTTGCAAGCCCGCGAGTGGAGCAAACTACCGCACGAAGACGACGACTTGGAACGACTCTGAGCATTGGCTCATGGAATATTCGCTCTGTTGACGGTTGTGGAGAATGATGGGCCAGTTCAAGCGGCAGCCGTGAGAGGAATAGTTTCCAATGATAAGCCAGATCGCTGCCAGAGATGGCTCTCTCGAACATGGTCCCTGAATCCCTGACCTAGTACCTCTCTCTCAGCGGACTGCCGTTGCTCGTCGTTCCAGATGATATATTATTGTCGGCCCCGCAAGGGGACACGTGACCGTAATGGCAGTGTTTACCAGGTACCAGGTGTGTGTGTGTGTGTGTGTAACGCTGTTCGCACGGCCCGCGCGCTGAGTATGGCGTTCCCCGCCCGGTGGACAACACGTCTCCTGGTCTGCCCCGTATGGGGCCACATAGCCAGTCATGCCAGTGGAAGAAGGAAGGAAGGAAGGTGTGTGTGTGTGTTTGTGTGTGTGTGTGTGTGTGTGTTTGTGTGTGTGTGTTTGTGTGTGTGTGTTTGTGTGTGTGTGTGTGTGTGGGTGTGGGTGTGGGTGTGGGTGTGGTTGTGTGTGTGGGTGTGTGTGTGGGTGTGTGTGTGGGTGTGTGTATGTGCGTGCGTGCATGTGTGCGTGCCACTGTGCGTGTGTGAATGCATGAGTGGGGAGGTTGTAGAGATCAAGATTCCAACTACATGTATTATCGTGAAAAGAGAAAGAACGTAGATGTTGAAGCCTTCACTGAAAGACATTGTCCATAGTAGGCTTTGAAAACAAGTTTGTGTGTATATTATCTTACCTGCAGATCGCCCGGTGCAGAGACCCACTACACATCGTGATGCAACGGCAATACGAACACGCAATGGAACTCTGGACAAGACAAGTTATGCTTTCCATAATCCACCCTCACCAGGCATGCGCATGACAGCCAAACCAGGGAGAGAATGCGACATAGAGATGAATGGCTTCAGCTATGATGAGCGGTCACTGAAACCTCCAACATTTTCACCATTTCTTCCAGGTTAGTTACGGAAACTTGTGGCATTCTTCTATACCTTAACAGGCATGATTTTTTTAAATAAGCTCCCTTTTCTCTCAGGCAAATGTACACGTGCTAATTTTGAATCGATGGTGCAGACACCAACAATGCAGCTGCTGCTGTTGAGGCAAAGGTGGTTGGTTGGCTACTGCTGACACTGCCACAGTGATAGCTGAAATATCTGCTGCTGGCAATGACGATAACGGCGATGATGGGGCTACTGCTGTTGTAGCTGCCTCAGTGGTACATGTCACCAAAATATAGTTTCAACTGAAATATTTATAAACTCGGATGTTGAGCCAATAATAAATGTAGAAAGGAAAAGAACATATGGATACGAGTTAAGAGTAACTATCCATCACTGTATCGAGATACTCTTTGGTCTTTCCATAACCTTGAACCTTCCAAGTTGGAAGGCTGTCGGTTAGCGCTACGGAGACGTGTTGAAGCTAGGTGTCAGGACGTCGAATGCCTCAGTACTCTGTCAGTTTTGTGCCTAGTTGTTGCACTTTCTAGTATCTCGTTACAGTGATGGATAGTTACACTCAACTCGTATCCGTATGTCCTTTTCCTTTCTACATGAAATATTTATAGAACTAGTTACAAGATTCCCATGTTTTTGAGAGGCTCCATCATCCACGTATATGCGTGTACATGTACTTGTAGTAAATTTGTCCATCTTGCCAGTACATGTACTCGTTATGATAATCACCAGCATCATCTCTGTGTGCATTGCCCTGTGGTCTCACTCTGCTTTGAGATATTGTACAAGTAGGTACATGTAGTTCTGTGTTAGGTATATTGTAGATGGGTTAACAAGAAGATGTGCTGTACTCTGCTCTGTGCTGCTGCCATGCACCTCTCTAGCGGACCCAGAGAGCAACCAGAGTGTCTCCACTGTCCAGGAGGACACCGGCAAGATGCTGGATGAGGAGCAGGACGGTGGGGGTCAGGGTGGTGATGGCCGCCGTGAGCTACGTAGGATTGACGGCACCATGCACAGCACCGTACAGCGCTCCATGCAGCTGATGCAGAAGACCGACCAGGACAATATACAGCAAGCCAGCGTGGTGGAGTATGCCTGTAATTTTGCGGGCATGACCAGCGCCGAACCTGTCCTTTATGGACAAATGCCGGCAGAGAGCAATGGTGATGACGGGTACAGAGCTGATGAGGATGATACACGCACCATGGATCAAACTGCACTATAAGGGTGCAACACTTCGCCACTGCCAAGCAACTATGCTCACAGCAGAGACTTCTGCATGCGTATGTTCTTGTTGTGAAAGTGGACCACAAAGACTGATCTCCGCCTGTGTCCGGAATTTCTATGTGATTGCACAAGCTATCAGGCTGAACTGGTAAGGTGCTCTGCTCTGCAAAAGACAAGTGATGAGTCAACAGGAGCCTTGATCGCCCTGGCGGCAGATTCGCAACTCGTCAACAATGCATCCGTACTATTGATCACCAGCCGACTCTCATTTCCAGTGCATACACTCTTTTTCTCTTTTTTTGCTTCCCTCTTCGCTACCTTGTTATTTGGCAGAAATTCCCGTTTGCATAATTATGCGAAATAGAACAAAGTAAAAATTGTTTCGCATACAGCGTGGAGATAACAATTTTAAATACCGTATTTTTCCGGTTGTAAGTCGACCTTTTACGACTTAAAATAGAAGGAGAAAGGGTGGGGGTCGACTTATAACCGGGAACTATCAGTATCTTACAAAAAATGACCTGCACTGCGTGCACAAGTGCACCATGTTTACACATTTTTGCCAGTTTACTGGCCTTTTTCAAGGATTGGGACGTTATATCCTCCAATGAGGAATGTTTACATGATTTGTTGATGTGTTAGTAGCAGGAGGTGGCTAGTAGAGCTTCTTTGGGTGAAAGAAAACTTTAAAACGCAGAATTGAGACCTCGAGATAGGGGGTAGACTTATAACCGGGGTCGACTTACAACCGGTAAAATACGGTAATGCTACTTCGAAGTATGAATAAAATAATCTGCACAATCATACTTCAAACACCCAAGGCAAGGTAGGTAGGTCTAAAGTAATGTTCCGCATTTGAAAGTGTTAGAAGCTGTTTACATTCACGAACACCAGCCTGACCTATGCATATTCAGAAGGAATCAGTCTACAGTCACACTTAGGGCGCGTTTGGTTGGTACGAACTAGAACAGGATTCACCAGAACAGCGCGTTTGGTTGGGACTGCACCTGTTCTGGGTCGGCCAGAACATGTTCTGCTTGCTCCGGCCTCGAGGCCGGAGCAGACCAAGCAGTTTCACTTTTTCACAGTGAAACCTGGCGGGAACATCGATTTTGGTCCCAAATGATCACGTGCATACGCTTTTGGGTTGGACTCGTTGTACCGTACAAAGTGACCATGGTGACCATACACAGTTTTGAAGGATGCACCCGGTTTGGCACATTTTTCCACAAAAATGTGCTCTGTTTCTGGAGTACCGTTTGGTTGGCATGAGGCTGCTCCATGTGCACCAGCTGTTCGATCCTGTTCTAGATCGTACCAACCAAACGCACCCTTAGATGATTCCGGCACAGTTTAGTCCTACGTTTAGAGTCCATGTTTTTGTTCTTTCTGCACTTTTTTTTGCCAGCACCATACCACATCATCTTGCTAGTTTACAGTGTACATTGTATATTTTAAAAATGTTAGCATTGTTTCTCCGAAATGTTTCTCCTAAAATTTAGTGTTTCACCTTCTCTGCATTAATAAGCACGTTCCTTTCTTGTATTCTCTATTTAATTGTGGTGTACTTTCCAACTGATAATCGTCACAAGAAAACGTTCTTGGAAACCTTTACACCTACATGTACCTACCTTGCCTTGTGTGTTTGAAGTACCGTAGAATCCCGCGGATAAGCCCACCCGTACCCGCATATAAGCCCATGTCCGCGCATAAGCCCAGGGAAAGTTCGAACGTCACAAGGCTTCGTCGTACAAGCCCATGGGCACAATTGTAAGTAGCACCAAGAGCCCATAAATTATGGACTCTTGGTCGTACCATGTAGGTAGTACATGTAGGTTTTTTGTTTTTGTTTGCACAGTGGCTGTCAGCAATGTACTTCTCACTTCCTTGGTACTTTTCAATACTAAAAACAAACAATGTTGGTGTCAGCGTATAAGCCCATGCCCGTGTATAATAGAGTCCGGCGGATTCTGCCGGCAGAAAAATTGGCAGAATTCGGCACTTTTTCTGGTAAGTTTCATGCATGTTTGGTATGTGGATAAAGAAATGGAGCAGAATTCGAGGAATTGCACGCCATAAGGTTAGTATGGTTCTGCCAATTTCACTGCTCTTCGAGCAGAATCTGCCACCTTTTCGAACATAATCCGCCGGTCCCTAGCGTATAAGCCCATGTTCTTGTATAAGCCCACCGAAATGTCCTTGTGAAACAGATAAGCCCATGGGCTTATCCGCGGGATTCTACGGTATGAGTGCGCAGATTATTTTATTCATAGCATTATTGTAGAAAGGAAAAGGACATATGGATACGAGTTAAGAGTAACTCTCCATCACTGTAACTGGATACTACTATATACAGTCAGAAAGTGCAATAACTAGGCACAAAACTGACAAGAGTACTGAGACATTCGACGTCCTGACACCTAGCTTCAACACATCTCCGTAGCGCTAACCGACAGCCTTCCAACTAAGGTTCAAGGTTATGAAAAGACCAAAGAGGGGAAGGCAAGCGCAACGAAAACGAGCAAAAGCCACAGTCCCAACGGAACAAAGAATGTCGATTGTTACTGGACGATGACGTTTTCGTAAAGCTTCCCCTTTCTTTACTTATCTTTGATATTTATGACCCACCCAAGTTGGGTGGTGTGCTGCTTTGCTGCTTCGAATTGTAGTTAGACCGCTTTGTCAAATATCGTACTGGTCTCGTCATCGTCCAGTAACAATCGACATTCTTTGTTCCGTTGGGACTGTGGCTTTTGCTCGTTTTCGTTGCGCTTGCCTGAAAGACCAAAGAGGGGCTTGCGCTTGCCTTCCCCTCTTTGGTCTTTTCATAACCTTGAACCTTCCAAGTTGGAAGGCTGTCGGTTAGCGCTACGGAGATGTGTTGAAGCTAGGTGTCAGGACGTCGAATGGCTCAGTACTCTTGTCAGTTGTGTGCCTAGTTTTTGCACTTTCTGACTGCATATAGTTTCCAGTTACAGTGATGGAGAGTTACTCTTAACTCGAATCCATATGTCCTTTTCCTTTCTACATTTATTTATGGCTCAACATCCGAGTTTCAAATTGCACACCTGATGAGCCGTCACGAACCATACGGCGAAACGTACGTCGTGTGAATCAACTTGTTTTGTAGTCAACTAAAAAAATTCACGGTTCGCTAGAGACTCGGCTAGAAGCCGAGTTTTCCGCATCCGCCGTGGGAACGCCACCACCCTCTAGGATCAAAGGCGCAGATGCAGCGCCTGAACGGTGGGAGGTGAGTAGATCAGACCCACCACCAAGTGGTCAAAGACCGAAATCCCATTAGCTGCATCCATGTTACCCTCGTGCCAGGCCACGAGTTCCCAATTAACTGTGGGTCGCAGCACGGCTGGAAAAATTCCTTCCGCTTCCAAGCAGGACTTGAACCTGGTAACTAGTCCATCACAATGTCATGCATGAGGAGTACTGTAGGAGTTTGGCTTTCGGCTTGTACAATTCGTTTTCGCAAAGCTTCCCCTTTCTTTACTTATCTTTGATATTTATGACCCGCCCAAGTTGGGTGGTGTGCTGCTTTGCTGCTTCGAATTGTAGTTAGACCGCTTTGTCAAATATCGTACTGGTCTCGTCATCGTCCAGTAACAATCGACATTCTTTGTTCCGTTGGGACTGTGGCTTTTGCTCGTTTTCGTTGCGCTTGCCTTCCCCTCTTTGGTCTTTTCATAACCTTGAACCTTCCAAGTTGGAAGGCTGTCGGTTAGCGCTACGGAGATGTGTTGAAGCTAGGTGTCAGGACGTCGAATGTCTCAGTACTCTTGTCAGTTTTGTGCCTAGTTATTGCACTTTCTGACTGTATATAGTATCCAGTTACAGTGATGGATAGTTACTATTAACTCGTATCCATATGTCCTTTTCCTTTCTACATTAATTTTATTTATGGCTCAACATCCGAGTTTCATAGCATTATTCTCATACTTTAATGTATGTCTTGAAAAAAATAGGAGAAATGAAAAATCTATAACATCCCTATGCTTTTTGTGCCTAGGTCATCAAGGTGGTAGACGGTGTCATATTACCCTCGAATGCAAAGAGAAAGTTGATTTCCATTTGTTCCAATAACATGCATGATGAGCTAGGCAAAAAAGCATAGCGTAGGGCCCTGAGCTTCCAAGCTCTCTCGTAAGAACGAAATGGCGCTTTTAGTGACATTTTACATACAAATCGGGGTTATCCCCATCTACATTATACTAGTGGGGCGCAGTCACCGATTTTCGGTGGAAGTGCGCGAGTTTGATTGGGAATAAAGGAGGAACGGAGCGTCTCAGCTTCCTCGGACCAAGACCATTCGACTCAGCACCCCGAAGACTACAACTGGTGAAAATTTTATTTTAGGCTTAACTTCCCGTTAGAATGCAATGGAAATCCCCTACCTCAGACCACAATTGCTCGATATCTAAGTCTGCATCTCGACTCCCAGCTTCGGTGGGAGACTCAAGTAGTTGCCACTATCATACGGAACACCTCCCAAAAACTGACGGCGCTGCGAGCCATTCGCTCCTTTTAACTGAGCAACAAGCCCTGCTATTTACAGATTGCTAATTATTATTACCTGACATGTTATATGGATCCAATGCCTTCTTCTCGGTTCTCTCTGCGCACCAAAGGCATCAGTTTTCGGTCCTCGACAAGCGATGTATCCGCTGCGTTGCCAACCAGCCATTCTCCTCCCACACAGATCCCATCTACACACGTCTTGGCCTCATCCCCATCATCCAAAAACGCCCATTGTAAACTCCGCCTCCTCATGCTTCGTATCCACACCGCCAGAATTAGCAATCTCCTGTCCAAGCGCCTATGTCGACAGCCTGAAGGTGTCACTCGGATCAATGATCCCAATGCAAATGTTGTCCACCAGACGAGTCTCTGGTGACTGTCGGCGGCTCGTTTCTGCTGTTAGATTATGGAACGCCCTGCACCAAGAGTCCAAGTCCCTCGCCTGCCATAGATCATTCGAGAGACTTTTAATTTTGAAGGTTTATTTTTATGGTTAGCCAGCATCTAGGCTTGAATTTGGAGTCGTCCTGCGAAGTGTCTCAACTGTGTTACTTTTTGGTTTCGTTTTGTTTGTCTTTTGTTCTTTTTCCTTTTTCCCGTGTACTTTTTTTCTTTCCTTTCTTTTCTTCTTCTTCTTTTTTCCCTTCTTCCTTTTCCCTTCTTTTTGAGTATTTGCAGTATAGTTCACACAGTCATTAGATTGACAGCATGAACAAGGTGGAGCACTGGAGGACACTGTGTTCGGAAACAGTGATAGGCCTTGACGGATTATGCTAGCATAATTTTTCGCATAATTCCTACCTAAATCGAATAATCGCATAATTCGTGGCAAATTGCATACGAATCGCATAAAATTGTAATAATCTGCCTGTTCGCATCAAATTCCATACAGTTGTACATGTTGTACAAGTACAAGTACAAGTAGATGCACCAGGAAGTCGTAGGTTTACGACTCCCTTGATAACATGTCCAGTCCACTACAATCAGTGATGGTCGTAGCTAGGTCGGACGGTGCGTTGACCCCGTTGAACTTTTGCTGCTACAGTACAACGCCCTCTACAAAAAAATTCCCCTGGTATTTTGCACAGAACCATCATGCATTAGCAGCATATGTGAGCATAATGCGGCATAATATGATAACTTTTAGCATAAAAATAGCATAATTCTGCAATTTTTTCAGCAATGCGAAAAGCATAATTTCACGAAAATATTAGCATAATCCGTCAAGGCCTAAACAGTGACCTCACTAGTACAACCTTCCGCGGTTGGCAGGTCAGAACCGGGTTAACACCCATAATTATGGTTCAAATGGTCCGAAGGGACCGGGGCTCTGCCAACCGCGGAAGGTTGTACTTGTAGGCTCAACTAATACTTGTACTGTAGTGAGGTCACTGTTTCCGAACACAGTGTCCGCCACCTTGTTTCATGCTGTCAATCTAACAAACTAACTAATTACTTGGCAGCTAGTAGTACTAGTAGTAGTAGATCTACTACTACTAGTACTAGCGACCCTAGCCTAGGCTAGCCCTGATGACAGTCTCGTCGTGTTCGTGTGTGGCGCTGTATACACTACAGTCACTACAGACCACCACTCACCGCCGTCACCATGGTCACCGGTCTACAGATAATACCAAGATCCGAGTCTCATGTCTTGTTTTGTTGAAGCTATAGCCAGGTAGAGCATCTCTGCTCATGACCATGTCATGGTGGTCCGCCTCTCTTACAAAGTAACAGGACAGCAATCATTCTGATCTGCCATGGACAATTACATTTTTAGATGAAGCTGCAGCAGCCTACCGCGGCTGGAGTCACCGCAGAGCCGAGCTTTGGCCGAAGTCCGCGTTTGAATTTGTTGTGAGAACTGAACACAGTCTGAACTGAAGTAAAGCCAGACGTGAAGTCGCTGAAGCCTTGAAAAGAATGAAGGATCTACATCTTGTGGCAGCATGTTGTGATTGACATTTACATCACGTTTTCTGGCAGTGAGTGCCAGTGACGTTCATTTCTGACAAATTCGGAGACAGGTGACCCTGACTCGCCGGAGGTCGCATGGTAGATCTACATGACTGTAGATCTAGCAACGCGGAAACAAACGTACAAGTACAAGACCCATCATGCATGAAGACTTTATTAGTTAGTTAGTTTCTGTGTAGGTCTACATGTGCGTGTAGATCTGCTTGGAGTCGGAATGAAACCATACAGACTCATCATGGTCATCTACCGATTATTGCCTTGATACATGACTCGACTGTCTGTGCACGTGTTTCCCTCGCCGATGTCCCGATGTTGTCGATAGTCGGAGTCGGATTCTTGTAAAAGCTGTGGTGAATACTGCAACTGTGAGACTCAGTTTGGATCAATACGTATGTATTACTGCACAAGGACCAGTGCAATACCGGCCGATATCTGCACGAACGGCGAAGCCGTAAGTGCAGATATCGACGCCGGTATTGCACGCGTCCGAGTGCAGTAATACATTTATCGCACCCCTGCCACCACACAGTCTGTCACCACACACTTGACACAGTCTGGTGCATGCAACCCTAGCATGCTGCATGCAACCCTGCTATCAAGTATCATTTCACAGTCATACAACACAGCACAACCAATCGCGTTCATTTTTAGAGGAACACTTCTTTCGAGTAGCTGCTGTCTATCACGGGAGATCCTGGAAGTAGCGGGACAGCTTGCTCATGTCGTCGTCGTTGATGGGGTGTTTGTGCTCCACCGCTTTGACTTCTTTCTTTGGCTTCATGAGGAAGGCCATCAATGCAATGTTTGCGTCCTTGAACGCTGGGTCACTGTGGACGTTCATGGGCCGCTTCAACTCGACTAGCTTTCGATGTATTGCGGAACGGAAACTGAGCAAGCTTGATGCAGAGTAGAACTTCACTCCAGCTTTTTTCGGACGCAATTCGACGTATGCATGTCGCAGAATGTAAGCTAGGTCGCTTGCCGTAACCGTACTCAGGTCACAGCGACGTCCTGTGTCTTTACTACTCGTCGAATAAGCGGAGCCATTTGTCAGTTGCCTGCTCTGTGTTTTTGTTTTTCTGCTCAGAAACGAGGCAGTTCGATGGCGGCGTCGGACAGTTTCTCAAATCGGCTGTCGACAGTCTTCTCCAATACTTGGGCGTCCGCTGTCTCGACTCTCACGGAGCTTGTGAAGTAGTTGACTTGGCGGACGCAAGCCGGGTCCACATTCGCTTCCGCGACATCGACAGCGTCCTCGACCAATTATTTTGGTGTGCTGCAGCAAGTCAGCAGCGACTCCCTGGCCTGGCGGAGCGACTCGCAATATTCCCAGTACTCGGACACCGCCAGCCAATGACTATGTGGATGCACTGCAGTGCGATATTGCACTCCGGCGAGTGAGCGTGCAAATAACCTATATCTGCACGCTCACTTCGAAGCGAGCGTGCAAATAACCTATATTTGCACGCTCGCTTCGAAGTGAGCGTGCAAATATAGGTTATTTGCACGCTCACTCGCCGGGGTGCAATATCGCATTGCAGTGCATCCACATTGGCTGGCGGTGTACTGGGGAATATTGCACGCTTAGTAAGGCCGCTGATTGGCTCAAACCATGGAAACACTCACGTGGGGTGCGATAATACAATAATGTTACCATCCTAGGCAAGAATAATCTTGGACCAGGCTCCAGTCCACAGACTACTACTACTAGTAGATCTACTAGTAACAGTAGGTCTACTACGCTCGCCCGATGGGGACTCTTGGTATCAAGCAAACTAGAACAAAAAATAGAATGAATTGAGTTAGCAACTAGTTACCTGCTCCTTTGAATCGTCCTGCAAGTAAGAGAGCCTGGTACTTCGAAATTCAAATGAAACACGGCTCCATTGGTTGACTTTCAGACGGACCAGATCAGGCGGCCCACGACCACAGGGACTGATTGGCCCTTCTTCGACGAGCGTAGCACTATCCATAGCAAGAGTATTTCGGGCCTCACGCACAGTCGACCGGTTCGTAAACCAATAAATTCTTGATCTCCTAGCGGCGGACGAGCGTACCACGAAGCAGCGTCAAGAATCAGCAATGCCACGAAGCCACTGCACAGGTAAATCGTGCCGAAAATATGGAGTGGAGTAGTTGTCGGGAGGACCTACGGCTTGGAAGATTTTGAAAGAGGGTCACAGTTGGCGTGCGGGGGAGGGGGTACATGTATATGCAATAAATTGGCAATGAAATCCGATCTTAGGAATTTAGTTGGGCGATGCTCACTGAGTGAGTGCGTTCGATTATGGCCGCGAATCGATTCATGAATTCGTTCATGAATCGATTCGCGCTATTCACATCACCCCATGTGATTAGGGGGATTGGATTCCCAATCGATTCCAGGGTTCATGACATGAAATCGAACGGCGAGATTCCATTCATTGCACTATGAACACTGGGTTCTGTGGTGGTGCTGGCTTTCATTTGGCCGGATTTCACGATGGTGGGAGCCTTTTTGTGATTGTCTATTTATTTATTTCACCTTCCCATGGCCAGAGAATATAGGCCAATATGGAGGGAGGGGGCGGTAGCCAGCCATGGCTGTAAACAAAAACAAAGCAAAAATAAATAAATATTACACATTACTGGAGGCAAAGAGAAACAAATCTGGATGAAGAATTAGCAGTTATTAGAACACGAGCTTCATGTTGGCCTTGAAATCCTTTAGCATACAAGACGATTTTACTGATAGAGGCAGGGCCAGCCAGAGAGAATAGGCAGCGAAAAACGGAGATCTGGTATAAGCTGAGGTTCGGGCTTTAGGTAAAGTGCAGGGATTGCGCGTAGGACGAGTGGGAAGAATACAGTTATATTTACGCAAGTGTGGCGGGGCTTTGTCAAGACAAATAGAATGAACACCAATACACAGTTTTCGATCCGCTTGACTAGAGATAGGGTTAAACATATCATACAGCTCGGCAGAAGGAAAGTATGATGGTTTACGGAAAAGGACTTTGAGTATCCTCTTATTGTGGACTTCCAGGGTACTCATTAACGATTTACTTAGTAGGGATGACCAGGCGGTTGAGCAATAGAGAAAAATGGGGAGAATATAGCAATGATAAAAAAGGCGAATGCATTCAAGCGGTAGGTGGGAGCAGTGAGACACGAGGTAGCCAACAGCTTTACTGACTTTGCTACAGATATAGTCGACATGTCTACTAAACGATAAGTCTGAGTCAATGACCAAACCAAGATGTTTGTGTTGTTTTACCACTGTGAGGTCTGTGAGGGATCCGGGAAGAGTGAATGCATAGGTTGGCTCTGAGTTCGGCAGGAATGATATCTCAGTCTTGGCGATATTAGGTCTTAGTCTCCAGGTAGTCATCCACTGATGGACTTCGTTGATACCGCGCTGGAGACTGTCTCGCAGCCTGTCTAGACACTCATTGAACCGGAGCAGTGCAGTATCGTCAGCAAATAAGGACACACCTTCAACATGACTGGGAAGAATTTTATATACACTAGGAAAGGGAGGGGCCCTAGGATAGATCCCTGGGGCACTCCGGACAGAACAGGTGAAGCATCTGAGAGAAGTCCACCTACAAAGACAACTTGCGTTCTGTCGGATAGGTAGTCTGTAATCCACTCCAGCGCTGAGTCACACACACCGAAAACTTTGGAGAGTTTAGCAAGTAATGCACGGTGCCACACGGTGTCGAAAGCTTTCTCGAGGTCGAAAAAGCACATGGCAACTTTCCGCCCCATATGACGATGGTCGGCAATGTTTTGGATCAGCTTGGTGAGCTGTAGAGCGGTCGAGTCACCACGACGAAACCCAGATTGCGCGGGATCCAGAGCAGGAGAAATATGATTATATAATTGATTGAAGAAGAGCCGTTCGCAAAGTTTGGAAATACAGGACAGGAGGGAAATTGGGCGATAGTTACTGGCTTGAGATTTGCTGCCTTTGCACTTGTAAATAGGCACAATTTTAGCCAGTTTCCAGTCAGTAGGGAACTTGCCTGTGGCTATCGCATGCCATTGCACTACTTAGGGTACGTTCTCTGGTATTTCCGTACACGGATAAGCCCATTGGCTTATCTCATTCAATAGGTCCACTGGGCGGGCTTTTAGATGAGTGTAGCTCCGTTCGTGGTATAGAAATAATTATATTCCGTAGTGCATCCCACAATCATCGTCTGTGTTGCGTTCAATCCTGCAAGTTCAATAAAACCTGGTGTAAGCAACCTCTGGGTTTAGGCCGATTCCACACTACGCCGAAAGTGGCTTTGCCTTGAAGGCATAAAGTGGCTTATAAAGTGAAGCTGCATTCACACCTACAAGTGTCGATCACGGGACTTTGCTTTGAAGGTTAGACTGTGAGGCTTTCCTGTGCTTGATCTAGCAACGGCGGTAGTGGAGAGGCTCTTTGTTGGGCCAAATCCTCGAATATCACCCATTTTCGCGTGCCCAATCTTGAAATTTGACCACGCTAGCGCGCGCTGTGTAGGCGGATTCCAGATCATAGGTCGAATATTTGTCAACCTCGCCAACAGGAATTCCGGTGGCAGTTTTCGTTGTGTATGTCTCGTACAGTCCTTTCGCCTTCGTTTTCATGTTGTCGATTTTGGAATGGACGATCGACGCAGTATATTGCCTCCTCCCGGAGCTGTTCAGCAAACAAATTCAGCTTGATCGCGATCTCCTCCGGCGTAGCTCCTGCGAACTGTACCGGCCGGAGGTCGCCTCAAATATCCGCTCCAAAGCTCGATCAGCTTGCCCTCAAGCTCCTGGCTAAACATGACCCTAGGCATTGTTGACAGCTCACAACTCACCACAACTGAAAGATACGACAGGGAACACATTCGGAAAAAAATCGAAAGGCTGAAGAAAAGTCAGAAAAGTGTCCTGAAAAGGTAAAAAGTTGCCTTGAAAGAGGGTGCTGGTGTTGCTTTGTAGACAACAAGCACTTTTCACTTTCGCGCGTTTCTCAAAGTGATCGCCATGGCAACTTGCCTGGAAAGTGCCTGAAAAATGGCTTTTTAGGCAGGATTTGGTGTAGTGTGGAATCGGCCTTAGTGACCACCTGCTCTTAACGACTGTTTTTCCATGCACGGACAGTTCTACACAGACACTGTGGGACCTGGTTTTAACGACCATCTGGCTTTAACGACCGCTTTTGCCTGCACCGTGGGGCGGTCGCTTAAACCAGGTTTTACTGTGTGTGTGTTTCAGACCTTGCTGTATCGATGGTCGCCATATATTGGATGTGCTGTGACATGGCGTGGGCTGGTGCGCACTCATTCGATGCTGTCGACGACAGTGATCTGCGGGTCATCAACACCACCGTCATTGCTGGCCAGGCGGTGAGGCCAGGTCAGATGGGCTGCTACAACCACACAACAATGGACCAGGCCGCGCTGGACACTAACAGCACGTTTGTGTTCATACGAGTGCTGAACGAGAGGACGAGTATCTTACAGCGCAACTCATCGCCATATCTAACACGCCAGTTTGCGCCGGAGGATGACGAAAGCCTAGTATTCTGCCAATACATCGAGAGCCCGTACCTGGAAGCCCTGCATGAAAACTATACCCAGTTCTACTCAACCCTACCAGCCATATATCGACTAAATGTACTCTGTAAGTATGTACATGTACGTGTATTGTACAGTACTTGTATTTATGGATTCTCCACAGGCCTTAGCCTAAATCGAGGGAGTCTCCGTGTACATGTACGTGTAGTTGTGCTCAGCAGCCCTCACATTGATGGTATTTTTTTGCTACTTGCATTTCCAGGCTGCATGGTGATGGACATGCAAGATACACTTTCATAGTCTGTTTTTGATGTGAAGAAAAATTGTGATGGTCCGTGTGCTTCTTTCAAAACGCATGAACGTGTGTGGCTTTGCCTCGCTGGCCAAAAGATAGCGGTGCCATTGGAACTGGGATGACTTGTGCACGGGAAAGGAGAGAGGGAGATGCCAAGAGAAACTTTGGCAGCTATGCTCAGTATGTCTATGGGCAGCATGACAGTTTTTAATCTCACAGCGACGAGGAGAAGGAGGCAGAAATTGTCAGCTTGGTACATGTTCATTGTACAAGTAGATGTTCGTGTGTGCTGCATCGTGCATTAGGCTGTGCGTTAGTGCTGATTACCTATGCCGCTTTCATGCAACGGACATACCAAGATTGGGCGGCATGCTTGGAAATACAGTCGACTCCACTTATAACGAACTCGCATATAGCGAATTTCATGATATAGCGAACCATTGTCCATGTCCCTGTTTGAACCCATACAAACTGACCCTTTTATATAGCGAACAGGTTTCGTTTATAACGAACCAAATTTTGTAGGGCTGCATGTACACCATGCAAGTGCACGCATGCTGTCATGGACCACATATCAGTCAATATCCGACTCAGGACTTGCTGCTTGTATAGTGTGAGTGCATTTCTGATAATTAAAACGAACTTTGGCTATAAAGAACTAATTCTCCTGCACAATGGTGTTCGTTATATCAGGAGTCGACTGTCTAGAAAAAAGAACATTTTCAGACGGTGAGGTCTTCGGCGTATTGAGTCGAATGGTCCAGGTAGGAGACCGCTGTGCGAATGGGTATTGAGTGGACTGGTCGAGGCAGGAGACCGCTGTGCAAATAGGTATTGAGTCGAATGGTCCAGGTAGGAGACCGCTGTGCAAATGGGTATTGAGTGGAATGGTCGAGGTTGGAGACCGCTGTGCAAATAGGTATTGAGTGGAATGGTCGAGGCATAAGACCGCTGTGCAAATGGGTATTGAGTGGAATGGTCGAGGCAGGCCAGAGACCGCCATTGTCTTGGGCTTAAGATGTTGGATTCGAAACAATACTGCTGTCTGGAATAGCAACATCGGCACCTCAAATTCTGTTAGGATTTCTGACGACTGGTTAGCTGGATCCTCATCAGATCACTCCACTTGACACAACCGGATAATTACACACAGATCCGTTGTGGTTTTGCAAAAATACTTGAAAATACTGTGACTGTTCGGCCTGGTCCCATAGCTCAGGTGGTTAGAGCATTGCTCATCACAAGCAAATTCCCGGGTTAGAGTACGGGTGGGGTTGGCATTTTTTCTCTTTTTAGGCAGTTCACTTCACCGACTGATCCTTTGAAATGTGACTGCGTGTGTGTATGTGTGTGTGTGTGCATGTGTGTGTGTATGTGTGTGCATTGTCCCTCTTGCACTCCAGACCCTGTTGCCCTTGTTAGCGCATTAGTGGTAGACGACGCGCCAGAGCCTTTGGAGAGAGTCCAGTGTCCGTTCCGTGGCTCCGAGCCGGTCCAGTATCGGTTTTACATGGGCATTAGTGATACGGAGTGCCACGTCTGTATGAACTTCGGAGACTCCATTAGTGCAGAGCAGCTGCTGGCGTGTCACACGGCTCGTGACTCGGACTGCTTTGAACCTACTGACCGTGAAGATACTGTGAGCATCAAGTTTGGCTGCTACGGCTGTTTGATGTGCAACGCGAGCAACACTGTGAATGGAACGACGACAACACACGAACATCGCTTCAGGCTCGAGAACCCAACAAGTAAGTTACTGGTGTCTGTGCTCCCCATCAGTTGTGTGATATGAGCTGATTGCTATTTGTTCCGATTCCGCAATTCCCTGCACACTATTGTATCCGCTCATTTCCTTTCTCTCAGTCCGCTCTCTATGTCTATCTACCTGCCTGCCTGCCTGCCTGCCTGACTACTTTCGAGTCTCTATATCTCTTTCTCTCATTCTCTCTCATAAATTTTCCTTCTTCTTTTTTGCCAATCTTTCTCCCTCATCTCTGCTTTTTCTTGTCTTTGCATCTCGGTCTTTGACGGTTCTTGTGTGCAGAATCTAGAATTGCACCCTGCGCGCCAACAGATGACATCACCACCAAGTTTCTGATGGAGCCGCCGATTGTCACACCGTCATCAAACGTGACGGTGGGAACGCCTCGGGTGAACATCACGTTCCGCTACACCTGTCGCAACTTCACCTATTTCAATCTACACCACGGCCAAGAGCAGATCATAGTCAGACCAACGGATGTTGACCAGATTCACTAGTAAGTGATTGATGTGAACGTTTGCGGCTTGGCTGCCTCTGGCTTGCTCGGCGGTCAGTTATAGTATACACTCGAACGTCTCTTATCCGGACGCCTCAGATACGGGCAGTGCCCGGTCCCAAGGTGCCCGGATAAGAGACGTTCGCGTGTACTGGTAAGGATCTATCCTTGTCAGTACGACACCGGCTACACGACGAACCTTCTAGCGAAGGTAAACCTGTGCTTATTTCGTGTGTCACTTTCATGTGGACGAAAAATCCAGCAGATATCCTTGCAGTGCCATGACATTGGGATGATGCCGCCTACATGTTCGCTTCTAGCAAGAGTACATGAAAACAAGAGTGTGCAGCTCAGTTGGGTTGCTGTCACGGCGGAATTCCGTGATTACATCATTTTCGTGATGTAGTGCGTACAAGCAGGATTCGAGCAGGTCTCTTTCTGCACAACTGCAGCTCAGTTGTACGCACTACGCCACTTCCCGCCTCAAATCTGCACCAAATATGATGTAATCACGGAATTCCGCCGTGACAGACACCCATAGTAGAAAATGCCCCAAGCTGCACACTCTGGTTTTCATGTACTCTTGCTTCTAGCTGTATGTCCGAGTGCAACAAGTAGACACTCTCCTATCAATGCACAGTAGTGCGTGACCTAGGGTGATGGGGAAGTTATGGCTGAAGTTGAATTCTTTTGTATGCAAACTTGTATTGCTTCCATTCTTACACCAACCCCTTTCTGAATCCCAACTTCAACAATTGAACAACGGCTCTATTTATCCAGTAGCAGCATACATACACGCACACGCACACACACATACACACACACACACACAAACACACAGACATGCAAACACACACACACACACACACATTGAAATAGGTTCGTCCATGATCGAAACAATGAAGTTGAAGACACCACTGCAGCTGTAATTATGGTTGATGAATATGGTGGTAAAGACACCCCTGGCAATATGGCAGTAAATACATGCCTGCCCACACACGCTCTCTAGGCTGCAGAGTTCTGGCACAGAGCTCTCCTTCTCACCACCACCACCACCACCACCACCACCACCACCACCACCACCACCACCACCAGTTCGCGACTTGCGCCTAACGTTAGTCGATACATGGTTGGCGGTATCCGACATAGCAGGCTGGTACATCAGTAAGCGCATGGCACATAGAAGATGACACAGCAATGACATAGCTCGATTGCGACATACGTTTCGTCCCCGCTGGACTCATCAGGCAATCTTCTTCTTGGATGTATTCACACGGAGCTTGACTCAGGAGAATGAAGTTGCGGCTGTAATTGTGGTGAACTTTGCAGTCTAGAGAGCGTAGCGTGTGTGGGCAGGCGTGCATTTACCGCCATATTGCCAGGTGTGTCTTTACCACCATATTAATCAACCATTATCGGAACAGTCTGGTTCTGGGAAAAAACATACAGTTTCAGTGAGGACCCCGACGGTGATGGTTCATCAAGTGGCGTACAATGCTGCACATACAATGCCTGACAGTGAACTTCAACTGTCCCATTGTGCTAAGCCTCTTCTCTCTCTCTCTCTCTCTCTCTCTCTCTCTCTCTCTCTCTCTCTCTCTCTCTCTCTCTCTCTCTCTCTCTTTCTCTCTCTCTTTCTCTCTCTCTCTCTTTCTCTCTCTCTTTCTCTCTCTCTCTTTCTCTCTCTCTCTTTCTCTCTCTCTCTCTTTCTCTCTCTCTATCTCTCTCTCCCTTTCTCTCTCCCTCTATCTCTCTCTCTCTATCTCTCTATCTATCTCTCTCTATCTATCTATCCATCTATCTATCTATCTATCTATCTATCTATCTCTCTCGCTCTATCTCTCTCTATCTCTCTCTCTATCTATCTCTATCTCTTTCTCTCTTTCTCTCTATCTATCTCTCTCTCTCTCTCTCTCTCTCTCTCTCTCTCTCTCTCTCTCTCTCTCTCTCTCTCTCTCTCTCTCTCTCTCTCTCTCTCTCTCTGTCTATCTATCTCTCTCTATCTCTCTTGCTCTCTCTGTCTGTCTTTCTCAAACAGTGAATTGTACAACAACACCATCTCCTACATGCAATGCGTATTTAGCATAACATTCAGCATCGTCAAACCAATTGTCTCACTAGGAGGAACGTACTACTTCGAATTTGTGACATCCGAGACTAACCGCCACTTCGAGAGTGTGACACTGCACATCACCGGTGAGGTCATAGCATACACACACACACCCACACACACACACACACACGCACCCACACACACACACACGCACACACACACGCACACACACACACACACACACACACACGCACACACACACACACACACACACACACACACACACACGCGTATTTTGCATTCGTGAATGCACGCACCCACCCTGGGTTTACCAATTCTTATCCCATACAACTTTTCAGTTTGCACCCCAAAATACGAAATTTGCTATTTGTTATGGCCGATTTTCGGTCTTTGACCACATGCTGGTGAGCTGATCTACTCACCTCCCACCGCTTTAGGAGCTACATCTGCGCCTTGATCCTTGAAGGGTGGTGGCGTTCCTACGGATGCGGAAAACTCGGCCTCTATTATAGAGAAACCGAGTCTGACGCGAACCGTGAATTTTTTTATGGCCGATCCTGGCACCATGAAAATACATTTCTATGAAAATGAAAATAGAAGGGTAGTTTTCTGGTTCTTTTTTTTAGTTTATTAGGAGCTTGAGTTTCGAAATCTGAAGAAAATACTGAACAGCCACCGCATGGATGACGACTACACCATAGCTTAGTGGCAGAGCCTCTAGGACACTATAAGCGAGGGTCCCTACTGTTCGAGTCCTGGTGGTGATAGTCAATGTATTCTTCATACTTTTCCCGTTTTCAACTCCCTCAAACTTGTGAATATTTCTTTAGAATTCTGTCACTATTGCCTTGTTGCGTAGCCCTGGCCCCCTAGAATACCTGTTCACCAGGGCTAAGGCAGGGCAGGTATAATTCACGCAGCATGTCATTGTTGCTTTCCGTTCGCAGAGCGCCACTGCCTAAGACAGGGCAGGTATAATTCTCGGAGCGTGTCATTGTTGCTTTCCGTTCGCAGAGCGCAACTGCCTAACTAAGGCAGGGCACGTATAATTCTCGGAGCATGTCATTGTTGCTTTCCGTTCGCAGAGCGCCACTGCCGAAGGCAGGGCAGGTATAATTCTCGGAGCATGTCATTGTTGCTTTCCGTTCGCAGAGCGGAACTGCCCTACCGGCATCTCGCCACCTGTACCGTGCCGCACTGACAAGGAGTGCATCATGGACTGGGAGAACAAGCCGATGTGCAATTGTGCGCGCGGCTACGTGGGCAAGGCATGTCAATATAGTGAGTTGTGAATACTGTAAAACATGTTATTTTCGATGTTACTTTACTTTCTGTGATTTCAGTAGAGAAAACAGGCACCTGAACTTAAATTACACCTAAAAGACACTAGAGCCTGCACTGTAAATGAAGGGAAAGCTGGTCACCTAATTCTACATTACACCGGAAACCTGGCACCGAAATTTTTTAATGCACCTAAAATTACATATTTCACAGTAGCTCTCCGGTGTTACATGCGTGATGAGTTCATGAGTGATTGGCCGAAAGTAATAAAGGAACGCTCACTGCCGTTGTCAACTTCTAACTATGTGTTGTGAGGTATTGGTGTTTGAAATGTAGGATTCTATAAGTGTTATGACATTCTATTAGTGATATGAACTTATGACATTGTATCAGTGATATAAGTAGAAAGGAAAAGGACATATTATGGAAACGAGTTAAGAGTAACTCTCCACCACTGTAACTAGATACTATATACAGTCAGAAAGTGCAAAAACTAGATATCCTTAGCTAAAAATACGCTAACGTAAACGCAAACCTTTCCGTACTTCGGATCGTTCAAGCTAACTTTTCCCTTAGCACAAAGTACGTTATAGTTGAGACGAAGTAGTCGTGACAACCATGGAGATATGAATTTTCGTGGAAACAGGTGCGGGAAATTCAAAATTTTGAACCAGGGATTAGTTTGCTGTCGTTCCGAAAGAATACCTTGGCGAGGTCTTTTACTCTGGAATAGCAAAAGCACAGCGAAAATGAGTTTTCGCTGTTCCCAGGTCCTTGGAAAACCTTTCCTAAACGCAGCACCGAAGACTGTAAGGGTTCTCCAGCTCCAGCACGTCTGGGAGAGGCTGATGAATTTCTTCCTCAGGAGTGCCGTGGAACTGGTCCTTTGTTTCCCAGATGGGATAGAGGGAGAAAGGCACGAAGCAGAGGACGCAGACATTGTCAACTGAAATGCAAAACTCGCCAAAAAAGCTAAATGTCACAAGAGGAAGCAATCTCGACTCTCATCTCGATCTGCACGCGCTTTTTATCTCCCGCCAGTTACAAAACAATGCGAGTTTTTGCATTTTTTGCAGAATTTCCATAACGAACGTCGGCCCGTTATTTTGAGCTCTGTAACGTTTTTTCCGTTATCCGATAACGTATTTTGTCACGGCTGGGAGTGAGTACCGTAAAAGTTAGCGTTATCGTACTTTTGCTAAGGATGTCTACTCTGTCAGTTGTGTGCCTAGTTTTTGCACTTTCTGACTGTATAATAGTATCTAATTACAGTGGTGGAGAGTTACTCTTAACTCGTTCCCATATGTCCTTTTCCTTTCTGCTTTTATTATTGGCTCAATGCCCGAGTTTCAAATATTAGTGATATGACATTCTATTAGCGGTATGACATTGTACTAGTGATATGACATTCTATTAGTGTTACGCGTGTAACCATTGCTTTTAGGCCGGTTTTTGATATTTCCACGACTGTTACTGTAGCCGATACAACAAGAAGAAGAGGTTGAAGATTGTGTTGTACCTCTAAGATTGTAACTCTGAGTTTCACGAATGAGATGATCATCTGCCCACAGTAGCCGATATGCATACAGCGTGTACAAGCTGCATGGATATCAATCAGCTCGGGACGTATAACGTGGTGTAACGTTTCGCGACCTTGAAGTGGCACTTGATGCTGTTGTCCTAGTCACCCAGGCATGCCTGGAGGTGTGATTTTCTGGCTGAACGGCCAGTTGACGTCGACAGCACAGGAGATTTGAAGTACGTGTATGACAACGTGACTGCGTGTGACAAGGCGACTGAGCCAAGGCAGATATGAACAACCCCGTACCTTGAGTAGCTACAGCATCAATTGCCACTTCAAGGTCGCGAAACGTTATGCCATGGGATATGTCCCGAGCTAAATGATACCCATGCAGCTTGTACACGCTGTATGCATATCGGCTTCTGTTGTCAGATGATCGTGTCATGTGTGAAACTCAGAGTTACAATCTTAGAGGTAGAATCTTAGAGTTACAATCAGAGTTACAAGCTTAGATTTTTCAATCTTGTACCTTGAGTAGCTACAATAGCAGGGAGAACGTTGTCTCTTTCAGTCTGTTTCAAGCGGTTATAGCCTTCGGTGCGACATGTGCATTGCTCGACTATTTACTTCTGCCATGTTCTCTGCACACAGAATGCCCAGACCAAGAGGATTACATGCTGACTCCAGTCAATAGGAGTATTGTACTTCCAACCGACTGCGGAAGCGTCGCCGTCCTTTTGGTCTGTTCCAACGCAACTAACCAGTCCGTGGTGTGGCAGCCCAAGACCCTCCTGATGCCGAAATACCATTCAAGCGAGACATGGCCGTATATCTATTCGCGTGTGGTGAGACGACCGATTCACTACACGTGTTTGGACAAGGATACGGGTGATGTTCTCGGACACGTTTCTGTTCTTACAGCAAGTGAGAAATCATATTTAGTACGTGTCAATGATTTTTAATTATTTAACCGTTGATCTTGATGTTATCACTAGGGGTGATGACGTGTAATGTTATGGATTGGCTTGTCCTTTCGTTTTCAGGGAAGTTTGACCAGTCAGAATTTTCATGAATGTAGATTGTATACGCTATTATCCGCAGTTTGGTTGTCTGAAAAATTCCATTATTGAACCTTCGGTGGAAACTGCAAAGTGAGCTCAGGCTATACTTCCCCTGTTTTGCAGCACAGTCATATTGTCAAGTCATCCAGGCTGCTGTTTTCCATTTGCCCAGGGAATGTAAAAAAACACTGTATGGCATCATTGCTGAATGGTGTACGCACAGTGCAACAGTCATTCCAAGTACCATCCGTTGCTTCTTTTCTCTTCTTTGTTCACAGACAAGCCAGTGTTGATGCCTGGCCAGCAGGAAACGATACACGTTGACAACAGCTCACAGACATTCGTGACCAGGATCGACGTGGACCTGACGAAAACATTCGGACCCGGACCCCTTGTGTACAGGTGGCGTGCCATGTCTGTTGGGGAGCTATGCGGCTGGCCAGGGGAGGACGTCTGTGTGCTGAAGAGCGATCCTGAAGAGCTTCACGTCGTGCATCTGAAACAGTAAGTGCTGTAGCTAGCCCTGGTTGAATCCGCCAGGTCATTTTGGTTGCTTGGCAGCCAAACTTGCTGATACCCTCTGTGTAACAGTTTGGGTTTTCCTAGTTTACCTTTGCACCAGTGCCAACCTTGTGCAATTGGTCCGGAAGAACCGGTCGGGTGGTCAGGCCATGGCCGGACGAACTCTTTGGCCACTGATCAATGTGTGTGTTCACTGCTGAGGGAATCATGTGCACCCGCCATATCATGCCCAAAGTATGAAGTGCTATGGCATGTCTGGGCCAATCAAAAACTGTTTCTGCCAGCCATGTTAAAACCATGGTCCTTTGACAAAAAAACGCAGCCAGGTGTGTGATTGTCTGCCGTTACCTCCAGCTGCTCAGGTCAATATCAAGGGTGTGTTGAGAATGGCTATGGGGAAACGTGCATCATGGTGCACATAATCGTCAATTCATGTAAGTAGTGACATCATGTTCAGATATGATGACATCATGTTCAGATATGATGACATCATGTACAAAATATGACTGAGCATGTGCTTTCTGTCTCATCCAACTGATATGTGTATGCCGGTGTTACTTGCTGTTCAGCCAAACTGGAATTTTAATTCCAGTTTTGGTGCTTAAAAGCATAATTAATAATTATGAAGGTATGATGCCATCCCTTCATATCTGTATACAGTGTACCCAGCTTCTATCTTAGCCTGAGCAGTAGTCTGCTACTTGTCCAAACTGAAAAAAGTGTCAGGTTCTATAATGTGAACAGTACACACATTCTTTCCAACATTACATCGCCAATGGACAACCATTGCACAAACACTACATCACCAATGGATAACCATTGCACAAACAATACATCACCAATGGACAACCACTGCACAAACATTACATCGCCAGTGGACAATCATTGCACAAACAGTACACAACCACGTTCACAACAAATCAAAATGCATGTATGTTCAAACGAAAGAGAGAAGTGAAGCAGATACGTCAATGATAGAAACAATAATAATATTATAGCAGCAGATAGCCAGGCTTGCCAATAGTACCCATGCACTTTCTGTGCATGCTCATTTCAGTAACATTTCACAGTCTCCAGTCTACATGTAGGTCACATGACCTCTGCATGTCCCTGTAATGGCTGCATGATGTGCAAGCGGCAGGCTTCAAGAAGTCGATGTGAGTCAACTAGGGTTGTATTCAAGTCAGGCGTCTATGTAACGTCAGATAGTCCATGCATACTGACACCTAAACCAGGTACTCGGTATGACTGGAAACATTCGTCCGGAATTCAGTTTCGTCTCTTTCGTCCAAGGAGTGTTCGGACTAAATTAAATGCCAGACTGATGTCGATTTTGTCGTGCATTTCAACTCATTTTACGATCCATGGACGAAATTTTCGACTGGACGAACTCCCTTTCTTTGGGGTTGGATGAAATTATTCTGCTTGTACAGTACTGTCTATTCTCTACTATAATTATTCTGTACTGTAATACTATAATTATCCCGACTGCTGCATGGACGATAAGTGCTGCGAATAGTGATCATGCACCCTGGCCTGAGTAGCTCCCTTGGCTAATTGAAAGTCTGCCGACCTCGGCCACATTATGTTGCTAATACATGCACAACCCCAGTCACAGCGCACAAGTTGGTTGAGTTTGGCCGTCAGGAGGCCAGCGCAAGGTATCCGGGGCGTGGGTCTGATTCCAGCGAGGGGCAATGTGGTACCCCGCAGCGCAAGGGTAGCGTGATACCCTAAGCCAACGCGCGCGCTGCATGAGTAGCGTGATACTCGCCGAGCGCTTTTGCTGTTGCCTAGCAACGCGTTTCTGTCTTTCCTGGGCCCCCAAATGCATGTTGGGTGGCCCTGCGCATGACTGCACGTTGTCATAGCAACCTTGGAAATCTCAAGCCGGTTACCAACAAGCTAGGAATCAGACAAAGCCGCCGAATGCCCCCGCCGGCCCCCGGCGCTTCATTGCAATTGAATTAATATTTTGTCCAGAATAGTGAGCTAGGACAGATCAAAATACAATGTAGCTTGGAGTACCATCATGCTGAGTAGCACTCATTGTGAGACGTAGGATAGTGTAGAGCGATAAAATACCAGGAGGCGTGGGTGGGAGGGAGAAATTGCAAAACAGTTGGATGCACGCAGCAGCACATCTAGCAAGAGAAAGAGCCGTGGATGGGTTTGTTCCTGTTTTTGATGGCTGTGACCATCCGTTGGCCCAACGGTCTCGTGTGAGTACGGCGTTTGTTTGTGCTGCCAGCTCGCGCCCGGCGTTTGTTTGTGCTGCCAGCTCGGGCCGTGCGCAAGTGAAACCGAACCGTGACGAAGGCTTTCGCTCTTTAGTGCTATTGACTGGCTTTTCATACGATGCCTATTGATGTCTAGAGACATGCTGTCTAGCCTTCCCCTGGTACGCATTCACGGGGCTTTGTTGAAGTTCGTGCCGTGAACTGCCAAAGGGAATTGTTTGAATGGTGCTGGGGCGAGTGCGACATTACGGCGTCCCTGCAGCCGGCCTAATCGCGTTTGTCGCCACAACCGATTTTATAAGCGCTCTGCTTATCTATTTTCAACACCCCTCTACCCGCGCTTATATTGGAGACCTCGCTTATTATGTATTTGCAGCCAACAACTCCATACAGAGCAAGAAGAAATATACTAGCACATGTTAGATGTCATGCATGCAGCACTGATTTCCACCGAGACCGTGCTAATAATGGAGACTGTGCTTATAATGTTTCGAAAGGCGCTCACAGTGTGCTAGTATTAGAGACTGCACTATTAGTGGAGACCTGCGCTAGTAATAGAGAATATACGGTATGTAATCGGATGGTCCATCTTGACCAAATTTTGGCTTCTATTTGTAGTCAAAGCAGGCTTCTAGATAGTAGATGGACAGTGCAGTTCGCGTATGCCAGAGTATGTGTGGGCAAAGGGAATCCATGGTTCATACAATCTGATAAATGTGATCATAAGAAAGTCCATATCTCCTCCTAGTGTTTGCTTATTGAGACGTGCTCGGTGGTGAAACAAGTCTACTCTAATCATTCTTCATGTCTGGGTCACTTGTTCAGCTACCTGCGACCTGAACCCTGTCCTGTTGGGACCCTTCTCTCAGCAGCCGGCCTATGTAGCAAACATCACTGCTGGCGGTGAGCACGTGGAGAACGCATCGTTCTACTTTGACTTTGTGGTGAGTGCGCCTGTACCCGGCATGCGGAATTACTACAGTCCATTCATTGGAAACTGGCACCCTAACTTTTTGGTGTCTCCCACACATAGCTGCAGATATCGTGACAACAACAGTACATCCTGCATTGTGTGAACCATGCAATTACTCCTTTCCACATTTGAGGCCAGAAAAGTCCAAGAACAGGGAAAAAGAAATTCAGCCAGGTTTTACAAAATTAGGACAGGTATGCCATGGCAAAATGTATGGAGAAGCAGATCCTAAACCCAGATTTTTGAGATTTAAAGTGGGTTTTTGATCCTCAATTCGGCCCAAATCCGACTTTCAAAAGCCAGCGGGACAGTTTCGGATGAATGGACTGTAGAAAGAAACACGCACATAACGCACAAGTAGCTGACCTAAGACGCCAGGTTTTCCGAGATATGTCTCTTAGTGTAGCACTTGTGACGAGCCACATGCCAATACCATTCTCTAGAGCACTTCAAGTACATGTGTGTAGAAGCTGAGTGCTTAGTGAGGCCCGAGCCCTGTAAAAAACCCCTGCCTGCCATGAGTGGTGGCAAGTAGAAAGATTGCCAGGAGGCTAATACCGTGCTGGCCTGGGCATTGGCAGTGCCGGGTAAGTAAGTCCTCTTTTGGCCCGGAGTGGTGGTGGTGGCGGTGGCGGCGGTGGTGGTGGTGGTGGTGGCGGTGGTGGTGGTGGTGGTGGCGTCGGCGGTGGTGGTGGTGGTGGTGGTGGTGGTGGTGGTGGCGTCGGCGGCAGTGGTGGTGGTGGTGGAGGTATACATGTATGGGAACTATACAACACCATTGACTAAGAATGTCAAGCTGTTCATTGGGGAATGACTGGAAGGTGAAAGAGACGTGTTTAAAAACACGGTGAGAGCAACTTTGATCCTCCGATGATTGGCAGTGTATAAATTCTTGAACTGCATTGTCTCCTGTTTGTACACAGGCCACTACAGGATTACAGTTGCTGTTGCGCAATGTTAACACATCCATTGTCACCGTTTTTCCAACCGACAACACTACGACCATGATCGACAGCCCGCACTGCTGTCAACGAGCTGCCATGCCTGCTGGAGGCACGTACAACATCTGCTGGACAGGGGAAACTGGTGGTGTCACGGTAGAGCAGTGCTTCGAGAGCCTGGTCTCTACTCCGCCGCTAGTTCATGACAGCACACCAGTATCTCACTTGACCGTTCAGCAGATGGTTGGAGTAGGTGGCGGAGTGTTTTTTGCTTTCCTTCTGCTAATCATTACACTGATCACTGGTAGGTACTTCAAAGTAGACCTTCTCTCTCTCTTCATCATTAATACCCCTCCCCGTCCCCTTTCTCCCTTCATCTCTCTCCCCCCCCCCTCTCTTTCTCTCTTCACCTTTCTATCCTTCTCTTTCTCTCTTCATCTCTCTCCACTCTCTTTTTTTTCTTTGCCTCTCCGCCTCTGTGTGTTCTGTTTCCTCTCTCTCTATCTCCATCTGCCTGCCTGTCTTCCTGCCTGTCTGTCTTCCTGCCTGCCTGTCTTCCTGCCTGCCTGTCTTCCTGTCTGCTTGTCTGCCTTCCTGCCTGCCTGTCTTCCTGGCTGTCTTCCTGCCTGTCTTCCTGCCTGTCTTCCTGCCTAGTGCTTGTCTTCCTGCCTGTCTACCTTCCTGCCTGCCTGCCTGCCTGCCCGCCTGCCTGCCCGCCCGCCTGCCCGCCCGCCTGCCTGCCTGCCTGCTTCCTGCCCGCCCGCCCGCCCGCCCGTCCGCCCGTCCGCCCGTCCATCCGTCTACCTTCCTGCCTGCCTGCCTGTATGTCTGTCTGTCTGTCTGTCTGTCTGTCTGTCTGTCTGTCTGCCCCTATCCCTCTTCGTGGTTAAACTTCAATGCTGTGTAAAAAACGAAATTTTTTCTTTTCATAAACGGCGAGGAGACAACAGCATTTCTTTTCAACTTAACAGTAATCGTTCTTGTACTCTTTTCTATTCACCATGCGCACAGTTCGCCATCGGAAAAAGAATACCACCACAGCACAAACAGAGAGTGAAAGTCTGGACCTCGTCGGTCACCTCGGTAAGAATTGCCTCCTCACTTTGAAAAGCTCTGCATGCCTACTAGCACAGCCAGCACCACTGCCACAGCTTGGTGTTTGTTGGTCGCTTGACAGCATATTCACCATGTTATTCATGTTATTCATGTTATTCATGTTATTCTATCAAACAAGGCTTACATAATACCAGAGTGGTGTTTGGTATATGTCAGAGAGGGTGAATGAGTGCGCGCGTGTGTGTGTGTGTGTGTGTGTGTGTGTGTGTGTGTGTGTGTTTCTGTGTGCCTGTGTGGGTGTATACGTGGGTGTGTCTGTGTGTCTACCGTGCTATCTGTGTCTGTGTTGCGTACATTTCGGTAAGCATGTGTGTGTATGTATGTGTGTGTGTATGCATGTGTGCATGTGTGCTGTTTCAATCAAGTGATAATCATTTACCCTGATGCTGCGGTGTGTGTGTGTGTGTGTTTGTGTGTTCAGATTCCGATGACGAGATTGACGATGCTCCAGTGTCTCACGAGATTGTTGTACCACGTAAGGAGAAGTGGAATTCTAACGTTGTCGCATGCCGTTCCATTCTGTGATGCATCCACCCTCTGATACAGGCAAATGATAGTTTCCAGCACATAAAGCAATGACTTCAACCCATAAGCATGAGTGTAACAACCGTGCACAGCCAACACTAAGTTTGCTGCTGCTGGTGGTTGTGTGTGTGCGGGTGCACTTGTTTATTCATGATTATACTCTACTGCACAGCTCAACGTGTCTCCCGTTCATCCTAGTTACTCGTACCCATTTGTAGTGGATGTTAGGTCAGGGGAGAGGGGGGAGGGGGTAAAGCAGCTCACACTCACGGTCTCTTGATTCCTGTATGCACAGGTCGGTATTATTGCTGACAATGCATCTCTAGCCGATTTCAACAGCGTTCTACTTATACCGCTACTTGTCTTGTGTGGTCTTTTGATTGCTACGTGTGTAGGCAGAAAATCTAAAGGATCCGGACAGAGGAATGGTGTTACTAGTCGGCATAGGGGAGACAGCACGACTCTGTTCGCTGACGGAGTGTTGCCTGTGGAGAATCGTGGAAAGCAAGGTAAGAAAGGTCCCAAGTCTCTTGTACGGGCAAAATTAACACAAACGCAACCTCAACAGGAAGAAACTTGATGAGCTAAAAATGGCTGTGAGCACAGTCTGATACGGAGGGAGCTAAAATGGCTGTGGAAACAATCTAATACAGGAAGAGCTAAGATGGCTAAGCAACGTACTGCATGACTCCATTACCCCGGCACTTGATTTTACTGCGTACTGTGACGAGTTCTAAAGGGATGCAATGGGTCTGTATGTTACCCATCCTTATCTTAGAACTAGTTACCGGTAACCCTCACTGCTCAGTAAGTGAAAGCGGCTAGTTGAAACTACCATACTATCACACAATCACCTTCAATCCCTTATTCCAAGGCAATGTAGGCACAATCTCCAACAAGGACCCGCCCACACCTACAGATGATCTGATGGCGGTGAGTTGACTAAATTGGACGCAAACGTCAATGTTGCAGACACTTAAAAAATAGGTACTGTAAATATACAAAATTTCGGCGTTGCAAAATTTCGGCACTTCACGATTTTTGACATTTCGGCGGCAATTTATTTTCGGCGTGGGGTAGAGGGCATGGTATAGTGCGACAGATGCTGTGAAAAATTTCATCGGCGTTTTAATTTAGGCGTTTTGGGCCGGTGCCGAATATAGCCGAAATTAAATAGCTGCCGAAAATTTGTATATTTACAGTAAGGCCACGCCGTTTTTTTCTATGTTTCGCGTCACCTTATCCGATGAAATCAATGAGGGAGGGCGAAAAAAATAAAAAGCCATCCAAAAAAAACAGTGTACGTGCATTGCATTTGTGTACAGTGAAGCGACGCGGCACTGTTCATGTACATGAATACATGAGTGTATCCCCTCTGCCATGCTTGTTGTCCAAACACAGGCGGCATGATGATTGTGTGACTTGCAGCCCAGCGTATTACACACACATGTGAGCTGAGTACAATCATGCGAGTAACTACTCATGCGATAAATAGAACAAAATATTTAATTGATGCCAACATAATAGTTACGTGTAACAATCATGTTCTCGGGTTTTTTTCCTTTTGGGTTACATTTTCCGGTTTTCTGGGTTTGCACTAAATTTGTATTGCATTTTCAAAAAAAAAAATGTTGTTCCGTTTTTTTTTTAACTCCGGCTGTGAAATACATGCGCGCGGGGGACGCGAAACACAGATAAAAAACGGTGTGGCCTAATATGAAAATTAATAAGGCCTAGCATGAACAGCAAAGTATGCATATAAACAGCAAAACTGATCTGCAATACCCAGGAAAGCTCCTTGTTGTTCAGCACCTGCTGCGTTGTACATGTGCTTGCCTTGTTTCCTTTACGCAGAGCAAAGCCGACAAGCGCCAGCCACCGCAGAGCGTAGCGTGGCATTCTCTGGGATAGCCGATCATCTAGCAGTGCCCGAATGCGAGGAGAGTCGAGCGACGCTGATATCGGTGAAGGAGACAACTACAAGTAGGTGTTATCCGGGAATTAGAGTTTGAATTTAAAATTTGAATTTCTCTGTGGAGGAGAGACTCTTTGGAGCAGGAACACACCGTGCTCACAAGTAATTCTAGACCTTCTTTCTGAGGCCGGGGAAGATGCATCGGCAACTGCATTAAAGCCTGTCAAAGCGACCACTCGGATATGCCGACCACTTGCCCTAAAAGACCACTGAAATCAGGACCAAGGGATGCTATTGCCAGTCAAATGACGCTGGATAAGGCGACCGCCTGGCAACAGAGACCACGTTTTGAAGGTCCCTTGCGAGGCCGTCTTAGACAGGTTTCACTCCATGGCCAAGGATGCTGCTGATCTCTCTTGCCAATCTCCTTTTGACGTCTAGAGTTTACCGTCTTTCACATGGCGAGATTGCAGGAAGTAGCGTTGTATTCTTCACCTGTTCCCAGCCCTGTGTCATCTCCACACTCAGACAATGGACTACGCGATAACTACATTTGAAAGACTATATTTGTGACAAGACGACGGAAACACAACTAGACATGACGAACTCAAGACGAAGACTGCTTTTCACACCACAGCAACAAATTTCTACCACCGCTGCCACCAATGTTGTATTCGACTTTCTTCACCTGTTCCCAGCCCTATGCCATCTCCACACTCAAACAATGGACGACGAGATAACTACATTTGAAAGACTGTATGTGTGACAAGACGACGGAAACACAACTAGGCATGACGAGCTCAAGATGAAGACTGCTTTTCACACCACAGCATGCAGCACGCGCGTGCACCAACACCACGTACACACGGCGTACACAAAATAACGTACTACAGTAGCCAGCCGCCGGTCTGGTCTCCATAGCTACAGCTAGACTCACTACTGAAAACCCGATATTAACCATGAGAAGACCAATGAAAGGAATTCGGGTGGAGACACCCATTCCCATAGCGCTGCACATCCGAACCAGTTCCGTTATTTTACAACGTTTCGGCACTTGGCCATCGTCAGGTAATAAGAACAATGAACGTTGTAAAATATCGGAACTGGTTCGGATGTGCAGCGCTACTAGGATGGGAATGGGTGTGTCCACCTGAATTCCTTTCACAGATGAAGCTGCAGGAAGCCTCAGCCCTTCTTCAGAGAAGACCAATACTATAATAATTATTATTAGATTGCAATGCTCAGTCATTATACACCGTAGAGTCTTGTATTTTTGCATGTCTGCTCAAGATCACAGCTTGAAAATGAGCCTGGCTGGAATACAGGCATTACCTAAGCATCGAGTTATGTGACCACCATCGGCGCTGTTTTGCATGTGATTTAAAAGCGTGTCCGTTTGGAGCTGCGTGGGTCTGTGTATGTGTGTGTGGGGTAGGCCTTGGCGGATAATGCCGGCAGAAAAATTGGCAGAATTCGGTACTTTTTCGGGTAAGTTTCATGCATGTTTGGTATGTGGATAAAGAAATGGAGCAGAATTCGAGGAATTGCCCGCCATAAGGTTTGTATGGTTCTGCCAGTTTCACTGCTTTTCGAGCAGAATCTGCCACCTTTTCGAGCATTATCCGCCAAGGCCTAGTGTGGGGGGGGGGGAGGGGAAGGGTGGGGGGGGGGGGGGGTGCTCTTACGCAAACCCAGGTAGAGATTTGGGCTTATGGTCACAGTGGAGACCTCAGTGCCACAAGGCCTCGATTATCATGACATTGTAGCACGCATCTGCACTTGTGGTATTCCTTGCAGATCGTCCCGTACAGGTAGCCAGTATACACCACAGTGGAGTCAGACCGAGACATGATGGAGCCTCGGACAAAACAAGCTATGCATTCCACCATCCGCCCTCACCAGGCATGCGTATCACAGCCAGACCTGGAAGGGGTTGTGACGTGGAGATGAATGGCTTCAGCTGCGATGAGCAGTTACTGAAACCCCCGGCGTTTTCACCGTTCCTTCCAGGTTAGTTTCGGCATTCTTGAATACCTGAACAGGGATTCTCTAAGCGGCAAATGTATGGATGTTAATTTTGAAAGGAATAGATGGCCAAGTTTAGACACTAGCTTTGCTGGTGGTGGAGGTGGTGGTGGTTGTGGTGGTGGTGCTGCTGCTGTTAACGTTGCTGTGGGCAATGTTGCTGCTTTGGCGTGTACTGCTACTTCCACCACCATTGCTACTGCTGCTGGGTTGCGGCTGCATATCTGACATCACCGTTTCCGTGCTTTGCCAATACAACTAGCCAGTGCAAAGTTTTAACTGATGACTACTGTACTTTGGTATAGCTCTTTCAGCCTTTAAAATCCTCGTAAACAATAAGGATTCGTCCCACTCTGTCCAGTTTTGGTCCATCCTGCATTTAACTCGGATGGAGAGCCAAGGATTAAAAATTTAAAAAAATGAGAGGACCATAAGGACCATGCTTGTAATCGTTAGCGTTGGACAAAACGGATAACTTGTAAACTTATGGTCCTCTCATCTTGCATTAGCTTACAGAGAAATCTGCTGTCCTCTTTGTTCTCAGGATGCTCTTCAGCGGATGATACGGCGCGCAATCGCAGTGTTCCCACCATGCGAGAACGTGCCAGCATGCTTGGAGGCGAGGAGCCGGGCGGTGACTGGCTTAGCGATCAAGGGCTGCGCAGGACTGACAGCACTACGCACAGCACCGTGCAACACTCCATGCAGCTGATGCAGAAGACCGACCAGGACAATATACAGCAAGCCAGCATTATTGAATACGTATGCAATGTTGCCAGCATGCCTGTTGGAGTGCATAGTGTCTACCCGGCGGCACCGGAAGCAGAGAATGAGAGCGGTGACGAGCACCCAGTTAACAGGGATGTTACGCAGAAAGTGGATCAAACGGAGCTATAAACGTATAGCATGCCTCTTCCCGTACGCTACGGTTGCCGTGACGACATGCCACACACCGCAGTATAAGCTGATGGTGACGTCCTCTGCGGGGATGGATATCGAGTGTCAGCAAGAGCTTACAGACTAGCTGACCGCAGAATATGGAGTATCATGAGTGTTGGGATCGTGGTGAGGTTGTGCAGTGATCTCTCCCTGTGTAAAACCGCCAACTTGTCTTCGACGGTGCTACCGTGATCTACCCAGTCAACCAGTCGCCGGGCCGTTGAGTACCGTGACAATGTGCTGTGATTTAGAACAGATGCAAGACCAAGCTCTTTGCCATTGATTTCCCATACGGCGGCTGCTGAGGATACCAGGCAAGCAAACTGTAAATCAGCTGCGCCGTTGGTTTTCCCGGCTCAGCAACATTAGTCAACCGGGGTAACTGTGCACTACTTGGCAGGTTCGCGATTCAGTATTTAATTGAACTACGCTGAACCGATAACTCAATAACCTCGTCGTCACGTCACTATGGGACCATTAATTTTACTTCAATCTATCATTATGCGTGTACGTGTGGCAACGTTAGCCTCTGCGAATTTCTAATAGATTGTCTGCTTCACGCGCTTGTCTAAATTCTAACGCCATCTGTATGCATGTCCCAGCAGCACTGTGCCTTTCGTTATCACCTTTAGAACTGGCGTCACCTTCAACTTCTTTGGGTATGCCACTTTTCTATGTAGAAAGTGCGCAATTGCGCCACTTTTACCCTATACATGTCAGGAGCGTCGGACACGGTACGGTCACTACGGTATTGACCGTACCGCTATTTGCCCCAAGTACCCTGTGAATCAATAAAATGCACTGATTTGGGCTCTAATTTCCCAAAACGTTCGGCTCAGCCATCCCTCCCACACGAGTGAATTGTACTTCAGATGGCTGACCGTACCACACTAAATTACCTTCCGACGCCCCTGCATGTGAATATAACCATTCCTTTATCTGCTATTCATGTGTTACCTACCTCCACTGAGGAGCTCTTAATTAATGAACAAAACAGTTGTCTGGAAGATATGGAGCCGCGGCACTGATCTACCCAAGAACGGACTTCCTCGCTATGGAGTATGGTGTTATGAACGTGGGCCAAGAGCGCAGTGTGGAGTGGTGGACAGTTCAAATTACACTGAACCAGCAGGGATATTGGTCTGCACCGAACCAGCAGTACTCAGTGTGTTTCTCTGTGCAATATTATGTTCTTTTACTCTGATCTGCAGACAGGACTGTTCGTCTTTTGTGGACTCATGTGCACAGCACAGAGGAAATGAGGCCGAACCTGATAGCAGTGAAAAACAAAATTCAAAGCCAGGTCTTCAGGGGCGTACGCCGCTCGCCTCCAGGAGTGGTTCCCATGCCAACTGATGAACCACCATTACACACAATTGAAGTGCTGTTTTTCGTACCCCACAGAGTTTCTGCATATTCTCCTCAGACTGGGTGAAATTGCCATCCACAAGCTGCTGGACGATGTCATTGCTACGCATTTATGATTTTAAAAGACTGAACTTTTCCCCGTTTTATGGATGTTTTGGTCAGCATGACGATTGCATGCAGTCTTGAAAGCTGCCTAAGTTTCGAATCATCTGGAGCAAACATCACACAGGCCAAGCAGAAGCCACCATTGCATGCCTGTCAAAAGAATATCCAGGGTAACTCCTCCAACAAGGATAGTTGAAAGTGGCGCTGTTTGCCATCCATCTGGACACGCACAGGAAATGAAATCCTTCGCCTGCGGTGGCGCACAACGATTGTCGATGACGGAAATCTTTTCCGTGTCCAGCAAATTTCGGGGGACTGGATTCCACTGTGGACGTCGACTTTCAGCATCCCTTCCAACACCCTCCCATGTCATTGAAGTAAGTTTTGGATGATCCAGCAGCTTCCAACAACGGTCGCTCTACAGCTTCGCCGACGATTTCTTCCTCAGCGCTGCTCGTTGCATGCATACTTCACTTGCACGTCAGGTGCGTCTGCATTCTCATCTATCGCTTGACCTTCGCCACTAGCACTGGCTACACACTTTGCCTGCAGCTCAAAATAGCTCTGAATAGAGCGCTGGCCCTCTGGATGTCGACGCTTCATTTTTCTTTTCCACAAAGCGAAAGCATCGTCAAAACACGACCAACTTTGTCAAAACAAACTCCAAAAGAAAATTTGACTCTGAGATCGAGGAATCCGGCGATGTAACTAGACTAGAGACTTTGTTGAACCCATCATGGATGGGTTCAGGCATGGCCCAGTTCAGTAGATCTACGCTGTGTCCCACTCCCAGCACCACTTTCACGCCTGGGCTAGTGGTCAGTCACCGTCGACGCGTCCTCGGACCGGCAGGCGGACTCCAGACATGCACTGCATGCACTTGCACTGTGAGTCTGTGAGCGCTGGGACTGGATCAAAAAATTCTCTGTACCCATATCGAATTTGTTTTACTGGTTCCCGGGCATCCCGGGAACCGCCCTATGTACGCCCCTGGTCTTTGTAGACCACTGAGTAGGAAGAACGCAAGCCGGAAAATTGGCGGTGCACTCCAGCAAAGTGTAGATCCGATTCAGTGATTGGGTTTAGTGACTGCTTCTCAGTGTGTGTGTGTGTGAAGCTGTCATGTGACATTGTATAGCCTGTGACCACGTAACTGCTGACGTGCAACCGACCGTGTCGTATTGGAAAGGCTTCCTGGCCTGTCTGAAGCCTTTCCATACTGGTACTCGATGTTCCAGTTTTGTGACACGAGAATGGCACGAGAATTAGTGTACCGCTGAGTGTACCGCTATACACGTGGTCGACACGTAGTCGACACGTTGTTGATACTTTTTTGACACGTGACCCCGTCAACGGTCTGCTTTGTGCCAATGACACTCGGTAACCGATGTCGCGTACGACAAAGACGACTATCCCGTACGCGAAATAGTTGAGAACTGCATGACGTGGACCTAGTACCTGACGGCAAGGACAACTGCGAGGAGGCCCCTTTCCGTACCCCTGACGGGAAGGAGAACTGCAGAAGTCGAACGAGGAGGCCCCTTTTCGTAACCCATACTGCAAAGTGCCATTGATGGATACCTTTTGCACCTGGAACGACCCCTTAAACGCTGTCGCGGCGACTATCCCGTACGCGAAATAGTTGAGAACTGCTGACGTGGACCTTTTGCACCTGGAACGGCCCCGTAAACGCTGTCGTGTCGGCGGAGTGAATGTGCAGGGTACTAGGGTGAAAAGAATTGCTGCAAAGACGTCCCCTCTACTAGGCTCTAGGCCTTTGCCTTTGGAGACATCGTCGGTGAACTGAATGCGCAGGGCGAAAAGAATTGCTGCAAAGACGTCCGCTCTAGGCCTTTGGAGACATCGTGGGAACTCCTTCCGGTACTATACAAACTGCTGACGTGGCCGTGGACATGTACATGGAGAGTCATGGTGGGACTTCATGTACATGGATACATGGTGGGAATTCCTTCCGGCACCCCCGTACCGCAAAGCCAACGGTGGTTAAGGAGAAGTGCAGACGTGCAGGAAGACGAACGAGGAGGAACCAGGACGAGCGAGCAATGGCAGGACTAGCTGGACCGTAAGTAATAGCTGAATTGTGCATGACAACTTGACACCCATGCGGCACTCGCCACTTGCCACTGCATATTTCTTGTCCACTAACAATGTCTCTCCTCTGCCCCCTGTGTGTCCACGGCCCTGTTTCTGAATTGGCCCGATGAATCGAATGTCTTCCGCAACTGGAACGGCCCCGTGAACGCTGTCGCGTCGGCGACTGAATGCGCAGGAGGGAAAATATTGCTGCGAAGACGTCTCCTCTAGACGACGGTAAGGCACCCCATTGATATGTTGCCAGTGTGTGCCAGGGTATCGCGTGTACGTATAACTTCTCAAAAAAATTTAATGGTCCACAGTCGTGTCGGAAGGGTACGGTGGGACTGTAGCCATGTTACCTTCTAACACGTTATCAGGTGGAGAGTGTCTTGTACTCACGTTATCACTATATAAGGTCGAGAGCGTATTGTAGTCACTCTCTCTATTCCTGTACTTCATTACGTTTCAGGTGTACGTATAACTTTTCCAAAAAAAATTAATGGTTCACGTCTTCAGATAGAGAGCGTATTGCACCCACTGTCTAGTCTCTGTAGTGCATTGAGATTTTGTTGATCGAACATGAAATGGATACAAAGACAAAGCCAGGCCAAGTACATGGCGAGATGTCGCCAGAAGAACGTCTTCAGGTAGAGAGCGTATTGCACCCACTGTCTAGTCGATTTTGTGGATCGCACATGAAATGGATACACAGACAAAGCAGGCCAAGTACATGAGAGAGTGGACGATGTGCAGATCGACACGGTCTGCGGGTACTTCATTAAAGTTACCCGTGACATAACTAGGATAAAAGTTAATCACTGCAAAAACATTGCCAAGTATGTGAGCACTTTGGACTTGACAGAAGAGTGCACGGGCGACGTTGACAAAACATACCGCGGTGACTGTCACTATCATGACAGCAGGGCACATCGCACGCAGCATCGCAGATCGTGTTGAATTGCGCATCATAATATTGCAAAATTGCTCCTGTGCATGCAAGTGGATTTCATTGCACTTCTCAGTTTGGGAAATGCTCGATTATGACAATTCTCCGTGTGAGTGCACTAGCCCTGAACAGACATGTAGGTGAACCGTTTGCGGTGTCTCATAGCCTACCTCACGACCTTCTGCTTTCTTTCTTCATCACTTGTATCTTGCAGGTATATCATCCCGTGACGACCACATTGAAGTCTGAATTTGAAGTGTGAAGATGCTTCAGCAACCACATCGTACTTTTCCATTGCTTTTATTGTGCTTCTACTGTGCATGTGTGTAACTTGTGGAGTAAACATGTGATGACATTGTATGCTGGCGACACGGTCAGATGTTCATGCGTCTAACGTACACCTGCATGTTATGCATTGAAAAGGGTTTGCCACTTGCGATCCTGGGACGAGTATCAGGTCCGCTTTGTCCTGTGTGGGCTGTATCAGATTGCTGTTCACTTCTCTATCTGTTGGATATGTGACTTTCTGCAAGTTTCTGGTGTATGATGGCCACGTCCTTGCTTGTCACTTTGTATGATATTACATTCTGTATTCGCTGCTTCCATGGCATGGTCTGCAAACTGCAATCCTTGGGCAAATGTCATGTTTGCTATGTTGTGCTTTGGCCGTCAGCTTGTCTACACGCTGTAGTTGAATTATTTTTGTTTCACAACTGACTTCCTCAAGTACGATGGTCACTGCTTTGCATGGCATTATACATGAAGAATTTCCTGTTTGTGCCGTGTGCATGTGCGTATGTGTGCGTGGCCACGTGTGTGTGCCGTGTGCATACACATGTTTGTGTATCTGTGTGCGGGGTAGCGAGGCGGGGAGGGCTGGTATGTATCAGTGTGTTATTGCAGTCGCATGGCTACATACAGTACATCGCGCGCGTGGTCATCATGTTTACCTTCGGGGTTGGGGTGGGGAGGGAACGGAAAAAGAGCGGAAATTATCCATATAAAAATCGCTCTGTGAGCGGTTCTGAAAAACCTTTACTGGTACTGCCCCGTCGTAAAAGTAAGAAATTAGAACTGGCCCATTGTCCCCCCAAACGCGAACTGATCCACCTAAATCGCGAATGACGGGACCCGAACGCACCAGTAGCACGAGGTTCCTACCTGTGGATGCAGATGGGGACGTTGGTCCGGACCATAGGCCATGTGCTGTACTAGCGGTAGACTTACCTATCAAAATAATAAATTCTACTACTACTACTGGTGTTACCCTATGATAATTGCCGTGATCCTGTGCCCTCCCGACCTCGTGCTACTGGTGCGTTCGGGTCCCGTCATTCGCGATTTAGGTGGATCAGTTCGCGTTTGGGGGGACAATGGGCCAGTTCTAATTTCTTACTTTTACGACGGGGCAGTACCAGTAAAGGTTTTTCAGAACCGCTCACAGAGCGATTTTTATATGGATAATGCACGTGTGTCGAATAATGCTTGCTTTCCGTGACTATGTCTAGCGCTGCGTGCCATGTTCCAGGAGTGTGCACTTCCGGATTCCATTATCCCTGCCATCACTGAGACCGCTACTGTCAACCTGGAAAACCCGTCTTCTGGGTCACTGTTGCCCGCAAATGGACGTGGCCCAGATTCCGTGCAACAAGTCACGGTTATTTGGATAGCTCAGTTGAACCAACAATACCATGGCATGGACGAAAGAAGCGGTTGGCGGCGATATACGTTCGTTGGAGATTTAAGTTCGCTGGATATTCCTGAGACCAGTTCAGGCTCACACGGGGTGACTTGGAATCGCGTATGGCTGCATCGCGGGTTCCGAATCCGGCAATGGCGGCTTCCTCCCCCGACACCCATTTATGGACTCCCACTGTGTACGCCGTGGAGTGTTCAGGAGGAGTGGCGGTGTCTAGTAAGATGCACCGGCAGTCAGCGCAAAAAGTACAATGTAGTTTCCCTTCCTGTGCACCATGCCTCCCCCCCCCCCCCCCCCTCCCCGCCCCCATAGCCGTGGCACAACACTGACCATAACTCATCAGGGAGCCGGACTGAGTATAATCCCGGTATTTTTTACTTCTCCCCGATACAGTGTACTAGACAGCTGTAACCAGGGAGTCGTAAAGTACCATACATGTGCATGATGTATACACTCACAATACAGTCAGTGTAGGTATTTTACTCCTCCCGGCCTGTAACTGTCGACAATGCATCATGAATATGGCCCTATTTATATGGGCCAGTCCAGGCCGCTGGGTGTACCAGGTGTACTATACGTCATGTACAGTACCACCTCCAAACCCGGGTTTGTGCCGGGCTTTAAAACCGTCTAAAATATCGTTCCAAAACCGCGGTCTTTCTAGTTTCATGGATTTCGCATGACGTATGCTTGCAGCGGGCATAATTATGACGTCGTTCAAATCGCAACGGCGACATGTATGATTTTTTCAGTCTTTGTTTTTGTTTTCTTTTTATCAGACTTGGAAATAGTTCACAAAGAAAATTAGTTCAGTGCAGTCTGTCTTGAGCTTGTGTAATGCTGTTCATATCCGTGGTGTCTGTCCCTTGTGAAGTGCAATGAGCCGTCTCTTGTAGTACGACCCACCAAATCTTACCAGTAATCTTCTGAGTCGTGCCTTGTACTTGCTACTTGCAATGGGATTCAAAACAGCGTTGCAGATGTTTGCGAAAGATGATCAAGTAAGTTCGAATCACTTTAGCGATGAGCCTAGTTAGGTAAAAAAATGTACTTGCTTACGATATATTGGGTTGTAGCTACTGTCTCCATGGTCGCCCAGTGCATGAACATGCAGGAGTATCTCCTTGTGTTTATTTTCACGCCCCTGTGCAATGCTTTGGCCTAGAATTGGCCTTATCTTGGTGATAGCCTGTAGATCAAACCATTGCACTGATCATCACTAGCCAGGTGTGAAGTACTTAAAGTTCAAGGGGTACGGGGAGAGTACAATACGAGTACATGTAGGGCAAGTTTCACTTGATAAGTCGCTGGGACATGACGAAATGGCACCAGTGGGCACCTTGCTGTGCACATAATGTGCAGGGATGTCAGTTTTTTAATGCTATGAAGAGTGTAAAAAATGAACAGAATCCATGCATTATGACGTATGTATATGAAATGAACCAGTTACCCATATAACAATATTTCTTGGTGTGACGCAAATATCGTTATGAGGGTAGGTCGACTGTACATGCAGGCCACTAGTATTCACCTGCAAAAGTAAGCTGTACTCTATGTTATCAGGAAATTTGGCTGAAAATAATGGAGGATGATGTGTGTGAAGGTAAAAAGCACCCGTGTAAACATTCTAGTCATCGGAGGCGTCCCCTCCACACATATGCGCGCGCGCGCGCGCGCACGCGCACACACACACACAAGTGAGATGCGTGCTCATGCACACACATACACACACACACACCACACACCATGTACCATGTATACGCCCGTCGCAAGAGAAGCACGCAAATCTGCAAATGCACTGGATGTGCACCCACAGATTTTCACACACACACACACACACAAGCATGCATTAGAAGAAGTTATTCTGGTAACTGACAGATCTGAGGGTGGGGGAAATTTCGGGAGTGAAAGTCACTTTACTACGGAATCGCGGTATCCTGTGGGGACAGCTTTAGGAACATAATTTTGGCCATGTTCCTTGTACCTCTATGGTGCCATAACTCTTTCAGAAAAGGATAAAGGTATAAGAGTACCTGGAGCTTACGTGCAGAATGATAGTGCAAACCTACATTGTCTTGTGAAACAGTTTCATGAGCTTTCAGTCGAGTCTAGTTCGGGAGTGGGTGTCCTCTTTTTTTTTTTTGCGATTCCAAGTTGCAGAAATTCCGTGCATGCTCGAGGTGTTACTTGTGAGATTGCAAGATCGCCCCAAGGTTGTACACCAGTGCGTGCAGGCATCAGACAAACCATGACCCCAGGTGAACAGTGGGGCAGTCATGGCCGTCGTACTACAATGCCATGTGCATGGCAAGAGTACAGGTTGTACGCTAGCAGGATACCCAGTCCCTGTATGCAGGACAACACTGGACAGCACACCCCTACCCTGCCCACACGTGTCCATACATGCCCATGCATACCCTCCCCTGCCCACGCATGCCCACTCCCGTGCACACGTAACCACCCCTGCCCAGCCCACACATGCCCACTCATGTGCACAAATACCCTGCCCACACATGCCCTCCCCTGCCCACGCATACCCTCCCCTACCCACGCATGTCCTCCCCTGCCCACGCATGCCCACTCCCGTGCACAGGCACCCACCCCTGCCCAGCCCACTCATGCGCACACGTACCCATCCCACTCCTGCCCACACATGCTCACCCTTGCCCACACATACCCACCCCTGCCCAGCCCACACATGCCTACCCCTGCCCACACATGCCTACCCCTGCCCATACATGCCCTCATGACTGAACTTAGTGTATCAAAAGTTCAAAACACTAATATAAGACTGGCTAGTTGCAATGCCCGGTCCGACTTCTGCCAAAAAATGATGCAATACAGTCAGACCTCGTTTATCTGGATCCCTCGCCATCCGGAAGAAAACCGGCATATGTTATGCATACAACATAACCGGACCTCGCGATCCGCATACCGGTGCATGATTTTGTGTACAAACTGGTTAAAATGTGTACAAAATGCTTCGTCGTATCCGGTTGCATGTGGCTGGCTAGCGCTTGCAGAAGCTAGTATCAAGGAGTTGTACAAGCAAATGAGGTCCTTGACCTGCTGGGTGTGTGCGGACAGCACTCAGTTGCATGCACTTGTCATTTTTCTCGCTTGTTTTACATACTGGGCACGCTAGTTGTACTGCATAGGACCTGTCTACATGTATGTATGATGTCACTGCTTTTCACATGCCACATGCATGTACAGTATGTGTGTTCAGTTATCCGGTTACCTCGCCTATCCGGATGTTTTTGTGGAAAACAGATGTGTGCGGTTAAGCGAGGTATGACTGTAAAGAAATTCCGGGGTGAGTGAGTCCATTGCAGCTCAAGATAGGAGTTACATATTCTTGGTTCATATGTACTCTGGGTAATGGTGTGGGGTTTGGGTTTTTTTCCGACGTCTATGCTATTTTACGTTCCCTCAAAGTCAATAGATAAGTATGCTTTTGTCTTCCTCTCCTCTGTGTGTGTGTGGAGGGGGGGGGGGGGCTAGTTAGCACTAGTAGCAAGTATTACCCTCACTGGGGGGGGGGGGGGGGGGCAGGGGTAACTGCAGTTGGATCCCGGGATGGATACCCTGATGCTGTCAATCCTTTTTTCTGCACCTTGTCCTCGCCCACCCACTGACTTACTGATTACGGGCCTCTCACTCCGGAACAGATGGTGTGCTCCAATGCCGAGGACAACATGTTTGGGTGGGACGACTCTAGTGCCACAGTACATTTAATATGTCTTGGGCAATGGAGCATACGCGGCGGTTGAAGGGACTGCTCCCGATATCGATTGCGCCCCGTTGTAATAGGACATCATGGAACATATCACTGAGGAGCCACACAAGGAAGTTAAAAAGCACGCCCGGAATGCAATCCTTGGCATCACACAGTGACAGGTCGCTACTCGTCCTCCGATACCCCCGCAAAGCAACACGCAATGATCTTGCAGCATGATAGATGCAGTGCAGCTCCTGCTGGTCATGCGTTACTTTAGCTGCGGAGTGGCTCACCTCTTCGACAAAGTCCTCGTCACTGTCTGCATTGCGGACAGTTCTACTACCATGGAACCGTGGAATTATGTCACTAGCTTTGCCGGTTGCATAAACAAGTTCCGATCGATTCCGGGGCAGATGGGCGTGCAAAAGTGACCATGTCACCGAATTTGCTGACTAACAGCGCCTTCACTTTATCAGTCCGAGCACACTCACCAACAGTGGACATGTTCTGCGAGACAATTGCGTTCATGCTGAGAGAACATTGCACTCGTCGAAGAGTTGGACTGCTATGTTCTCAACGAAATGGAACCGGCCATCACGATACTTCATACTTGCTGACTCTGAGTCTCCGAGTGCTTGGTCAGATACCTCCATGGCAGCACTCGTATCAGTGACAGTCGCACTCGTGGCTGATGAGGATTCCTGTACGAGCTTGCATAGTGTAATCTCTCGCACGTAATTCAAGTAACAATATTTGTGGTAAAATACCTCACGCGCTATAAGACTGCTGGTTCCACTGATGGCAACCGGGATTCTCTCGTCCTTCCGGATGGCTGCAGCTCTCCGAAGATTAGCCTCAGCATCCTTTGTCTGGAGCTGTGATGTCGTCTGCTTGCAGGTGCTCTTGGGGACCTTCTTCGACAAGCTACCACAAAAAATGCAATTCCTACATCCCGGTTGGATCAAGGGAGCTCGAACAGTTTGCCGTGTGCTACGTTTCTGCTGCACTGGCGTTGCAGGCTCCTTTTCCACCATCCTTCTACTCTATTGCAGACACTAGAAACGCTAAGGAGTGGCCAAAGAAGACGAGCTGTGAAAGAATCTGTCAGCTTTCAACTTTGTTTCGAGCTCGCCAAATTCGAAAATCGCCACGTGCACGGCGTGAAATTTATGTGCGACTTTTACGCATGCTCAAAATGCGAAAACACGAGATCTGTGCAGGCACGGAGCGTTCGTCAGCCGAAGAGAAAACCACCCACTGTGAGGCTCAGCACCACCGCACCGACTCTATTATTTCACAAAGACCCCCTGAGCTGGCTCTCGCGAGTCTCGGTACATGCCAACGAAACTTGGTACCACCCTGGGGACGAAATTTTTTAGACACCGTTCAGCACTTTGGCCTGCGGACTAGATGTGTGGTGAACCCGTAAGTGAGATCATTTCTAAATCCACCCAGAGTTTGGTTATTTCAAGGGGTGTCAGCCGTTGGGCGGTGCAATAGCCAATTGAGTCCTCTTTTCAAGATTCCTTTTGAGTCTCTTTCTCCTCTCCCGGGGAGACCCACGTGACCAATTTTGGCAGTGAGCAAGTACAGTACAGTACAGTGTGTGTGTGTGTGTGTGTGTGTGTGTGTTTGTGCGTGTGTTTGTAACGGTTCATGTGTGTGTTTCTCTCACTGCTGCTGCGCAGTCTCGCCGTGCGCTGATCCTGCTGGGCGTCAACCTGCTGGTATGCCTTGTCATGGTCTACTGGGTAATGGCAAGCAACAGCCTGGGTAAGTAGCTACCCAGTGTGCAGTGTGTGCATTGTCTGTACACGTCCTCTTCAACGTGTCTTTATCCACAATGTGTATTGCATGCTTGCATTGTGCATGTCCTCAACGATCTGCCTTTATCCATAAACAAGCATGTTAGAGTGCAATTTTCTTGCTTTGATATGCTGCGCAGAAATATAATCATGTAACCGGATAAGGGATGTAAACGAACCTAACTATTTACAGGCAGTGACAACTTCTGATCGCTTCTTCATGTGCGCGCTCAGAACTGTTCTTAAGCCTTCTTCTTCATATCGTGTTGAAAATGAGGCCGTGGTAGTGTCAGACCCACTGCGAAATACCGTATTTTCCTGAGTATAAACTAGTTATAAGCCGCACTGGCGTAAATCCGCATCCAGATAGTTTGTCACGAAATGCAGGGCGGATGTCAGTCTTTCGTGACAAAATATCTGAATGCGGCTTTTACGCCAGTGCGGCTTGTGCTCCAGAGAATACGGTAGTGCTTGATGTGTCTTTGCTCTTGCTGTCCTTCTCATGACAAATGTCTTTCTTTCTTGTTGCTATGCTGCAGCTCTGCACACGTTTGCCTTTTTGACATTCTTCGATATACTCAGGTTAGAATTGTGTACATTCTCACTCCCTGAGAGAGGAGTAAAGAATGTCGTACTGTGTACATTACATTGTGTACCTGGATTCTACGTATCCCCGGAGTACTCCACTACTCTGCGATCCGAGTACTGAACAACAACCAGCTGACTGGTACTCGAGCAGAAAAAGCAGTCGAACAGTATCTGGTGTGCATCGTACATCATGCAGAAATGCTCAGCGAGCCTACTTTTATCTTTGATCACCCCCTCTCGAGGTCCCAATCATGCGTTTCTGTTTTTCGAGGTGCGATTCTGATTTTCGTGGCACGCGTCCCAATCACCATGGTCACTTCCCTTTGCGCGTCATTTTGCGCGTATTGTGAGAGCACCGTATGCAACCGACCAACTAGTATTGTACTTCCATACCATGTATTTATGAACCGGCCACTGGAACCCCCTATTGATATGATTGTAGAGGTAAGTGATGATAATGATGCAATAACTCATACAATGCTGTACTACTATATGTACATGCTGTGTACTCATCATACCTACGAAAAGGTGTCGCTCGCACTCTGAAGGGTGGCGCATTCATTTTGAAAGGGGGGCGGTCGAAAAGTGAAGAAGGGCGCAGCGCCCCGCAATGTCGCTTTGGCGAGACCCTGGTATTGTGTGCATTCTCACTCCCTGAGAGCGGAGTCAAGAATGTTGTATTGTGTGCGTTCTCACTCCCTGAGAGCGGAGTCAAGAATGTTGTATGGTGTACATTCTCACTCCCTGAGAGAGGAGACAAGAAAGATGTATTGTGTACATTCTCACTTCCTGAGAGCGGAGTCAAGAATGTTGTGTAGTGTACATTCTCACTTCCTGAGAGCGGAGACAAGAATGTTGTGTAGTGTACATTCTCACTCCCTGAGAGCGGAGACAAGAATGTTGTGTAGTGTACATTCTCACTCCCTGAGAGCGGAGACAAGAATGTTGTGTAGTGTACATTCTCACTCCCTGAGAGCGGAGACAAGAATGTTGTGTAGTGTACATTCTCACTCCCTGAGAGCGGAGACAAGAATGTTGTGTAGTGTACATTCTCACTCCCTGAGAGCGGAGACAAGAATGTTGTGTAGTGTACATTCTCACTCCCTGAGAGCGGAGTCAAGAATGATGTATGGTGTACATTCTCACTCCCTGAGAGAGGAGTCAAGAATGGTGTATAGTGTACATTCTCACTCCCTGAGAGAGGAGTCAAGAATGGTGTATAGTGTACATTCTCACTCCCTGAGAGAGGAGTCAAGAATGGTGTATGGTGTACATTCTCACTCCCTGAGAGAGAAGACAAGAATGTTGTGTAGTGTACATTCTCACTCCCTGAGAGTGGAGTCAAGAATGTTGTGTAGTGTACATTCTCACTCCCTGAGAGCGGAGTCAAGAATGATGTATGGTGTACATTCTCACTCCCTGAGAGAGGAGTCAAGAATGGTGTATGGTGTACATTCTCACTCCCTGAGAGAGGAGACAAGAATGTTGTGTAGTGTACATTCTCACTCCCTGAGAGAGGAGTCAAGAATGTTGTATGGTGTTCATTCTCACTCCCTGTGAGCGGAGTCAAGAATGTTGTATTGTGTACATTCTCACTCCCTGAGAGAGGAGACAAGAATGTTGTGTAGTGTACATTCTTAGAATTTCTTACTGCCTGAGAGAGGAGTAAAGAGTGTGGTATTGTGTACATTCTCACCACCGGAGAGAGGAGAAAAGAACGTTGTCCGGTCAAGGCAGTCTTGTACCGACGGTCTTTTCTCCTTCCCCATCTTTTCTCCATGTGTTGTCTGTGTTCCTGCTCCTGTCCTTGTTGCAAGTGGTGTGTCGGACTTCCTTTCCATGCTTTCCTTGCTTTGTTCTCTTTGTCTGCTGCAAATTGCTGGTGTGTGCGGCCTGTTTGCAATGGTTAGTATTCTAACAAGTCTGCTGTCAGTGTGGGTATCCCAGCAGAAGCCATCCAGTACATTCTCTTTCGGGTGAGTCCTGTTTTGTGTGGGCTTTTTTCTGCATGTGTGTGAGTGTGCTTGAGTGTACGTGCGTGTGTGTGCGTGCGTGTGTGTGTGTGTGTGTGTGTGTAAAAATGAAAAAAATGAAAAATAGGGATTCACTGGCCAGAAAAAGCCACTTCAATCAGCTGTGTTGTGGATACCAGGCTAAAATTAGTGGCGGTCAATTCATCAGCCTTGCAAGCTGTTGAATGGTGTAATCCCAGCACAAGTTGCTATGTCTAACATAGCTGTTCGCTATCATCGCTTCTGCGATGGGCAGGTCTGAGGTGTGTGTGTGTGTGTGTGTGTGTTTGTGTGTGTGTGTGTGTGTGTGTGTGTGTGTGTGTGTGTGTGTGTGTGTGTGTGTGTGTGTGTGTGTGTGTGTGTGTGTGTGTGTGTGTGTGTGTGTGTGTGTGTGTGTGTGTGTGTGTGTGTGTGTGTGTGTGTGTGTGTGTGTGTGTGTGTGTGTGTGTGTGTGTGTGTGTGTGTGTGTGTGTGTGTGTGTGTGTGTGTGTGTGTGTGTGTGTGTGTGTGTGTGTGTGTGTGTGTGTGTGTGTGTGTGTGTGTGTGTGTGTGTGTGTGTGTGTGTGTGTGTGTGTGTGTGTGTGTGTGTGTGTGTGTGTGTGTGTGTGTGTGTGTGTGTGTGTGTGTGTGTGTGTGTGTGTGTGTGTGTGTGTGTGTGTGTGTGTGTGTGTGTGTGTGTGTGTGTGTGTGTGTGTGTGTGTGTGTGTGTGTGTGTGTGTGTGTGTGTGTGTGCATCATGTGTGTGCATCATGTGTGTGCATCATGTGTGTGCATCATGTGTGTGCATCATGTGTGTGCATCATGTGTGTGCATCATGTGTGTGCATCATGTGTGTGCATCATGTGTGTGCATCATGTGTGTGCATCATGTGTGTGCATCATGTGTGTGCATCATGTGTGTGCATCATGTGTGTGCATCATGTGTGTGCATCATGTGTGTGCATCATGTGTGTGCATCATGTGTGTGCATCATGTGTGTGCATCATGTGTGTGCATCATGTGTGTGCATCATGTGTGTGCATCATGTGTGTGCATCATGTGTGTGCATCATGTGTGTGCATCATGTGTGTGCATCATGTGTGTGCATCATGTGTGTGCATCATGTGTGTGTATCATGTGTGTGGTTGTGTGTGTGTGTACGTGTGTGTCTGTGTGTGTGTACGTGTGTGTCTGTGTGTGTGTATCTGTGTGCATACCTGTGTACGTGTACTTGTGTTTTTGTTTTGTACGAGGACAACGTATAGTCGCTGCAGAAGTTTGTTTTCTGGCTCAAGCGTCTTGCACAAGCTGTCCATTTACGTGTTACTAGTATGCACATAATTATGCATGTGATTGGCTGATTGGACAATTACGAACTGCCTCGACAAATTGGTTTCTAAATTCCTGTGCTTTATTCTCTTCTGTGTAAAGGTTTGAACGGTTTGAAGTACTGGCTATCTTCGCATCCACCATGATCATTCTCCTGTCTGGTGTCTCCATCATGAAGCAAGGGTGAGAGCATGCTCCCGATCGCTGCTGCTGTTGCTGCTGCTGCGGCTGCTTCTGTTGCTGCTGGTGCTGCTGCTAACTTGCTGCCAGCGTTGCAGTGGGTGGTGTGTTGTACATAATACGATGTACCTTTACACACGGCCACAGTAGTGCTTGTGGCAGAGTCATGCCAATTAAACCTTGGTTTGGCTTGAAGTCGTTGTGCGTTTCATGACTGGGACTAGTATGCAAGTGAGGTCTACCGCTCTTCACTTCAGTCACACTCAACAACATAGCTGTCCTACAGTTGATGCTCTACACCGACTTGTGCGGCTGATATGCACGGATCTTTTTGACGAATGCATCAATCATGTTCTGCATTTACCTGTGTATTGTTTTGTCTCCGGGGAAGTTAGGCTTAACTTGGTGTGTTTTGTTTTCGTCTTTGGTGGCGTTCTGCTTCTTGTTGTCGTGGCTCAGGCTTGAAAGGATTCTTGCACCGCCCGCTGTTGAAACGTAAGTATGGGACTGGTGACGGGTGTACATGGATACATGTACTGGTGACGGGTGTCCATGGATACATGTACCGGTGACGGGTGTACATGGATACATGTACTGGTGATGTATGTGCATGGATATGTCATGTACTGGTGACGGGTGTGCATGGTTACATGTACTGGTGACAGGTGTACATGGATACATGTACTGGTGACGGGTGTGCATGGTGTACATGGATACATGTACTGGTGACGGGTGTACATGGATACATGTACTGGTGACAGGTGTGCATGGTGTACATGGATACATGTACTGGTGACGGGTGTGCATGGATACATGTACTGGTGACGGGTGTGCATGGCTACATGTACTGGTGACGGGTGTGCATGGTGTGCATGGATACATGTACTGGTGACGGGTGTACATGTATACATGTACTGGTGACGGGTGTGCATGGATACATGTACTGGTGACGGGTGTACGTGGATACATGTACTGGTGACAGGTGTACGTGGTGTGCATGGTGTACATGGATACATGTACTGGTGACGGGTGTACATGGATACATGTACTGGTGACGGGTGTGCATGGATACATGTACTGGTGACGGGTGTGCATGGCTACATGTACTGGTGACGGGTGTACATGGATACATGTACTGGTGACGGGTGTACATGGATACATGTACTGGTGACAGGTGTGCATGGTGTACATGGATACATGTACTGGTGACGGGTGTACATGGATACATGTACTGGTGACGGGTGTGCATGGTGTACATGGATACATGTACTGGTGACGGGTGTGCATGGATACATGTACTGGTGACGGGTGTGCATGGTTACATGTACTGGTGACGGGTGTACATGGATACATGTACTGGTGACGTATGTGCATGGCTACATGTACTGGTGACGGGTGTACATGGATACATGTACTGGTGACGGGTGTGCATGGTGTACATGGATACATGTACTGGTGACGGGTGTGCATGGATACATGTACTGGTGACGGGTGTGCATGGTTACATGTACTGGTGACGGGTGTACATGGATACATGTACTGGTGACGTATGTGCATGGCTACATGTACTGGTGACGGGTGTACATGGATACATGTACTGGTGACGGGTGTGCATGGTGTGCATGGATACATGTACTGGTGACGGGTGTACATGGATACATGTACTGGTGACGGGTGTACATGGATACATGTACTGGTGACGGGTGTACATGGATACATGTACTGGTGACAGGTGTGCATGGTGTACATGGATACATGTACTGGTGACGGGTGTACATGGATACATGTACTGGTGATGGGTGTGCATGGATACATGTACTGGTGACGGGTGTACATGGCTACATGTACTGGTGACGGGTGTACATGGATACATATACTGATGACGGGTGTACATGGTTACATGGATACATGTACTGGTGACGGGTGTACATGGATACATGTGCCTGTGGCAGCTTAGCACCACAGTGCCTCATCTGTGCTGTTCTGTGTAGCCGTTGGCTTTTTTTCTTTTTTTCCCGAATCCAGATTGTGTACTGTAAACCGTACGATTTGCTTTGAAAAAATGTAGACCATGAGTTTTGCTACAAGAGCGTACATGCACGCTCGCGCTTTAATACGATCTAATCTCTTCTCCGCAAACAGGTGTCATTACAAACTGATCTGTACTGGGAAATCGCGCAACATTTTTTGGTGCTCAAGACTGCTAGGTGGCTTACGATTCGTGAAGAGTGATCTGTCGTTGATTTCTGTTTGCCCTGTGCCTGTGTTTTCAGGTCGAGGATGCTGTTTGTAGTCCTGTTAGGTCTGGGCACACACTTACAGGTCACATATGGTTTGGAGAACAAAGCATACCACCATGTCGCTACAGGTAAATTTATATCACTTTTGGTGGGACTATAGTAACGTAGTTTACACCCGGGATGTGCTATTTTGGGCGCGCATACCCATGCGGACGTGAAATGTAGCTGTCCGAATTTCTGATGTCTGTTGTTATCTCTGGCCAGTTTTGGCCTTATCACGTGCTGTGCTATGTAGTATGGCAGTGCTCTTCTTTGCCAGCCTGGGTCACCACTTTGCTAGGGGTGCTGGATGCTGTTCCCTACCGCCGTATAGGATGTTTCTATGGGCCGCACATCCTCTTTACAAAGCGGGTTTATTTCCGTGAATGTTTTTCCTTGTCAGCTTCTCCTCTCTAAAGAAATCATGTACATTATTGGTAAGGCTCTTCTCTTCACTCACCAGGTCAGTGGATCCTAACCAACGACCTCTACTGGCCATACTAGTTCAATGATCATCCTTCGAGGAAGAAGACAGCAAACAACCAAAGTTGAAGGATGCCCCACGTGGCTTTTCCTGCGAGATTTTTCCTGCGGTTTCAGATCTTGACGTCAAATCATCCATAGTTTTTTTTTTACACTCAATCTGCGGACAGAACTGTTTCGTCATTTGTGGACCCATCAGCGCAGCACAGAGAAAATGAGGCCGAACCTGATAGCAATGGAAAATAAATTTTCCAAAGCCAGATTTAAACCAGGCCCGAGCATACCAGTTTTTTTTTACTATAAATACGTGCGGAGACATTCCGCGTAGACGACGTTGTGACTCGATAACTTTGCAATAGGTGAACCATAACTGTATAGCTCAGAAAACACTACATTCTTTTTTTTGTGGACAGACTGTAGGCCACTACTGGGGGAGAACACGATGGGCATGTGTCTTGACTAGGGCTGAAACGATTATACCGAATACTCGAGTACTCGTTTGATAACTCTAACGATCGAGCAATCGTTTAGATTACCGATTACGATTATTTTTGCGTTTTTTTAATTTGTGTCCAGAAAGTACGGTAAACCCTCGTTTTGTGAAGTTTGAATCAGTTTCCGCTGGGAGTATGCTGTTGCCAGGGATATGGTTCATGTTCTGAGGTTAACTTGACTTCGAAACTGCCATGTTTCGGAGCTACCCTTTCACTAATGCAGATTTGTTGGTATTATGAAGCCATAGTTTGTGGAAACAGAGTAATGTTTGCACAGAATTGCTAACGATTATAATCGATTACTCGATCGTTAAGCTAAAGAGTAATCGATACGTGAAAATCCACGATCGTTTCAGCCCTTGTCTTGACCTTGTATTCTCCAGCAATGGAGAAGTTGCAAGAATTACATGTTTCTGGCTGGTAGTGCTGCAGGCAGGTCCTACTGAACGTCAGCTGTTGATACAATGCTCAGTTCTGTACGGTCCCTTAAAGTGGTATGCTTGTAGGTCATATTGGACCATTAATGGCATGGTGTAATAGTATGCTGCAGACAGTAGAATTATGGCTGGACTCAAATGGAAGCCTAGTGGTGTGCCTGTCCATATTGGACAGGGTCACTCAGCGAATCTCCCAATCCAACCTGGATGGGCCTATCAGATGACCAGCTAGAAAGCCACTTGATACTCTACCATGCGCCGTGCCCCTTACATCAGAAGTTACATGTGTTATAATTAGTGTTTGTGTGCGTGTGTGTGTGTCTGTGTGTCTGTGTGCGCGCGCGTGCATGTGCGTCTTCTGTCTATTGTTGTTATTTTTTTAGCGGCTGGTGCTAGCTGGCTTCAGGATGCGGTGGCCGATATGGGACACAGGTGAGGGTACTGTCTGGCTGCCTGCATATTCTGGTCAGGCTGTGTCTTTCAGTTTGTAGCAGCTCTCTTCTTGCAGACATATTTGTGTTGCAGCAGGTGTGTAGTGTGCCGGTACAGCTGGCCCATTCAACTGAAGATGGTGTATTGACAAATCCACTATATTTCTACTGTGTCTATCTGTCTGTCGCTGTGTGTGCATGTGTGTGTGTGCGTGTACGTGTGTGCATGTCTATGCATGTGTGTGTGTGTCCCATATGGTGCAGTGGTATGTGCAGCGATTTCCAATCGATAGGTTGCGGGTTCGATTCCCGACGATTATGGTCACACACGTCTTTCTTCTCTTTCTCAGACTCCTCCTGGCTTTTCTTTCATTCTCCTGGGTGGTTACCAACAGCCAGTGTATGCCGGAGTATGTGGTGTGATGTGTGTGTGCGGAAAAAATATGAAAAAAGACCAAAAAGTAGGGATTCACTGGCCAGAAAAAGCCACTTCATAGCTGTGTGGTGTAGACCAGGCTGAATAGTGGCGGTCAATTCTTCAGCCTTGCAAGCTGTTGAATGGTGCAATCCCAGCACAAGCTGCTATGGCTTCTGCTGTAGCATTGCTATCATCGCCTCCAGCGATGGGCATCCAATGGTCCAATGGTGTGTGTCTGTGTGTGTGTGTGTGTGTGTACATGTATGTGGACATGTGTGTGTACATGTATGTGTACATGTGTGTGTGTGTGCATTTATGTGTGTGCATGCACCTTCCTACTCTGATTTACTTGCAGTGTCTGCTCCGCCGTGCCTATGCTACGCCGCTCCCTCATTCCTCAGTTCAACCCGCTGGCGTTGGTATCATTGACGGCTAGCTTTGCTGTACTGGTTTCCTGCCTTGCCATTGATCACTTGTAAGTCATGTGTATGCAGCTGATTCTTATGCCAGATGATCTTGGAAATGGCTGGCGAAGGGAAGAAGTGAAGGAAACATGGAACAAACCTTGCTTGGTCTCTAAGAGCAAAAGACATCAGGAAACATGGAACAAACCTTGCTTGGTCTCTAAGAGCAAAAGACATCTGGAAACATGGAACAAACCTTGCTTGGTCTCTAAGAGCAAAACACATCTGGAAACATGGAACAAACCTTGCTTGGTCTTTAAGAGCAAAAGACATCCATGCAGCAAAGAGGCCATTTTTAAGAGTGCACTTCCACCACTGCGCTGTGCAGTGAGCATTGCCACCACTGCGCTGTGCAGTGAGCATGGCTAGGCTTTAATCACCCAGTGGATTTCATTTCGAATTTTCAATGCCACCACTGCACTGGAATGGGTACTCGGTGCTGCAGACAGCTAAGTCAGCTAAGTGTTTACTGAGTGTGTGTCTGTCTGTTTGTCTGTCTGTCTCTGTGCATGTGAGTGTGTGTGTGTGTATGTGTGTGTGTGTGTGTGTCTGTGTGTGTATGTGTGTGTGTGTGTGTCTGTCTGTCTGTACACCTGTATACTTAACTGAGTTGTATATTTGTGCATGTGTCTGTATTTGTTCTTTCTCCCGTGGTGCTGTGGTTATACTTGCACAGTGGTGCAATGACAGCGGATCCCATTGCAGCAATGTGTATTGCTATGGTCGTCTCTGGCACCATGCTACCGCTGGCTACCTACACCGGACGTATTCTGTTACAGGTCAGAGTCCTATTTCTCTTTGCATTGTCTGTGTGTGTATGTATGTGTCTGTGTCTGTGTGTGCGTGCGTGTGTGTGCGTGTGTCTGTGTGTGCGTGCGTGTGTGTATGTGTGTGTGGGGGTGGGTGTCTGTGTGTGCATGTGTGTGTCTGTGTCTGTATGTGTGCATGTGTGTATGTGTATGTGTGTCCATGTGTGTGTGTCTGTGTGCGTGTGCGCGCGCATGTGTGTGTGAGTGCATGTGTGTCTGTGCGTATCTGTGCTCGTGCTGGTGTATGCACTCATGCGTGTACACAATCATCTCTACACTGATGTTCACCTGGTCACTCACACAGCTGTTATGCACATGATTGCACACGCTCCTTGACACGCAGCTGTTATGCACATGTCTGCACACATCACTTGGCTCGCAGCTGTTATGCACATGTCTGCACGCATTACTTGAGTCACAGCTGCAATACACACGTTTGCACGCAGTACTTGACTCCCAGCTGTACAGATGTACAGTCAACTTTGCCTATAACCACACTCGGCGGGGCATCAGAAAAGTGTCCTTATTCGCGAAGTGTCCTTATAGTTATACCCGAAGTCTCATTATATGTATTACAGTTAGGTGGGACTTTGCTCTGGGCATGGAAATTGTGTCCTTATTCGCAAATTGTTATATTCTTAGTCGTTATTAGCCAAGTTGACTGAAGTAGTCTACTAGTGTATGTGGATAGCCACTGGGTGACAGGCTGCAGCTGTGTTTGTTCTCGGCATGTGCAGACCACGCCGGAGCACGTTATGGTACAGCTTGACAAGTGTTTGCGTGAGGTAAGTTCCCCATTGCCGATCTGCTGACGTAGTCGATGATTCCACTAGTGTTGGTTTCTTTGTTCGCATGCTTACGGTGGCCTTAGAACTCGCTTATAGATTAAATTGCAACCCTTTCAGTAATCCGTTACCTGTTTCGCCAGTGTTCTAGAGATCTAAAGCTAAGGGGAGATATTGAATGGCAATGACTGGGGTACAACTTGCTTTGTAGCTTGTACTTGTAAATTCGGTGAAATTTTCGAGAGCCGGTTCATCATTTCATTCTCATATGCCATAATGAATTGATTTTCCATTGGTGTTGATGTGGAATGCCACTTTGGCTGCAATGTTCAGTCGGTAAATACAAAGCCATACTCTTTTCCCTGATTGACAATCCCAACACTAAGTCATGAATCTTAGTGGAAAGCGTTGTCCTACTTATGTGCATAGTTAGACACTTCATTGTGTTGTGTTTTTTTGTGTATGTGTGTGTGTGTGTGCGTGTGTGTGCGTGTGTGTGTGCGTGTGTGTGTGTGTGTGTGTGTGTGTGTGCGCGCGCGTGCGGGACTGTGTACCACACTTGATTCTGTGGTCGCAGGTTGCAACTCTGGACGGGGTGCTGGAAATACGCAAGGAGCACTTCTGGATGCTGTCGTTTGGCACAATGGTTAGTCATGGTGTTAATAGTAGCAGTGTACGTTCCAGTAACTCACTCGATGTTCCTGATAGGGATTGAAAGCAATAATGTCACAAATCGTCAAAATCTTATGACAGATACCGACTTTTGGATCCACTATGCCAAGAGTACATGAAAACCAGAGTGTGCAGCTTGGGGCCTTTTCTACTATGGGTGTCTGTCACGGCGGAATTCCGTGATTACATCATATTTGGCGCAGATCTGAGGCGGGAAATGGCGTAGTGCGTACAACTGAGCTGCAGCTGTGCAGAAAGAGACCGGCTTGAATCCTGCTTGTACGCGCTACATCACTAAAATCAGTGGCGTGTCCAGGATTTGGCTGAGGGGGGGGGGGGGGGGGGGGTGCGGCCGGGATGGGGGATAAATGACATCATGCTACTGTCCCAGGTCAGCCATTTTGAAAACCGATGTCAAGGAGCCGTAAATCTCACACACCACGAACAAATTGTATTTAAATGTACACACAGCAACATTGTACATTGTAAACTTCAAATTTGCCGCTATGTGAACTGATTCAGTATTATATAGAGAAAGGATAGGAACTTATGGATACGAGTTCACCACTGTAACTAGACACTATAATTATACTGCCAGAAAATGCAACAACTAGGCACGATTCATTATTACGTTGTACTGGTAGAAGAGTTTGTTTCCATAGCTTTCATCACAAATAGTTAAGTACATAGAAAGGACACAGCAGTTGCCTCTGCACATGGTAAGTACACAGCTTGGCTTCAAAGCTCGGCAGGGCATGTCAACAGGAGAGAGAAGTTACAAGTCTGGGCAGTTGCCTTCGGACTCCTCCTGGACAGGGTTAACCAACAGCATTCTGCGAGGATGAGCTGAAGCTAACCTGTTCAATACAGCATCCAGATCCAGAGGAATGCTCTTGTGGCAATGCAGAAGCACACGGGCATTCAGTCGTGACTGCGTCATGGTGCTGCGACGTTCCGTTTTGATGAACTTCAGGGTGGAGTTAGCACGTCCGACGCCAGCAGATGTCACAGGAATGACAAGAACAAGCTGGAAGATGCGCGAGATGTTTGGGAAGAGCAAGGTGTTGGCTTCCTTGACAGTACTGGGGAGAGAATCTGGACGTGTTCCTGCTGGACACATTTCCCACTTCTTCCTCCACAGCTCCACTTCAGCTCCGAAGTTGATCTTGTCTGGGAGGTCAAAGGCATAGGCTACCTCTATGCTGGCAATGTGACATCTAAGTCCTCTGCAAGCTTCTTGAAATTTCCGTGCACTTTGGTGATCAGGTTGTCTGCCCTTCTAGAACCACCTCGGTGAAGACTGGGGAAGAGAACGCAGGGCAAGCAATACACACCAGCCGCTGATACGTCACCTTCACCGTCGTGATACGCCAACCACTCGTGCTTCTCAAACAAAGACAATTGGAGGAATCGCTTCGATGTGTCTGACTGCTTTCTCTTGTCAGCAATTAGCGAGAACGGCAGCGAGCAACCGGGCACTGGTTTTCTGGAGCGAATCAACTGCAATTTATGCGAGTCCAACAATTTCTCACCGCTCAAAGCATCCTTTACATAGGCAGCGTTAGTACTATGTCCACTTGTCACTGTGCGCTGTTCTTCATGTTCTGGCTGCTCGCTGACAACAGGTGCTTCCACGTCTGGCGGAGTGTGACTGTCAGTCCGCTCCGAAAGTTCAGCTGGAATAACAGCGACATCATCACTCCCACTGTTTCCTGTTGGAGCGGCAGCAGGAGTTGCGCCGCCACAGGAACGCTTTGCAAAAATCCATCCAGGCTCTGCTGGCTAGAGCTTGGCTTTTGGGATGTCGCTGAGACATCGAAGAAAAGTCTTCGAGTCAACCAAAACACGATTCGAATGCCGAGGGCTCAGGCGATCATCCTCGACCTCAAAATATCGTTGTGCAAACTTGAAAGTTGCGGAAAGAAGTCTCAAGACGCCTCGAGCGCGTCCCAGCAGGGATCACACTGTACAACAGTTTACACAGTCAGGTCACCGGTGCACCGTGTTTCTGTAGCCGTGCATGATCACTGGTACTCTGTAGTGTGTACTTCAATCAACACCAGCTCGAGCACCGTAGAGGCGACGGTTTCAAATAGGATATAGGTTGCAAACCGGAATGGACTCAATATTCACTTTCTCTCTTGGTATTTTGATTAGAAAACATAATATTATGTCACAATGAGACTACGATGTGTTATACTCCGAGCCAAAATTTCATGGCTCTGCGATGACCAGAATCGCCATACCAAGCAGGTGAGTTTTTGACGTGTTGCTTCGCACTGCGACTTGAGTTTTACGACTTTCGAAAAATCAACTTCTTGTCGCAGGTAAACAGCGGCTCGCCTCTTGCCAATAAAACACCGCATACCAATCAAAACTAATGGAATCACACACAAGGCTTATTGTTACTCTGTACTGGCCGTCGTGGAGCGATAGCAATTACCTAATTTCTGAAATCAGAGTGAATTTGACGTGCACTCTAAAACCTTTCCGGTTTGGAGCCACCTCTGATTTGAAGCGAAAAATTGGGCAACTTGGAGGCAATGGGTCAACACAAAGGAGTGGCTCAGTTCGATTGACTCTAGCCTCAGAGCAAACTTCAACATGCCAGTTTCCTTCCACAAACATATTTCGAGTGAACAATCAACGGAATCAACGCTGATGATCGGTTTGGGTCTATACAAACTTGGCTGTCAAGCCGTTCTGGTATCGAACCGTCGCCTCTACCGTGCAACCGCTTTTGGACGATCATTTCAGGTCGCGCGCGCGCCCCCAGCCCTGCCTTTTATTTTTCTAAACCTAGGTCGAAACTTTTGAGGGGGGGGGGGCTCCCCCCGCACACCCCCCCCCCCCCCCCCCTAAACCCGCCACTGAAAATGATGTAATCACGGAATTCCGCCGTGACAGCAGCCCATCCGAGCTGCACACTCTGGCTTTCATGTACTCTTGACTATGCCCATGGCGAAGTATAGGACTTGGTGGGTGGACCCCTCGTATTGCACGTACATGTAGGTGTGAGGTTTTTCTGTGGCAGGAGTGGGTCCCCTGACCAGGAGGGCCCAGTCCAGCCACTACCAGTGGATGTGTCACTGTGCTGCGAAGGAAACCACCCAATCGTGCATGGACCCATACAAACACTGGATCCAAGTGCATCCAAAAGTCAGCAGTGTCATGACTCTGGGCTGGCTGTGATGTAGCCCTTTCAAGCCCGATATGGTTCGGTGGTGGATCCCGTATCACACCAAGGAGGTGGCCCCAGGGTGACTACAATGTCTCCACCAAGAAGGCACGTGCACAGCAAATTTTCTTAATGCCCAGTGACAGTGATTGAAATAACACATACTGCACATGAGGTCATCATCGACACTGTTCATCTCCATGAAGTAACTTCTGCACGTCACCATTGTTGTCTTGTACTTGTACAGTTGCGCTACAAGTAGGTGGAAAGCAAAGTCCTAAGCTGGCTCCCCAGGACCAATTCCCATTGCAACACTGTATTTTGCACATGTCATGTACATCTACATCAAGCAGCATTCACAGTATTTCATACCATTCTGTCAAGCGTCATGCAAGTCCGGGGGGTGTCTTCCTCATAGCCTAGACCTTTCTTATCATATATTACGGTCTAGGCATAGTTGAGTTCCCATGACTGTATGTACGTTGGTATGCTGTGCTTGGTGACTTTCTAGGCTGTTCGTTCTTCAGCTCCGATCTCCGGTGCCCGACCGTACTGTGCCGTGTGTATTGGGTTGCTGCGGCTGCTGTCGCTTGGCCTCTGAGTCCTGCCCTTTTTTTGCTCTGGATTGCTGTTGTTCCATGCAGGCCGGCTCTCTTCATGTACGAATTCGCCGTGATGCCAATGAGCAGGTGTGCAGTCAGACATCAAATGTTTTTCGTTTCCATTGGTGCCTCTATATACAGTAGTGTCTTGTGTTAAAGCCTGTCTCGTATAGAAACCTGATTTCAAGATGTACTTCCTCCGCGTCATTAAAATTGTCGCTTCGCACATCGCAATATTTGTGACCTGGCTCGTCATAGTCAGTCTGTCGGAATCGCTGTTTTCTGTGTTCGAACACTGGTGCGACTCTTCTTGCGCAATATCTACTTGTCACTGAAGCCGTGGTGGTCTCGGACTTTGTCGGAGCTCTCTTACGCACCAAGCAAATTCATCGCGCTCCGCACTATTCCGTCCCAGAGCGCATTTCGTTTTCTGGAGTTCGGGCCGTCCCACGTCGTTCGCTTGGGCATTTATCAAGACTGCAAGCTCGGGTAGAAGATTCCTGGTATCTTTCCTGAATACGAAATGCTGATGTTGACGATGGCAAGAACAAAGTGGTCTCAAATTCCTAAAATGTGCTACTTGTGGCGCATGTTGCTGCGAAGTAGGGAGGTCTGAAAAAATCACAGTTCGCGTGAGACTCGGCTGGAAGCCGGGCTTTTCGCATCCGTAGGAACGCCACCACCCTTCAAGGATCAAGGCGCAGATGCAGCTCCTAAAGAGGTCTGAAAACACCAACAAAATTAGCGAAGCGTTTGCCAAGGAAAGAAGGTGCGGAACTGCTCACCCTATCCTGCTGGATGGTCGTTACAGTGTACTTGAAAAATGCTAGCATGCCTTCATCGCCTGCCACTTGGAGGCATGGATCGCTTGAAAACAAAGGTTCTTGGCCTGAATTTGAACGCGCGTCTTGTTCAGCGTATTGTTGAGTGCTGAAGGGTCTGCCTCAAACTCGGATGAAGACGTCGACCTTAGCTGCAAGTGCAGCGAAGCGGTTGACCACAAACTAAAGCTCGGGCTGTCGACAATGCTCTGCCTCAATTTCTAGCTGATTTCTTTGCCCTTCGAGTGGACAAAATAAAATTCGAAAAATTGCTCTGGGAAGCGACAATTTTAATGACGCGGAGGAAGTACTGTCGGCACATAAGCCTGGTTTTAACGTTGACATACATAGAACTACCTGGTTTGAATAGAAGCCTAGCCCTGACATCGGCTTCTACAGGAATACGCCCGGCTTTCATACGCGACATTACGGGTACGTGCAGTGCTGTTTGCTCATGTCCGGCTATGGCTGTGTGCCCGTACCTGCATTGAAACACAAGCGATGACCACGTGGTACTTATGCTACTGAAAGACATGTATATATAACAAGGAAGTAAATCTAACATTTTAACGGATGACATTTTTCGTTAGAATAAGATCCATTGAGGCCGTTCTGCTTCTTATATGTTGTGTGTGGGTATGCCGGAATACTGCAGCATCGTTAACAAATCTTCTCGTTAGACTATGAATTTTTGGACAATGGTTAAATTTGCGACTCGTTATAATAACATGTCTTACTGTATCTCTTTTCTCTCGTCTAGCACACGATCGTGGCTGCCCCTGTCTAAGGGAAAGGCAATTGTCCCTGAAAATCATGTTGTTGGGATATTGTCATTCTGCTTGTAACCATGCTGTGGGTCATGGGCCAGAGTGGTATGTGGAAGATGGGAAAGTAGGAACACATCCACAAGATCTGTTCACATCTGTCCTGTGTTCGTGCATGAATGTGTCTGTGTGCGTGCATGAATGTGTCTGTGTGTGCGTGCATGAATGTGTCTGTGTGCGTGCATGAATGTGTCTGTGTGCGTGCATGAATGTGTCTGTGTGCGTGCATGAATGTGTCTGTGTGCGTGCATGAATGTGTCTGTGTGCGTGCATGAATGTGTCTGTGTGCGTGCATGAATGTGTCTGTGTGCGTGCATGAATGTGTCTGTGTGCGTGCATGAATGTGTCTGTGTGTCTGTGTGTTTACCATGTATAGGAGGTTCTTGCCCAGGTTATCACTCGGTTATCGGCCGTCGTGTCGCATCTCACCATTCAGACGTTCAAGGAGGACTGGTCGATCCCGTCGTCCACCACCACCAACACTATCCCCACGAACAGCCACAGTCACAGCCACAGTCACACCAGCAGCAGTAGCAGTGGCGGCCGTGCTGTGGCATCACAGCTACCGCTTACCGTCACCGGTCAGGCCACTAGCAGTACTGGCCTAGCCGGCAATCGTACCGTGGGCAGTCTGCAATCGCACGTTGTAGAGTTCACGCGGCAGAACTCCGGCACAGGCCCGACGGCCTCGTTCCCGCCAATCCTGTCGGCCGGCCCCACGGCTTCGTTTCCTGCAGTGCCAGCGGCGGCTACGTTCCACTTACCCTATGGTGCTGTACCAACGCCCTACTTGCCGGCCAGTGCCTCCTCCACATCGTCAGGCTCCACCATCTCCAGTGATGGCATGACCGCAGCGCATGATCCCTCTGTCCAGTCCTACTTTCCACCTGCACATGCACAGGGACACTTGACGTAGCTAGAAACCAGCTTGACGGATCACATTGCTCGTGTTCTCTAATACTCCAGTGCGATGCACAGGTCCAAGACAGCCTGTTTCGTTGGTGTGAAATGATGGCTTCAGTCCACCGCTACTGCCACTGGTAAGAAATGGGTCCCTCGTGAAGATCTGTATCAAGGTCTGGGTTGTCGTATCATGGAGATGTTGGCTGCACCACCCTGGTGTGTTGCAGTTTCTTCCCGAAGCGATACAGCACAAGCTGCAAGGCTATGTCACGTTTCAAAGATTTGCTCTTGGTCTCGCAATGGCCGTCGGGACATCACCCAGGCCAAGTCAGTTCAGCGCCATCTGTACATTCTTCAGGCGAAACGATTGTGAATACCAGCCGCTGAGCGGTATATGAGCAGTAGCAGCAGCAGTATGCGTTCTGAGTGGACTTGATTAGCGTTTTCAAAATGACTCACTGGGCTCCTTCTTCTTCTCCTGATCAGTGACTGTTCTTTTGTACTCCCAAAGGTTGGGGAGAAGAAGCAATTGGTTGGTGGACCTACGAGATTCTCCGCCTATACTCAGTTTTATTTTTACGCCCCTTCTCTCTCTCTCTCTCTCTCTCTCTCTCTCTCTCTCTCTCTCTCTCTCTCTCTCTCTCTCCCTCGCCCTTCCACAGAGCTGGATCTCTGTGTGCTACTATGCTGGTCACTATCTACAGTTGTCTGACTAGTTATTTTCAACTACATCACTACTACTACTACTACTACCTTACACTATACAGCTTACTGAGTTACTCTAATAAAATGGTACACTTACGATATCTGGTATTTTGTTTGTGTGGACGGGGGGGGGGGGGGGGGGGGGGGGGGAGAGCACAGTGGCTACAGATACAGCAGTGAATGATAAAATATTAGGGCTGAAACGATCGTGGATTTTCACCTATCGATTACTCTTTAGCTTAACGATCGAGTAATCGATTATAACCGTTACCAAATAGTGTCTGAATTCTGTGCAAAATTACTGTGTTTCCACAAGCTATGCCTTCATAGTACCAAAAAATCTGCATTAGTGAAAGGGTAGCTCCAAAACATGGCAGTTTGAAGTCAATTAAACCTCAGAACATGCACCATACCCCTGGCAACTGCAAACTCACAGCGGAAATTGATTCAAACTTCACAAAAACGGGGTTTTCAGTACTTTTTGGACTCAAAATCCCTCAACGAGTAATCTATAACGTAACGATTACTTGATTGCTAAGGAATTATCGATCGATTACCGAGTAATTGGTATAATCGTTTCAGCCCTATAAAATATGGACCCGTCCTAGTTGGTGGAAATAATAACCTTTGGGCCTCAAGTTCGCATGTACAGTGCACTGCTGCAGGCCCGGGTGAATTGGCTGCCTCGTGCAGAACTGAAGAAAGAGACAGACTTACAAACGACCAAATAAAGGAGTCTGAGACAAGCAAGGCAGCATAAACCACCCACTACCATGCATATTTAGAACGACGGGATGGCGGGGGTAGATGTCTGCTATTGCAGGATTGGTAACATTCTGTATAATTATACTATTCATGTCATGATGATGACGCCCCACCTACACAGCTGTGCTAGTAGATAGTCAGTCCCTATTCAAGATTGTTCTATATTGTAGTCGTATCATCGTCCTCCATGCATCTTTGTTATCTTTCTTGTTATTAATTTTTGTCACGAGCCGGGTCTGTGTTCTTTTGTAAAAAAAGAAAAAAAGGGGGGTGGGAGTCTCAACCCTTTTTCAACTTGAGACTGAGGATTTATGTCTAAAAAAGACCTGCGTGGATAACTTTAAAAAACCGAGGCGAAGCCGAGTTTTACTTTTTATCCATGCATGCAGATTCTTTTTTTTACAGCAAATCATGTGCAGAGATTTCTACCACGGTGCTGTATCAATCATGACTGTGCTGTTGTTGCGATATTATAACGTCCTCCGGCTAGCTCCATGTGCAGTACATTTATTCCCGTAGCTATGCAGAAGACGTTACTTCAGTAACGTCTGGCGCTAGCCAGGGTCCACACAGCTTTAATTTGGTGTTTGTTTGTGTGTTTGTTTGTTTGTGTCACGCCTGGCGCTATTTTGTATCTATCCCGTACTGTACCGTACCAGCAAAGACAGCTGGCCACAATATTTTTGTTTGTTTGTGCCATCGACATGCCTGGCGCTATCCCGTACCTGTCCCGTATCATCAAGAGTACGGTACCATCAAGAGAATGAGTATATATGCGAAGTGTATTGGGGGAATGCATTCAGTGCAGTAACATTAAATTTTGTGTGGATTTGTGTGCGAGGCCGAGATCCCACTAGCGGGCTGGCTGGGCCGCCTGTCGACCAGCCCGGAAATCGCATGTAGGCCGATAGCATAATAATTATAACGTATATACAGTCATGTAGATCTATAGCAGGGAGTCATATTATGTAAACGACTCCCTGCTGTATGGGGAGATTTTCTGGAAAGAAATACGAAGTAGGGAGACGAGTAAATGCAATCAGAATGGATGTTAGTTGCCGTCAGTATAATAATAATAATAAGAAGAAGAAGAAGAAGAACGCCCGTGATCGGCAGAGTCAGCGCCGGTCCCAGGAAACGTCAGGACAGACATCCCGTCGACTCCAGAACGCCCGTCATCGGCAGAGTCAGCGCCGGTCCCATAGCTATGCAGAAGACGTTACTTGTACTTCAGTATCTCATTGAAACGTTTTTGCAAAACAATGATTTAGCTAATCAAAGGAAAAAGCATTTCCATCAGTTCTAACAACATGCACGATGAGCTAGGCAACAAAGCATAGCGCAGGGCCCTGAGCTTCCAAGCTCTCTCGTTTTTATTATACCAGTACTGGTCCGGTACATACATGTACTGTACATATTGTTGGTTGACAGCACGTGTATGCCTGGTAATAGTGGAGGTTGTAGTAAGTGTCACTGTTTCCGAACACAGTAGATCTACGTCCTCAGCCTTGTAGCATTGACATTGTTACAAGGCTGAGGACGTACTGACAGTGCTCTGAAACAGTGACCCTTACTACAACCTCCACTAATACCAGCCTTAACCATACATGTACAGTCATGTTGTTGGGTACCAACCGTGGATGGTTGTAGAAAGGTCACTGTTTCCGAACAAAGTGGTCTCCACCTTGTTTCATGCTGTAAACCAACAACATGACTTTGTGTGAACTAAAACAAGGTTTATCGAATACCATGTACAGTCATGTACCCGTAAATCTCAGTAAATCTCGGTAATGGTGCTACATTGTACATGTAGATGCTTGCGACAGTTAATTCCCAGGTTCTTTCTGGAAGTACATGTATACCAGGAGTCCAGATACATGTATACCCATTCTTCACCCTCAACTGACCACACGAGACGACAAAGTTTCACTTTACATTGTAGTAGCAAGCACAAGCAACGGGAACAACAGCTCAGCAATAGAGCGAAGGCTATAAGCGGCTATAGCTCAGGCTAGGCGGTGGACGCCGCAATCTACAGGTGAGGAGGCGGATCGGACTATAAAGCAGTGCGCGACGAACGAAGCGAACGAGCGGCCAGTAATGCTTACGAACGACGGCAGAGGTTCTACAGCAACTATTCATGGCCGAGACACACCGATGTCACAGGAAACGGTCTGACAAGATCCTTCCTTGGAGGAAATGTGTCGTATGTTCTAGTCATGAACTACAATAGAGCTTGTCCAGAAATTAGAAAAGTTTATCACAATAGAGCTTCTCTGAGCGGATCCGACACCTCTGAACTAACTAACAAAGGTAACATATTCCCAATCAAGCAACAACTAGTTGGAATCCTGCATTTTGCAATCAGGACAGATGCTTGTATTTTTTAACCACAAACCTTCAGACATGTGAATGTGCACGTGATATACAGTGTACATACGTACATTGTATGTATCGAGAAGGCAGCACAGAAACGGCAGTTGCGGTGAGGCCTTGGCGTATGTATCCAGTCTTGCTTGCAAGCGTCCATTGCCCCGGTTGTGGACTCCTAAAGCAGGCTAAAATTCCCAGACTGGCCGTGATAAGGAGGTTTCACGGACTGAAACTGTTGAGGGAATCCTGGCGGCCACTGTCACGGGGAATTCGACTGAGCGTTGAGGCGTCGATGAGGACTGAGCCCACCGCGGGCATGGAGGTGCGAACGTTAGTTGTGCACCGCCAACGGCCAGTCCTCAATGCTTCGGGCTGAGGTCTACACATCCATGGGCGACAATGACTCGCGTTGCTGTTCTGTGTTTCACTACAAGTAAGTTAGGTGTTTGTCGTGCTGGAAACGGAGTATCTTCGTTAGTTTGAACCCCTGGGCCTGGTGAGCACTTTGACTGTACATTTCAAGCAATATTACTTAGCGGCAATATCACTACTAGCCGACCATTTCCCGTGAGTTTCCGGCACTGTATTGCAAAGGCTGGTATTATAATAGGCTTTGAACACCGACTACGTTCGCTTCCACCTCGGAAAGTAGTTCGTGATACCGTTGCAAGCGCGCTTAAAACTCCAGGTGTAGGCAGGCCGGTGTCTATTTTAGTACACTGTATTAGAACTACTCGCAGTGTATGTACTAGAGTTAGGAATTCTGTTGTCTTGGTGGTATCAAGGACCAGCTGCACAGTGGACCGAACCGAAGCCGAACATGCCTGCATGCCCACCGAGCATTCTACAGAGCGGAGTGGCTGGTATGCACTTATCGGTGGCATGCAGGGCAAGGATTAGGTCAAGGACAAGGTGGTCTGCGGCATCGTTGCGCGGTATGCATACCAGAGTGGTGTCCCTGAGCTGCGTGGTACTTAGCGGTTCACGACAGCCTAGACTTCTCGTGCACACAAGGAGGCGCAAGACAAAGGCAGACATCCAAATAAATAATTAGTTTCCGTAGCTCGAACTGCCTCTTCTCAAGCTCGTACACACGATAGGTAAGTAAATTAGTTGCTTATGCGTGCGGGGTAGAACAAGCAGTGTCCGCAACACCTCCGTTCTCCACAGGGATCCAAGGGACTTGTGGTATTTGCAAGATGCATGTGTTTTGTACTTCAGAGCAATACGGCCTGCATGGCCTATATGGCTCCGCGCACGCTCTATCAAGGTAAAGAGGCCGGTGCTACTGATTCATTGTATTGGTGTTGAAGTTCGGAACGGAGATTAGGCGGGAGCTGGTTCCACAGGACTGCACCGATGAACTGCATGGTCGCTTGACCTGCAGGACCGGGCCAAAATGGAACTTGTAGAAGGTAATGTGCTGCTCCCCGATCCCTCAGTGCGGTTGCCAGTAACCCTCAGGAGGAAGCTGGTGAAGAGGGAGCTAGCTCGGGAGAACAAACAACGACGGACAAAGACGAGGAGCTTTTTAAACATGTCCTCCGGGTTGGTGAGGTGGAGTTGTTGAAAAGATCGGGCTTATTGGCTATCTGCATTGTACAACGGCGATGTACATGCGTAACTGCATAAGTAAGCGGCTAGGCTACAGCCTACATACCCGATGACTGGTAACAGGAGAGGAGCAGGCTCGGACAGGAAGTCTATGATGTGCACCAGGGTCTCAGCAGTACCTGTACCTCCAGTATGTGACCACCCAGGCCACATGCCGATACATGTCAAACATGTAGTTCAGCGGTGTTTGCAGTACAGTGCACAGTACTGTGCCGGATCAAGACTGTTTGGGTCAGGGAGTACCATAATAATAATAATTGTATTTGCTACAGTAGTACTCCCTGCCTCCCTGGAGTGGTTTGGGTACGACTCCAAGTGACCACCCACAAAGAGCCGCTGTGTCATGGCACTTCTTCTGCGCCAAATCAATACCTACCAACCCGAGTAAATCATTGGGTTATGTATTCTTGCTACCAATCACCACCAAACTTATGGTTTGGCCTAGTCCCGGGATCCCACACTTGTACACACAAAAGAACAAAAGCACAACCTACAAAGGATGTTTTAGGAATTTGTCGCAAGTAAGTTCACAGCTCCAATGTCATCCATACCAGCAATACGGAGGAGGCATGGCACTTGGTCCAAACACACATGTATTACTAGTATGTTTGGACTGAGTGCCATTCCTCCGCATAGCTGACACCGCGGGACCTTCCTTCTTCTTCACCTGCACCTCACCCATAACAAGGAAGTGTTACCAATGGTTACTGAAGCCACCCACCGCTACCTGCACTCAAGGCAGTCAAGCACGCCTATTAATATTATAATAATTCTACAAGTACATGTAGATCTACTAACCTCCACAACCTAGGGCCTAGGCTCCAGCAGTCCAGGACCACCTACTGACCTAGGATTGCTACTAGTCCTGTACTATGCCAGAACATACATGTACATTGCCTTGCAACTGAGAGTCCTCCGGCTCGGTAGAGTGCTCGTATTTCAGTTGTCTGGTGATGATTGCCTTGCTAGTTGCAATACTACATGTATGTCGCTGTCACGATGCAGGATGAAACTCACGGAGTAACCTGAACCACGTGACCGTCCTCTGTCTGACCGACTCTGACGAGTCTGTTCATTTGTATTGCCAGGCCAGCACTAGCGGGAAAGATGCAGGCAGGTGGTGGGGAATGGATGCTGGCATCTCAGCCGGGGAGTGTGCATTCTTGCCAACTATCATAATGGCATTGACAATCATTATCCTTTTGGCTTTGACTGGCTCTGCATTTCACTATTTCAGTTTCATTCTTCACTTCACTTCACTCCTCTCATGTCATGACATCGGCATGCAGGTAGCTAGCTCACCGACAACTCCCACACAGCACTACAATACACCGGCCGTCGTGTGTACCGCTGTGTGGGTGTCAGTGCTATTGTAGTGCCACTAGTGGTGGAGTCCGGGTCTCCGGGAGCACTCGTGCATACAGCAGAGCGAAAAGTCGCTGTGCCTGGCTGGCAGTGATCGTGACTGCACTAGCCGCCGACTCGACTGCTCTTTGTAGAGCACTACCTAACTAACTTTCTTGGTCTGTGCAAGCCAGCGCCAAGCGAAGCATGATGAAGCCTGAAGCTGCATGAAGCATTGAAGGACAACGAATGAGTACAACTCCGGCAGCAGTCCAGGTCATGAAGACTGTACTGGTAGACTCTCTGCCCGCCGATCCGCTCTAGCTCTGCAGATCTGCGAGCTAGCTGCGGCCACGTGCATTTTTTGCCCGCTCCGCTGTGCATATCCATACACGCGAGCAATGTGCTCGTCGATTCTGCCAAAAGCAGCAACTAACGTTACTTTTCGCAAGAGTGCAAAGTCATAAACGTTTATGTACATGCATGCAGTCAGTACTGTACGCGATCTCGTAGATCTACGATTGATTGTCTCGACTCTCGATACAGTCTGCTGTCAAAGGTCATGTGCATTTGTACGCGGAAGTACGACATTTTGGCACGCGCGTTTGAATTTTGAGTTCGAGCTGATCAAGCTGCAAGGCCTGGAACCAGTTTGTTGACTGTTGAAGCCTGTGCCAGCAAGAATCGCTGTAGTATTCCCAGGCGTCACCTTGAAAGAAATCCGCTGTCCATAACCAGTCCAAGCTTCGCTGGGCCATCGCGATCATGAAAACCGATCACAGCTGTACAGAAATTGATGGCTGTGTGCCTATCAAGGTCAGTTCCCACCAATTTAGCCCATGGTATCTTGCGCCCAGTGCTCTCTTCTTTTCTCGCAATGAATTGAATATTGATTGGCGGTTGATTTGGTTTTTTTAGGTCGGCGAGAAAGGTATAGAAGCAGCTGAACCGATCACAATACATCAGGTAAGGGCGGATTTCTGGAATTTGTATCAGATATAGTGCACTGGTGATGAACCAGGGGATAGAGCCAAAGCGGGGTCCCGTTCATGGAATATTTTGCCTTGTCTACTACTAGTACTAGTACTAATACTGCTAGGATCTACATGGCAAAGGCTGCATGCACAGATGGGGACTTTTATTTGCCATATTTGGTCAAGCCTATGTTTGATTCACGACACCCAAACGACCAAGCTTGGCTCTACATGTATTGTACATGGTATATACACAGAAGCCTTGCCTGGTAGTTTAACATGTTTTTTCGATTTTGACAGCATGTTTCAAGACAAGAAAATAACAACATCACAATCACAAACTCCTTTCCAGACGTAATCCCTACAGCGGCAGCAACGCGACAACGTGAACAATACTGCGGCGGCAACACGACGACTTCTACAACAAAAAAAGAAAATTTCTAAATCCTACCAACCCCTAGAGTAACGAGGGTCCGAACCTGGGTTTTCCCAATACGGTTCAAATGGTCGCAAGACCGGGACTCTGCCAACCGGGTTATGGCTGTAGTCAGGAGCACTACGCGTCCTCGCCTTGTAACATGCTGTCAAAATCGAAAAACATGTATTGTACATGTAGAGCAACTAATACTCGGTCTGCAGTCCATTCATAAAAAGATGATATCCTAGCGTTTGGCCATAAAAGGGTCAAATTTTGAGTTTTTCACAATTTTTTGCCAATCTCCGTGGAATCCTCTTCCAATTATGATTCTGAAGTTTATTTCTCCGAAAAACAAGCCATATCACGAGAATAGGACATCGGCCAGGTTTTGCCGCCAAAGCACTGAATTGGGGAAATACCATGAAAATCCAGGCCGTTCGCACCACTTGCATAACAGTACATTGTGCGATTCGAACCCCAGTTGAGGTACCTTTTTTGAACCCTTTTTCAAGTTTCAAGTCTCACGGCACTGCACCGTGTATCTCTCTTCTTCTCATGTTGTGTTATTGGTTAACAACCTTGTTGGTTTGTCTCAGGTCTTCAAGAACACCGTATCTCTGCATGGTGATCAGCCGGCGCTGGTGGAGTACAAGGGCGACGAGAAGCACGTGATCACGTACCAGCAGTACTATGACCAGTGTCGTTGCGCCGCCAAGTCGCTCATGCACTTTGGCGTCAAGCAGGGCGTTGCCGTCAGCATCATCGGCTTCAACTCATCCGAATGGTTCATCTCCGACCTCGCCAGTATCCTGGTGTGTATAATTGCCTTTCCGCTGAGCCGGGAACTACGTTTTTGATTGTGATATGCTGGGCCATTCTCTCTCTCTCTCTCTCTCTCTCTCTCTCTCTCTCTCTCTCTCTCTCTCTCTCTCTCTCTCTCTCTCTCTCTCTCTCTCTCTCTCCCCTCCCCCTGTGCCTGGTGCATTGGTGGTGTTTTTCAGTTCTAATGTGCACGAATGTGAAAGTGAATTTTGCATCAGAGAATTTGTGGCCGTCCTTTTTTTTCTCTTTGAAATGATATCCTGTGCTGGTTAGTTACTATCTGTGTGTGTCCGTCTGTCTGTCTGTCTGTCTGTCTGTGTGTCTGTCTGTCTGTCTGTTTTTTGATTACAGACCGGCGGAGTTGCCTCCGGAATCTACAGCACAAACAGCCCACGTAAGTTTTTGTTTGTGAAGTTTTTGTTTGTGACAACAGCACCATTCTCTACCAATTATTCAACCTCCCCCCCCCCCCCCCCCCCCCCCCGTGTAGTTAGGCAGTTCACCCTTGTGGAGTAGTGCTGAAGGCAGGTGCTATGGTATCTGCTTGCATGCATACACATGATGATCTGTGGTGCCAATAGTACATCATTTAGTACTGTCTTGTTTATAACATTCACAATCCCAGGCAACTGTGTACGACAAGACGACAAGACCGCCCATGGAAGGGCCTGCGGACATTTTTAGATCTCACGTTGTTGCTTGCAAGTTAGTCGATTGCACGCATGCCGTTCTGTTGATGGTTGTTCGTCTCCTCGTCTTCTCCCTGCAGAGGCATGTCAGTTCATTATCGAGGACAGTTCAACTGGGGTGGTGATTGTGGAGAACGCCCACCAGCTGGGCAAGATCTTGCAGGTGAGTCAACGACGATGTGTGCAAGTGCAGCCATTTCTGCATTGTCCCAATTCCTAAGTTAGCTATGTTCTGCATGGTTTTATTGGATCTTTCTGCTACTGCATTATCCCTGGCGCCAACCTTTGCCTATCTGTGTGTGTGTGTGTGTGTGCGCGCGCGCGCATGTGTGTGTGGATGTGTGCTTTTTTTTTAGATCCTGGACTCCTGCCCGAAGGTCAAGGCTATTGTCCAGTACAAGGGAGAAGTGAAGGAGGAGCAGAAGAGAGATGTAAGCAGCATGTGACTGGCCGCCGTATGGCCATGTCATTGTTTGGATGAATCAGTGTGGTTATACATGTACCTTGTGTGTGTGTGTGTGTGTGTGTACGTGTGTGTGTACGTGTGTGTGTGTGGTGTGTGTGTGTGTGTGTGTGTGTGTGTGTGTGTGCTCATCTCACCATGCTGGTTTGCTGTTACCTCTCATTGGTGTGCCATGGTACATGGTGGGGTTACATGAGGGGTCACTGTGTATTTGTACAGACAGGGCCCATGCGCCCTCTACCTGTTTCATTCCCCGTCCGACCTAGACTACCCGTATGCCCCACTGTGCCGTCAGCACATAATATTATATGTACAATGTATACCAGTAGCATGGTGGTGGTGGTGGCACTGTACATAAGTATACCAGTTCTCCCATGAGTTTCAACACCGGAATATTTATAGTGCTATGGTGCTTCCGGGTACCGGGTAAGGGTTCTGAAGCATGTACTCATTGCCATGGCCATGGGGACTGCTGGAGTCCTCCCCAAAGAACACCCCTGTACTCTGCTGCTACTGCTGCTGCTATGCTTGCAGTGTTCACATGATGTGTGGTGGCTTGTTCTTTGATGTGTTGTGCTGCGTAGAACGTCTTCACATGGACCGACTTCCTTGAGCAGGGCAAGGTCAGTGTTGCATGTGAACGCGTGCCCAAGACTAACTTGCACCATTGCACCTGCTCTCCTCCTGCTCTTGATATGTGTCCCCATTGTTGATCATTGTCATGGAGGCATGCTGTCCCATTGTAGCAGCACAGCATGTGTAATGCCGGGGCTCAGCACAGCAACTGTGGGGTACTTGGACTCCCCCCCCCCCCCCCCCTGATGGGACTACTATCTAATCATAGTATGAGGGTGGGCCTTACAATGTTTCATGCACTTCATGGGGTTACGGGTATAACAGTGCATTGTTGCAAGGAACCACTTGACAGTTGTTGTTGTCATGAAGTATGTGATTGTTCCATGTGTACTTGAAGCAGAGTTGGAGACTGCACACATGCATGTAGCTAGGTACCTGCACATTCTATAGCTGTGTATACGTGTAAGTAGGTGTGGAGGAGGAGGAGGGTTGCAGCATAAGTATGTGAGTAGGAATGTGATGTGACCTGAGTGCTAGTGGGGGGGGGGGGGGGGGGGTTGCTAGCTCAAGTACTGTCAGTACATGTGCATGCATTCTGCTGTTGACTTGGTGAAGAGCAAAGTCATGTGCAGTCTGTCTGAGCTGCTTGAGCAGACATGCCCCTTGAGAATCTCTTCATACAGGATGCTATGAGGCTGCATGAACTACATTTGCCAAAGGCAAAGGATAGTGCAACCTACCTCTACATACTTGGAGTAAAGAGATGAGGGGGGGGGGGGGGGGGGGGGGGGGCAGGGCAGTGCAGTGAGCCTAAAATAACGAATCCGAAGTACAAATTTGTTACTGGTTATAGTCTAATGCCGTATGTTATGTTAACTTTCCCTTTCCTTATCTGTTGGTGTGCAGGATGTGACAGATGCAGATCTAGATGAGCGAATTGAGGCGCAGAAACCAGAGAATGTCTGCACCCTCATCTACACGTCGGGCACAACCGGTAACCCAAAGGTCAGTAATTAGGCTGTTCATGCATGCTATTGAACCCTGGCTGAGTTCTGTCTGCCACTGACGATCATGCGAATAAAATACATAGTTTCATCTGCGTCGCAAACTTGAAAGAGTTCCAAAGTCTGTTGCATGCTGGTGTGTGTGTGTGTCTGTTTGTGATAGACACCATTGGGCTATAGTTATCTCCTACTATGCTGCTGGTGAATCTACAGAAATACGAGTATGTCACGGTTTTTTCCGTGGGGTGTCTCTGCTGTTTCTGCTGTTGTGCGCAATATCTTTAGGCTCTGCATGAAAGTTCTGAGTAGCAGCCAAATTAGGCTTCCCGCCATTGTTCCCATGTCTGCCTCTTTTTGTATTGTTTGTGCTGCCGTCATCCACCCCTGCACTGCACTGTACCACTGTCGTCGTGTCTACAGGCTGTCATGGTAACACATGACAACATCACCTGGACTGGACGTGCACTGGCGGCAACAGCCGATGTCTCCCATGTGAGTAGTCACAATGTGCCGCCGTTTGAAGCATTTGGAGTATTCGGAGCGCTGGCATGTACTGGGGCTGGTGTTTGTCCACTGGGGTTTTCCCACTGGTGTTGCACAACCAGACTTCACTTGTTGTCCGTTGCGATGTGCTTCTCTGATCTCAACTCAGTATATAATTATGTTTTTGTCTTCGTGTATCGTTGTGTTATGGAGATTGGTAGCATCTTGGCACATGTGTCGTTAGGAGTCGTAAAGAGCTGTGCACTACTGTAGGGTACAAGCTAGTTATGCTGTTGTGTGTTTAGATATTTAGGTTGCAAGGTAGGCTTTTGTGAAAACATTGTGCTACTGTCCTCCATTCTCTGTGTGTGTGTGTGTGTGTGTCTGTGCGTGTGTGTGTGTGTGTGTGTGTGTGTGTGTGTGTGCTCTTTCACATTGAGTAGACTGACAGGATTATCACCTACCTGCCACTCAGTCACGTCGCCGCACAAGTTAACGTAAGTGTAGGGTGAATGGGCCAGCGCAGTGAGAAGCGGGAGGATTGCCCACGCATTTCTTGTGCATGACAGACTGTCGGGTGATCACAGATCACTGTAGGTGCTGTAGGAGCAAACGTTAGGCACCTTTACCTTGTCTGACGATTGCCTGGGACCTTTGGCATAGAACTCTAGTCAGTTGACTCCTTACCGCACCTTGTAACGTTAGGCGATACACAGTACATTGCAAGTGTCGTCCTTGCAAGCAACTAGCACCCTACTTGTGCTGATGTCAACTGATCAACTATTCATAGCCCGCTTTGTCTCAACCAGCAGCTGTAGACTCCGGGGTCTTGTGGGCGGTGACGCTGGATGGGTGATGTAACCTCTTGCCAACCCTCATGTGGTATTATCCCCCGGGCTCCACCGTATAACAAACGGAACGTAGCTTGATCATTCCGTCTTTCCCCCGCGTCTTTTTTTGCTGTGACCAGCTATTGCTCCCTTGCTTTCACAGTGGTCGGTATCATTGGGTGATGAATTCTATCAATCCATTCTAAGATGCATTTGAATGTTGTGCTTCTTCCGCTGCAGGATATTCACTCGCCGCTGTCAGTCGGAGCCTCGGTGCACTTTGCCCAGCCAGATGCACTCAAGGGCTCGTTGCGCAAGACTCTGCATGTAGGTTCTTGGTGTGCGCGTGTGTGTGTGGGGGGGGGGGGGGCAAGGTGTTGTCTCTAGACAATGATGGATACGTCTTCATTCTTTGTGTTCTGCTTTTCCCTCAGGTGTGTTTTGTAGGCTAGATGACAATGTGTGTATGTTTGTGTGTGTGTGCATGCGCTTGTCTGTGTGTGTATGCCCTCACACATGTGTGCAGGCTGTGCATCCAACGCTCTTCCTCGGCGTACCACGCGTATGGGAGAAGATCGAGGTTGGCCTGCGCTCGCAGATGGATGCGACTGGCGGTGTGAAGGGTGCTATTGGCCGCTGGGCACGTGGAATTGGTCTGGAGGGCGGCTATTCCAAGCAGAAGGGTGGCGAGACTCCGTTCGGCTGGTGGTTTGCCAACAAGATGGTCTTTGAGACTATCAAGCAGAAGATGGGACTGGACGAGTGCCGTGGTATGTACACAGCCGCAGCACCCATCAGCAAGTCAACGCTGGAGTTCTTCCTCTCCGTTGGTATTCCCATCTTCGAGGTGTACGGCATGAGCGAGTGCACCGGGCCGCAGACCATATCTCGTGAAGGTAAGGACCGCACTGCAGACTGCCTGTGGCAACTCCCAGTGAGTTACTGCACCTGGTTCTCCTCCGTTCTTACGACTTCTTGCTCATATGAACAAGGGCTCTCTCTCTCTCTCTCTCTCTCTCTCTCTCGGATGTTGTTCAGCGTATGCTGTGCAGCCAGTACGTTTGGTCTGCTCTCCTGGGCTGATGGAGATGCATGCAGTCTTCAGGAGGGTATTGCCTGTATTGTTGGTGTTCTCCAAGTTTGGGCTCCCTGCAATCAAACCTGACCAGCACCAGCACCAGTTCATTCTCTCTAGCTTGTGTTGCAGGCCAAGGATATATTAAAGCAGACAGGATCACTTTTTCTAAATACAGGGTCAACGACGTTACATGCACAGTAGGGTTCTCCAAATATGCTCTCACAACATAAATATGGACTTTAATACAACAGGAAGAGAGGCTTATCCTATCAAGCCATATTACATAACCCCCATGCACTCTTGTATCAAAGCATTTGGTCTATTCTTACACAGGAAGAGGGACTATTATCTAATTTAAAAGGGAGATAGTCCTATGACTGCAAGCAAGAGTCCATAATCCCCCGGACTCTTGCTGCTGCAAGTAATACAACTTTGGGCTTCGGTTTAGGAGAGAGATAATACAACTTACTACACTTGCTCCATGATGTGTGCATGTGCTTGCTGCTGCCACTGGATTTCCTACCATCTCTGTTGTGTTGTTGGTGTGTGTTAGCTTTCTGGTTGGAGTGAGTAGCGTGTGTTAGCTGTTGTAGCTTGTAGTTCATTAAAAACTCTCTGTTCTTGTGCTATCACCCATGGTTTCGCACAGGGCCTTGAAAGCCTTGAAAGTGCTTGAATTTTGAAAACCCCTTCAAAAGTTCTTGAATTTTTGAAAAAGGGCTGAAAGGCCTTCGTTTAAAAAATCACCAATTCCGATGATGTGCATGTAATCATGTTTGTTCTGTTGGTGTGTTGTGCTGTGTACTGCAGGCATGCATCGCCTTGGGTCTTGCGGAGCCAAGATGAACGGAACAGAGATGAAGATCCTGAGCCCAGACGAGTGAGTGCACACGCGCGCACGCACACACACACTCGTACATGCACACACTCAGCATGTAATGAAACCAGACAGCAATTGGCTCACCAGCAACAGCAATTCTCTTGAATTGCCATAGCCATCATCTCATCATGTCGGTCCTAGCACATGTGCACGTTAGTGCTTTTGCGTCTTGTCTTCAAAAGTAACGTGTAATGAAAGAATACGGTCGTCCCAACACCCTCTATAAACCAGCATAGATTCCAGTGGCCGAAATGTCCTCTTCTTGCAGTCGTCCCTCTGCAATCCAGCACTTTATCAACCAGCACCTGTATAAACCACCATAATTGTCAATAGCCAAAGTGTCCTCTTGACTTCATGCACATTGCAGCAGTAAATCAGATTCTGTCAATCCAGCACCGTCCCTAATCCAGCAGAATTTTCTGAACACGAATGGTGTCGGATCATGGAGAATGGTGTGGGATCATGGAGAATGGTGTGGGATCATGGAGGGACCACCACTGTACTAAACTATTCTTGTATCCTTGCGTGTTCTTGTTGCGTACAGGGATGGCAATGGTGAGATTTGCTACCGCGGCCGCCACATCTTCCTCGGCTATTTGAACAACGAGGAGAAGACTAGAGAGGCCGTTGACGAAGAGGGTTGGCTGCACTCCGGGGACATTGGCAAGGTCGATGAAGATGGTGAGTCTTATCCTTCATTGGTACGGGTGTCTAGCACATGAGTATGTGTGTGGGGGGGGGGGGGGAGCATGTTCTGTTGCTCTTTGCGTGTGTGCACATTCAGCTTCCCCAGAGAGACTACACTGCCCTGATGTACACGTAATAGTCTCCAGTGCGTCGCCTCTGCTCATGTATCACCGAAATGCTCTGCGCACAAGAGGTACACACAGGAAAGTCAGGGCTTTGTGTACCTCTTGTGCACTGTGCTCTGGTCATCACAGTCACTGACCACTGACCACTGTACAGTACTGTGGGGTGCCGAAGAACGACCAGGCTAGAATTTCACCAATCACAGCATACCAATGTATACACGGTGACTCAGTTGTGCCTACTATTGCTGGTGTGTGTGTGTATTTGTGTGTGTGTGTACTCCCTGTAGGTTTTCTGCACATCACAGGTCGCTTGAAGGAGCTGCTGATCACTGCTGGCGGTGAGAACGTTGCACCGGTGCCAATCGAGAATGTAAGTTGTTTTTGGTGACTTCTGGTGATGTGGCCATGTGCGTACAGAATGTACTTTTCGTATGTACTTCTAGCAGGTTGTGGTAGACTGTGTTGCGCTTTTTTGCTAGATTTGCCATGTAAAAAACCTAGCAACCACCTAGCTTCCACCTAGCCAATGTTGCTTGCCCTCCTGACCAGGGAGTAGTCCCTGCTCCTATCAAGACTAGCCACCTGTCCACAGTTGGCATGTTTCTGGAATATTGTGTTGTGTGTGGTGGATGGGCGGCCGTTAACTTACATCTTACTTAGTACTGTTACTGCTGCTGCGGTTCTCCCGTGTGTCTGTGTGTGTGGTGCGTGTGTCTGTGTGTGTATGTCTGTGTGCATGTGTGTGCGAGCACAGAAAATGAAGGAGGTGATGCCGCTGCTGTCGAACGTGATGGTGATTGGTGACAAGCAGCGTTTCCTGTCCATGCTGGTCACGCTCAAAGTCAAGGTGAGCTACTGCTGCTGCAACAACTCTGCTCTTCTGATGATTTCACAAGCACTGGTGGACTGTTGTTCATGAAATCACGCCTAAGGCCGCGGTCACACTGAGCTCGATTCAGCCATTCAGCCGGGAAAAAGCGCTTGTTTACCATGGAAATGGCTGAAAAATGTCCTGCAAACGACTTTCAACCGTGGTGGACTCTCAGCCGTTTTTTCCCGCTTGTTTCAGCCACAGCTTGTACAAGTGGCTGAAAGTGACATTCTTGTTGCTGTTGATTTTTACTTCATGAAAACTGAACACAAGTTGTAGATCACCACTGTTCTGCTTTCTGATTTCTTGCGAACGTTGGTGTATTGGAGATATTCAAATTTTGGCGGGCAAAAAAACAAGCCATTCAAGCTTTGCATTCGATGTCTGGTGTGACCGCTCGACAGGGAGCACACAAGCCAGCTGAGCGCCGGTGATAACAAGTCCAAAGGTGTGACCGCAGCCGAATTTACTCGCCACCTGTCCCATTGGGTACTGCCATGCTCTATTTCCACCGGTGCGTGGCACGTGTACATACATGTACATGGCTGCAGTAGCACCGGAGGATGTACCCAGTGTGCTGACAGTGCTCAATACCGCGGAGGCAGAGCGTATTGCACAGAATGACATTGGCAAGGCTAGTTTCATGCTTATGCAATCATCAGGTGTTCCCTTGCTGTTCTTTGTCTACAGTCACATTGATTTTGCTGAATGTTTTTTTGCCGTTTTTGTCGTCCATTTCAGTTGAATGAAGAAGGTAATCCAACCAGTGACCTAGCTGATGACGTCAAGCCAGTTCTGCAGTCCATTGGAAGTGCTGCAACAACAGGTCAGTGCAGTCGTAATGAACTATACAACAGTCAGACTTGTTGCATGAAAGCAAACACTTTTTTATGCCACTAGGGCTGTTTTGTTGAAAAGAGGTCAAAAAAGGTGCCCAGCAGAAGGGAGTGTGCAACTCCCGCGTACGGTGCTGTCCGAACAGGATTTCAAGTTTACGTCATTTCTATGATGCAAATGGTACGGCATGACAAGCACGCGTGCCCCATTTCACTTTCTCCTTTTCAGGACCGCGCTTACTAAAACCAGTCATCCTGCACACTCTCACACACACACACACACACACACACACACACACACACACACACACGCACACACACACACTCACACACACACACTACGTTCTCTCACCTACTTGAAGTATGAGTAGAACAGTGAACATTTATCCTATTAATTTGTCGGGCAGGTCCATCCGCTACTTATGTGTGCTTTTCCCGTTATAAAAGAGCTGCATCTGCGCCTTTGGTCTTTGCAGGGAGGTGGCGTTCCTACGGGTGAAAAACTCAGTCAAAACTCAGTCTAACCGAGTCTAACGCGAACCGTGAAGTTAATTTCCGATGCTAAAACCATAGATTTATTTTAATATGTACTCTTTTTTGTTGCGCTGGTGTCTCACTGCTCCTGTGTGTATATATATAGTGGAGGAAGCACAGAAATGTGACAAGATCCGCCAATACCTGGAGGATGGGCGTGTCGAGGCCAACAAGTTTGCCGTGTCCAATGCACAGAAGATTCAGGTATGTGCTTTGTCGGTTTGTGGTGCGCGTCTTGCATTGTACTAAGTGTTGCATGCTATGCATGCCGGTAAGATGGCAGTTCTTTTCGCGTCGCCATCTGCCGCACGCATGTGCCGCACGCATGCGTGCGTGTGTGGTTGGGTAGTAAACAATGAAACTCGGGAAATTCGGCACCTGTTCAAACGTTCACTGATTGCCGTTGCAAGCTGTAGGAATGTTTCTCTGTTGAATAGGCAAGTGTTGGTTCATGGCTTCGGTCTTACGGCTTTACGGTGTGTGTGTGTGCACGTAGAAATTCGTCATCCTCCCTGTTGACTTCTCTGTCAATGGCGGCGAGATTACGGAGACCCTCAAGCTGAAGCGTAACATTGTTGCAAAGCGCTACGATGACATCATCTGTCAGATCTATGCAGAAGCAGCCCCACCAGCTGGTGCAGCGGCAGCAGCAGCATCCAACTAAACAAACCACGTCACAAAGTGCTCTCTGTGTGTCCCCGAAGAGAGTCATCGGCTGGAGACAACTTCGGCGAGAGCTACTTGCGATGGCCCCATCTCTGTTAGTCGTCTGTTGTTAGTTTTCGCTTTAGTTCTAGTTTTTTTATCAGTGCTTGCTATCTATCCCTAGTCTTTTGTCTGGCTGCATGTGTGCACAGACCATATTCAGATCCCATTTCATTTCTTGGCTGCTGGGTACAACCATTGAACATTCTGTCCCTTTTTTTATCAGTGCTTGCTATCTATCCCTAGTCTTTTGTCTGGCTGCATGTGTGCACAGACCATATTTAGATCCCATTTCATTTATTCAACATTCTTTCATACCCACTACACACACACACACACAAACACGCAAAACTGGATACCACGTCGTCTAGATCTCTTCTAGACATGTAATGTAATGTAATGTTCACATACTACTCAGATATTTGACACAATGAGATTAATAAGCAGTATGTGAAAGTTAGGCGAAACAGGTTTTTTAAGTACATGAATTTTTTTTGTTGATATTTCATGAATTTCCCATTGTTGCAGCTTTGTAAGCAATAAAGATTTAGACCGGGAAATAAGGTACATATGACTGTATATTATATCCACACGGCGTAATCATGGCTACAAAAAGAACCTCTCCGTATAAGTAGTATTTACAAGCAGCAGACTGGTATATACAGCAACGAACAAACATTTCAGCATTAGCACACACATACAACATGAAAGTTGGCAGTCTTAACAACGTATGTTCACTCCGTTCCAGCCAAGGAACAGTGCCAGCAAGATAACGTATGTTCACTTCGTTCCGGCCAAGGAACAGTGCCAGCAAGATGATTTGCAACGTCACTACGCTCTATACAAACTTTACACGCTCCTAGCATATGAGAGTAAACCATGCAAATCAGCACACGCATCTTAGCCAATCTGTTTCAGCATGACCACCAGCACCACACGCACTTCTCCCGATGATGATGCTGGGGAAAGGAGCGGTCTCTGGAAGGCAGTTCTAGATGCGCAGGTAGAACAGTTCGACTGGCTTCATATCAGAGACGTTCTTCCAATACTGTACAGCAATGGCACAAAAATAGACACGTAGAATAAAGCACCGAAGGCGAAAATTGGGAGATAACATCTCACCGAATTGCAGCACCTATTACCTTGCTGGTGGTATTCTTATTTTTAGTTGGCTGTAGTGAAGCCTCCAAAGGCCAACAGGCAAGGAAAAGGAGAAAACCGAGAAGACTGTCAATGTGTCACACAGTACTTTCCTATGTCAGCCGGAGACCTATGGCTGCCGCCCAGAAAACACTGTGGTGGACTTGCTAAGGAAAGTATGATACAGTACTGACGGGTGGCGAAGAACGAAGCGCAAGAACAAACAGCTTGGACTTTCACCGAGAACAGCATACCAATGTATACACGACGACTCAACTGTGCATAGACTGTAGTACATGAAAATAGGACTAGTACTGGGGCCAATTCAAAAAATCGACCTCTAAAATACATGCCTTGACACATGTTGGCTAACAAGGATTTTTCGGTGTTATTTGATAGATAATGTCTTCAAGAGTATCTTGGCCCAGTATGGCGTGTCCAATCGCGTCCAAAGGTCCCGAAATCACCCTCGATAGGAATACAAATTGCCGAAAAAACTAAGTTCTCATCGGCTATATTCAAGCATTTTCAAGACTTTCTCGGTACTATATTGACTGGACCTGGGAGTTTTTACCCTTTTATGTGCCAGGAGCTATAGTAACACCGTACATACACAGGATGCGAACCGACGCGTACACTGATTTTGTGCGAGAGTTGGAAAGATTGAACATCAAGTCGTGTAGTTGTGACATACGAGAAATGTGTTACCTCGTTTGGACACTTTCTTCAAAGTTTTGCATTGACTCGCTGGCGCTTTTGCTGTCGGAACGTCCACGAATGGATCGATGCTAAATTCAGCAGAACCTTCTTTATAATGGAATCTTGGCTCCCCGGAAAAGTAGGCATGATTCCAACAAGGAGCAGCACAACAATTATGTGTGAAAAGCAGGGGAAAGTCATCATAGCTTGCCAAGCCAGTTGTAACTATTCATAGGACTAATCTACAACCGTGGAACGTTTCAGACCTAGCTAACTTCATCGGGCTGGAATGAAGGCATTTACTTTGTGAGTACTGCTGCACAGGAGGTGTTACAGTGGACGAGCATTTGATTCGAATCTACAAGAGCGGCTAGTGTTAGTACCATGATTTGAACACACCGACCGTGGTGATCAGCTACCATTTGCACAAAGCCTATTTACCAGCTCAACAGCTCTAGGACAACTGCCTAAGGAGTGCCATGCTGCAGTGAGAGGGAGTAGCTATGTGGTGTGGAGTGTTACAAAAACGAAATCCGAGTACCTGGAGGTAACCTATCCCAATATGCAACACCAGCAGTAGAAGAATCATTTCCTTGTCACAGAATTTGATGGCTGGGCCTAGGCAGTGTGAAACTACCGTTATACTTATAAAACACTAACTGCAAGAAAGAGTCCGATGTCCAATGTCATGGCTTGTCTCTCCTGAACTGATCACGGCACGTAGTTGATGCGATTCAAGAGCGGCGGTGAAGAGGGAAAACAAGTTCATATAATACCTCATGTACTAGTGGCTAAAGAATTGTCCCTGACTGCAAAGCCAACAGTGATGGTGTAGATGGCGGAGTAGAGATGGGCTCAGCTGTACGGCGTAGAGTTTCCAAAGCTCAGACGGAAGAACAACTTCAGTTAAAGTGAAACACATGGAAGCGAAAGTATTCGCATCACAATGTTGGGATCAACCTGCAGCTAATCACCTGTGAGCGCTGTCCAACTGCAGCCTTGAAGTCTTTTCAAAGCATTTAAGTATAGTGGCAAGCTAGCCAGTGTTTGGACTGTTTTAATATCTACTAGTATGCAAAGGATTTTGGTATTTTCATTTTCATCATTTTTTCGTTACAGCACTGCCATCGCATACAAATAGTGTTGTCCTTCTTACATTGCTGCGAGATCTATCGTATTGTCTACACGTACTTCGAGTAAATTAGTTCAGGTTGAAACTGTCCTATAGCACTTCTTTCCTTAGACTCTGACAGTTTCCTACCACCTTTTCCTTCTCCTGTTAGTACTTGGGTTACAATACCTATTCTCTCATTTGAAGTGTAACGCCGAACCGTCTGACGCTTCTCTCGTGTTTGCAGTCTGATAATTATAGTAATGCATGCCTGTAAATAGTCTCATGTACCTGCTAGCTGCACATACTATGTACATGTACACGTACCTCAATGCTAACATTCGACGCGACATGTAATGTACATGTACATGTCCAATAACCAAGTTTCACCGCACTTTGGAAATTTTGTTTTGACACTGTGAAAGTACAGTACTTGTCGCCGTACTGTATCTACTGCTTATTCTGAGCAAAATGAGGTGCTACTTGGCCATATACATGTCAGTAAAAATGGATATAGGAGCAATTCTAGTTAGGTTGCCATGGTAATAACGGCCTTTTCTATTTTGATGTTTTTCACCATGTTCGGACACAATTCGGCAATCGAAACCTATGCCATCGTGTTCAGGAGGCAAAAACCATCCAGGAATGATCAAAAAATCCATGTTAGCAAACATGTGTCAAGTAAAAGTGAGAAATTTCAAATGGGCCCTAGGACTAGACCGGTCTAGGTCACGGTGAACCCAGTACGTAGGCAAGCGCAATAGAAAGAGAACATGAATGATCAGTGAGTCAGCGTTCGATTATGCACTTGAATCGATTCGGAATCCATTCACCCTATCCACGTGGGGTGACAGGGGCGGATCCAGGGGGGGGGGGGGGGGGGGGTTCGAACGACCCCCCCCCCCTGATTTTTTCCGACTATAGTTCGGGTGTGACCACGAACCCATGCCCGTGCAACGTGCTCGCCCCATGCTATGGCCTAGCGCCTGCAGGCCGGAGCGGTCCACTAGCTATGCAGCTTGGTAGATCTATAATTATGACATTGAACATTGTTGTCTTGTACGTAGCTGTAGATAAAGTAGATCTGCACTGAATGTAGATCTAGAGCTACGCGTTCGCTTCGAAGAAAGAGGTGCATGCATTTGTTGAGCTGCTGCGGAAACTTCGAAAGAAAGTAGTTTCAAAAACTAGCCTGAATAGTGGCCGTGCAGTGCTGTAATTGTCGTCACGGCTCATGCTTTTTGAGCTCTTAGAGTTCGAAGCGTCTAAAAGAGACAGGATCAAGACCAGCTGCCATTGAATTTTGGTGACACTCCAAAGAAAAGTGTAGCCACTAGTATCAAAGGTAAAACAAAGAGCGAAAGTTTGAAAATCACCTTCAAGTTCAACGTCCTATCATCCAATAATCAAAATTTCTCCGAACTGGGGACAATTATGACTGAGACACGAAAGATGCAGGAAGCCTGCCTTATGGAACCTACTGTACAGTGGAGTCAACATCGGGCGGCTCGGAGTACAAAATTGTGGACAATTACCGTAAAGTCGCGGATAAAAGCCGGGCTTATATAAGTTATAACCATAAGCCGCTTTCTGAACGAGGCTCTAATGCAAACCAGGCTTGTATGCAAACCATGCTTATATGCACCACTGATATTTTTGCCAGGCTTGTATGCACATACATGTACTGTAAAAGCAGAAATTTTCGGTGGTGTTTTATTTTCGGTAACTTCGGTGCCGACACTTTTTACCGAAAATAAAACGCACCGAAAATTTCGGTACAGCCAATACTGTATACATGTAGTACTAGTACACTTACCTGGAAACGGGTTTTACCGAAAATTTCCCTCCACCGAACCGCCGATTTTGGAGAATACCGAAAATATTACACCACCGAAAATTTCTGCTTTTACAGTAGAAGCCAGGCTTCTGCGCGCGACACGCGTAGATCTACCACTGACTACTGGTATGGCGGCAGTTTTACTATGCACCGTACATAGCGCATGCACTCTTGACCTACCCGATCCGCGCTTGCATAGAAGCCAGGCTTCTACGCGCGACAGGCTTATATGCATTTGACCCGTTTGATTTTCAGGCTTCTATCCGCGATGTGCTTGTATGCAAACCCGGCTTTTATCCGCGACTTTACGGTATTACAGACAAGCTGCTGGAGTCGGAAAGTACCAATCAGCTATTCTGCGGTAAAGAAATTGAAAATTTCTTCCTTGTGCTGCGTGTCTTCAATAATGTTTTAGCTGCAGAGTGTTGAAAACAGGGTACTGAAGTTACATTTGTATAGCAGCTGGCATGTTCAAGTATTATTTGGTGCTGTACCGATAACGCGAACGTGTGAACTTGTTATACAATCATGTACATGTATGTGTATGTCATCATTTCGTCATTGTGGGTAGGGTGGGAAAAAATTGAACCCCCCTTGGAAAACTCCTGGATCCGCCCCTGGGTGATGTGAATAGCGCGAATCGATTCAATTCGATCTGCGGGCATAATCCGTGATCTCAATCTCTTCACTTACCCGCCCAGTGATCTCTTCAAGAGTGAGCACACCATCCAATGCCTAAGCACATAAACAGTAAGAACAAATAACACACACGCACAACACACACACGCACAACACACACACGCACAACACACACTCACAACACACACACACACCACACACACACACACGCACGGGTCCACGAAACAACATGCAAGCTTATTAGGTTCAAAAGAGAGTGTTTTTGCTGGTGTAACAAGTGACTTGATTCATTCTGTTCACAGCGTGTGTGTGTGTGTGTGTGTTTGTGTGTACTCGTAGGTTAAGAGAGGACACTGCAAAAGCCTCGAGACTTCTCTGAACTTGACAGAGGAAATAGCCAGAACTGCGCTACCGAGAACAGATGCAGTTATCCACTTTCAACTGAGTTTGAAGTACAGGAACACAATGCAACACACGTTGCTACTCCATACCGTGAACTCTCCATCGATAGAGACGAAGATGTCAAACTCGTTGGTGGTGTCGTCAGGCTGTGGTGGTGGCTTCCCAGTGGCTGAAGTAGAATGACAGTAACAAGACATACTACATCACTGTAGCTGCATCAATTCAACCAAGAGTACATAACCCCCCCCCCCCCCCAAGAGTGTGCAACTCCCACATACCCTGCTGTCCCGACAGAATTTCAAGTCGACGTCATTATTTATGATGCAATGCTCCGTGCACCAGTGACTTACAACATGTGTACGGCATCACAAGTTTTGCTTTGCAATGATCTGTACAGGATCAGATGGGCTTCAGTCCACCACAGGTTCCGGATTCGTCTGATAGTCCGCGTACAGTGCGCATTGCATCATAAAAATGACATCAACTTGAAATTCTGCCGGGACAGCATCCATAGTCGAGTTGCACACTCTGGGGGTTATGTACTCTTTATACAACATGCAGTTGTGTGTCAGTTATCCGGTACCCTCGGTACTGGATGTTACTGGATACAGTATATAAATAGTTTGGATAACTGAAGTTACATAGCCATATTGTGTTCAGACATTAAAAAGAGAGAGAGAGAGAGAGAGAGAGAGAGAGAGAGAGAGAGAGAGAGAGAGAGAGAGAGAGAGAGAGAGAGAGAGAGAGAGAGAGAGAGAGAGAGAGAGAGAGAGGGCAAATCATCTCCTATCCATTGTCCTTTTCGTATAATCTTTTACTCTCTCTCTCTCTCTCTCTCTCTCTCTCTCTCTCTCTCTCTCGTTTCATTCAGCATTCAATGTGATCGAAACCTCACGATGGAGTGAGAAGAGTTCTGAATTACAACCATCGCATGCATCAGCTTACCATCCCCATTGTGGTGTGACTCTAACCAGAGCCGTAGTGAGATGAACTTGGCAAGATGAAACACTGGCAGCACCGAGCAGAAACACAGCACAGCATAGCATTTAGTGGAAGCCGATGTACACCAGCAGCATGGTGATTTAATGTTCCGAATACGGCATGCAATGCATTCTCTGTGTGTGTGTGTGTGTGCCCGCGGTGTATATTAAAAATACATACACATGCAGGGCATGTCTGCTCCAATAGTGGACTCACTTGTAGCATTAGCTGTAGTCTTGATGAACCTCTTCTTCAGGTGTTTCTCAATGCACTCTGGGTGAGGATAGAGTACCAAGTCCACCTCCTGGTGAGAAAAGAAAAGCATCCGGAAGAAGCCAAGAATCACAACATGTTAACGCTGGTCCCCTAACTCTACATTACACCTGAAGCCTGGCAGGTCACTGACACCGAAAATTTACCACGTACATTTAAAATTACTTATTGTACAATACACTTTCCTGCTACCCGTGCGGGTGCCGCTTATCAGAGTTCTACTGTACTGGCGATGGAGGCATACTTGGTCTGTCTGTCAGTCTCCCCGTCAACCTATTGACAAGAAAACTGGCAGAAACCGCGGATATCTCAATGACGAGCAAAGCTACCTGCCCACCATGCACACACACACACACACACACACAGAAGAGGGACTTATGAGTAACTTATGTACCTGTTCCTGGGGGGTCACGTCACCTTCACCAGTATAGTCACTGTAGTCACCTCCCTCTGTAGCAACAGCAACAGCACACAGATACAGCAACAGCACACAGCCACACAGATACAACACCACACAGACACAGCAACACAGCCACACGACAGCCACACAGATACAGCAACACCACACACACAGATACAGCAACACCACACAGACATACAACACCACACAGACATACAACAGCAACACCACACAGACATACAACAGCAACACCACACAGACACACAACAGCAACACCACACAGACACACAACAGAAACGCCACACAGACACACAACAGCAACACCACACAGACACACAACAGCAACACCACACAGACACACAACGGCAACAGACACACAACGGCAACACCACACAGACACACAACAGCAACACCACACAGACACACACACACACAAGCACACATACGCACAAGCACACACACACACATTATGAGAACGCACACCAAGGAGACACAGCACGTGGATACTGGACAGTAACACTGTCAGAAGTTCAGAACTACCTGTAAGAAACAAGAGGGATGCGCTTTACAAACCTGGAAAATTAAATACTGAAAACCTTCAAAATTCAGCGACAGGGAAACCTTAGAGTATAGCGGATGGACTGATTTCGCTAAAATTGCAAATCCCTAGTGGTGCATGTCATGCATTTAGATAGAATTGTCCATTCACTAAATATATTCACGGCTAAACTATACCGGTTTACAGCACGTATGAAGGCGAAAATCAGCGCCCACTCTATCACCACCCCATAGAAACAATCGGCACCATATCAAGTATTTACCTGCATCGCGTGCTCGCTTGGCTGTGATGACCAAAACAGAAACATACCAAAACAGAGAAGCAGCAGCAGCAACAGCAGCAGAGTAGAAGCACAGTTAGTTTCACATCCATACTAGCAGGGTCAGACAGAAAGCACCGACACCAGGCAATGCCATACGGCCCAAAACAGAAGTCACGTGTAGCTGTGAAGCGAGGCACGATTCACAGTGCACTACCGTCAACATGCCATCTGCATGCCCAGCAGCAGCCTGCGCTCATGCTGCTAAAACCTGGCATCTCTCATTTTAGCACACCATGCGTAGCTTGACTTGCTGCAGTCCCGAAGCTATCGCAGGAATTCATCTGAAACCTTGGCGGTGATGGAATCGGCAACACAGTTTGATACAAGGCACGCAAACACATGTGCACAGATCCTTGCATGTGTCACTTACGCACTAGCTCGTCATCATCCTCTCCAAAGCGTTTGATCTGCAGCACAATACCAACCAACACATACATACACGCACACATACATGCACACATACACACATACACACATATACACACACAGACACAGACACACACTAAGCCGAATAAATAGTACATACAGGTGGCAAGTAAAGCATATCCTCTCGTGGATAAGGCTTAGAAAACAATACCAGAGCCTATTTTAGGTCTGGACATGGCTGGGCTGCCCAGCCGTCAGCACCAAACACTGGGTCATGTCTGAGAGAACAATAAACAATATCAAACATGATGGCCAAACCAATCAGACAAAACAACCAAGAAGCAGTATCAATAAGTTCAAGCTGTTCTTACCGGACGCAGCGGATTGCTCATCTTCTGCAGGCGAATTCCTTCCGTAAGCGTGGCAGTCAACTCCTTGGTGTTGTGCTGCTCCTTGATGCGCATCATCATATGTTCCTGGGTGTACATGAAGGAGAGATAAACAAACAGTTTCACACAAATAATGTGCACATGCCATAACTGTGACAAGAGAGAGAGAGAGAGAGAGAGAGAGAGAGAGAGAGAGAGAGAGAGAGAGAGAGAGAGAGAGAGAGAGAGAGAGAGAGAGAGAGAGAGAAGAAAAGTGCTGAATGTAACCCGGGCAAAGACTAACAAACACTGGGTTTGGGTCGAGATGGATCCTGAAAAGAACAATCTGCCTCACAGCTAATGCTGCTATTCGTGATGAAAAACAGTGGGCACATTTCAGGAATATCCCACCTCATCTTGGCTGACTCATGACCCAGGTAGGCCCAAACCTGTTACATGTATCAACGGGGCACTGGCTCTACACGAAGAGACATGCACGGGACTACAAGAATCAGGCAACTACGTCCACAGTAGTGGTTATACAGTCAGCTGCTGACACCCGTTAGAACTGTACTGGTGTCCCGGCACCAGTGCTGTATGTGTCTCTATCATCAAGTCATGATCATGTGCTACAGTAATTATTAAATAAAATTTCGACGGGTTCGCGTACCGGGCGGGTCGAGAACAAGGAGTCGTACAATTCCCTGGTCAAGAACCACCTTTCCACAGTCCATTCATAAAAAGATGATTTTTTTGTACTAGCAAACCCAGCCCTACTAGCAAGAGTACATAACCCCCCAGAGTGTGCAACTCCCACATACCCTGTTGTCCCGACAGAATTTCAAGTTGACGTCATTATTTATGACGCAATGCTCCTTGCAGCAGTGATTTACAACATGTGTACGGGTGTCAACGCATCACACGTTTTTCTTTGAAATAATTTGTACAGGATCGATCGGCTTCGGTCAACCACAGGTTCCGGATTCGTCTGATAATCCGTGTACAGTGCGCATTGCATCATCAAAATGACGTCAACTTGAAATTCTGTCGGGACAGCACCCATAGTGGAGTTGCACACTCTGGGGGGTTATGTACTCTTGCTACTAGTAATAGTCAGATATCCTTGGCCATAAATGGGTCAAAATTTGAGTTTTTTCACAATATTTTTCGGCAATCCCCCATGAAATGCTCTTCCAATTATATTTCTGAAGTCTATTTTTTCCAAAAAGCAAGCAATAACAAGAATAGGGTTTCGGCGCGGTTTTGCCACCAAAGCACCAAATTGGGGAAAACCATGGAAATCCAGGCCGTTCACACCACTTGCATGACAGTACATTGTGCGGTTCGAACCCAAGTTGAGGTACCTTTTTGGACTCTTTTTCAAGTTTCAAATCTCGCGGAACTGCACCGTGTACAACAAAAATCACGAAAATACACAAGCTTGCCAGAGCCAAGGCTCATCTTTTTCGGAATGGACTGTAGTATACAAACATACACCCAGATAAATAAATCAAGCTGTTGACGCCTACCTGCTGAGCTTCATACTCATCACGACTGGGATAAATCTGCCAATACGTCAGACAAACCGCGTATGCATACAGGCACACATGTACACAAATACAGGCGCACACACAGGAACGTGTTACTGGAAGATGTCAGGCCAGGACAGCAAGCACACCGAGCAGCAGCAGCAGCATCATGCAAACTCACCGCAATGTGACCGCATGCAATCTGAAACCAAGCGGTGAATACACGAGCATGACGACTCACCAAAAGAATACAGCTGAATACTGAACACCATTGCTTACCTTTGCAATCAAAGCGTCAAAGTTGGGATCAGCACGGAGTGAGCGACGGGACACTAGCTTCTTACGGCAAGTAGGGCACTCCCGATTTCTAGATTGCAGCAACACACAATAGCAAAAAACACAAAAAAGAGGTCGAAATCCTGACACGCATGTACCGTAAAGTACCGCCAGAGCGCCCCACTTTGATTTTACAGCCAAGGGAAGAAAATCGTATGGCAGAATGCTCCTAAGTTTGTACGATGTGAGAACCTACGTGTACTAAGGTCACACTTGGTATGCTTTTATATGGAGCTCGAAGGTAAACTGGGTACGGATTGACTGCACAATGTGCAATGTTTGTACAAGGTCCGTGTCGGATGACCTACAGACAGGAATCCACCTCCACAAGGCGGCCACGAAAGGATGAGATGGTGGGGCGCTCTGGCGGTACTTTACGGTACTGGTGTTGATACTAGAATTAAATGGTGGAGGCTTCTTGAAGGTTTACAATTAGTAACCTGAAGAAGGTCCAACGACTCAATTCCAAATTCCGCATGTTACGGATATATTCCAACATGTTTGCTCCAATGTTACAAGAATTACCAGATATCAGAAAATGACAGTGTAAGCCAAGGCAAAGAGAAGATAACGCAGGCGCATGATTGGCTGGGCACACTTTTTAAGTTTTTACCATCATTGTTCAACGCAATATTGGTACGATGTATAAACACTACACGTACCCCCAGGACAAATAGAAGGTACCAATAATAATATTAGTTTATCATTTATACCCTGCTAACTTCACAAGCTGCTTCACCTTCACTTTGCTTCAGGTTATGTGGCCATGTTCTGAAGATGGACCATGGCCGAAATAGTGCAATTTTTTCTTTTGCGGGGAGGGGGGGGGGGGGTTGTTGAGTCATGCAGAGTTTGGAAGAGAGTTGCTTGCTCGTAACCGACTGTCCAGCTGCTAAATAATCTTCTGAGTGGGGGCAAGCAAGAGGGGAACAAGAGAAAATCCTAATTTATCACACTTGTGCATTCATAAGAGGGGGGGGGGGGGGCTAGCAGTCATCCCTTCTCCCAAAGCAGAGCTTGCTGACACCAATCCATTTAGCATTTTGGCAGGAGAGAAAGAAAGAGAGAGAGAGAGAAAGAGAGAGAGAGAGAGAGAGAGAGAGAGAGAGAGTCTCAGAGAGGAGAGAGAGTAGAACTTACACGTTACGTAACGCTCTAGTTATGCATTCTTGACAGAAGCGGTGTAAACACTGCAATCAGAAAACAGAGAAACAGATAAGATACAGAAAACATAACACCGGATAGAGAATGAACAAACTACATGGAAGCAGTGGGAATCCATAGAGTTAAACTTGCGCCTGAGTGCTGCAGAGCACAACCAACTTAGCTATGCAGACAACGCTGTCAGGTATGTGCTTGCGGCATGGTATGGGCGCAACGCCACACCTCCACACTTCCGCACATGCCACACGCACGCACACACAACACAGCAATGTAGTGTGTTGTAGGAGCATTCACCACAGCAACATGTAGCATAACGTACTCAACACCATGCACAACGTACCTCTTTCGTGGTCATGGTATTCTTTAGCATGTCCAAGCAGATAGGACACATCAGCTCATTGTGTAGGGTGCGCTGCGATACTGTGATCTCTGTGCCATCTGTGATGGCCTCCTGAGGTGTCCGGTGAAGTTCATACTGACTCAGATCTACAGGAAGAAAGGAAGAAAGAAAGAGAGAGAGAGAGAGAGAGAGAGAGAGAGAGAGAGAGAGAGAGAGAGAGAGAGAGAGAATATGGGAGATAAACAGAGCCAGTGGAAGAAGACGCACAAAGCACATGTTGTCAACATACTAGCACTATTGCCTGTACTGGACATTACTATAAGTAAGAGCAAATTCGCTTCGGTCTCCTTCATTTTCTTATGAGCCCACTTTCTAGGAAGATCGTTCGTGTGGGCTCATACGAAATCAGTTGCCCATTCTGACCTCTTCCTGGGAGGTACAGAAGAGACTCACCCTAAGCCATGGATTTATGCTATGAATAATATTAGTGTACTGAAACTATTGTCCACTAACTATTGTCTCCGCGTCGTTTATACATGGGATTTATGCGCAAACAAATGAAGAAGCACCGAAACTCTTTTTTTGTTTCCAAAATACAGACACAATCACTGCGGCTCACTACACTAATGAGTGCGTAATAAGTTACATATGGCCAAATGCAAAGAAGAGGAATTCACCCTACGAATATCAGAGTGCCCTCTGAGAAGTTTCACCTTCTTTGGTAAATGTTTTAAAAAAAGTCATACTTCCCAACGATATGGGAACGCCATGAAAACTTACTTGTGGAATAGATAAGACTGCGCAAAAACTTTCAAGATGTTCGTAATGAGCCTGAAGTCACGTGTGTCCTTTTTGAGTATTATCGCATTTTTGTCTCAGAGGAAACTGTTTACTGCGTAGCCTGGTTGTAATAAATGCACAAGGATAGCTAGGAAAGCAAGGCCACCGAGACAAGTAAAGAATACAAGCACAGTGTGTCTGATTGTTCACCCTGAGAATAGACCAAGTTCAAATATTTGGAGAATGGGAGAACAGAATTTTCGCCGCGAAGAGAACATTCACATTTCAGCACGAATGTAGTGGAAGTGAGTGGAATTTCATAATCGTGGCAAGCGTAAGTCGATGATACATTCATCCCTAACTCAATGCCAGCATAATAGTATACAGAGCATACACATTGTGGTTCGAATACGACATTTCATTGTCAATGCATTGTCGTCGTGGCAAGCGTAAATCGATGATACATTCTAACTCAATGGCCAGCATAATAGTATACAGAGCATACACATTGTGGTTCGAATACCACATTTCATTGTCAATGCATAGTCGTACCGCTGCGTCAATTTCACATTTACAGTGAGTGCTTCGGAGAATCAACAGCAAAAACAATTCCACTCGCACAGTTTCAACTATCTTCAAAACGTTATTCTCTACAGTACGTGAAGACAACAAATTAAATCACGATTTGGTCGGCAGAAAGAGCCACTGGAGGAGAAAGAGAACCAGGTTTTCAAGAGAAAGATAGAACAAGCAGAGAGATAAACACTAAAAACTCTTACCCCAAGGTTGGCTCTGCATTTCGGTAGAATTTCGCCTTGAATAGAAGGTGCGCCGACCAGAAAAGTACGATAGAAATAAGACAGACAGCCGTTCTTCCTCAAGCCGAGAAAAGCGAGCGAAGCCAACTCAGTCACCGTGAAGAATGGAAAACACAAAGAACTCATGCACACTCAACTACTCAGGAGAAATAAACACACAACAGGAGACCAGACAGTGCAAGTGACGCTAAAAAGCCGTTATGTGTGTATACGGGATGTTACCCCAGCTACATGCCACATGGTTGTCCTCACCTGAGCATGAGACTCATGTCATGGGTCATGAGAGTCTACGTAGATCTACGAGAGCTCGTACTCTCGATCTTCGTAGACTCTCCGCGCGGCGCAGAATCGCGGGCGCTAGAAAAAAATAGTTCGTGAAAAAAAAGAGTCCTCGCACGTAGACGTGCACGGCACTGCATGCTCTAGCTCTGCGCATAATGCATTACCCATATAAAAACCGCTCTGTGAGCGGTTCTGCTGAAAAACCTCTATTACCTACTACTACTGGTGCAGCCCCGTCGTAAAAGTAAGAAATTAGAACTGGCGCATTGTCCTCCCAAATGTGAACTGATCCACCTAAATCGCGATTGACGGGACCCGAACGCACCAGTAGCACGAGGTTCCTACCTGTGGTGGATGCAGCTGGGGACGCTGGTCCATAGCCAAAGCCAAAGCGGCAAAGGTGGGCTTCGGTGTAGATCAGGGAGTCGTACGACTCCCTGGTGCATGGTGTAGATCTAAGTGTTGTATGGTAACTTGATCAGCGCCGACGCCGGCTGTGATCCTGTGCCCTCCCGACCTCGTGCTACTGGTGCGTTCGGGTCCCGTCAATCGCGATTTAGGTGGATCAGTTCACATTTGGGAGGACAATGCGCCAGTTCTAATTTCTTACTTTTACGACGGGGCTGCACCAGTAGAGGTTTTTCAGAACCGCTCACAGAGCGGTTTTTATATGGGTAATTTCAGTTCTTTTTCTGTTCCCTCCCCCACCCTAGCCCAGCTCCGAAGATAAACATGGTGAGCACGCGCGCAATGCACTGTATGTAGCCATGCAACTACAGTAGCACACTGATACATTCCAGCCCTCCCCACCTCGCTACCCCGCACACAGACACCTTGTGACAAACACGCACATGCACTTGGCACACACACACATGGGCACGCACACACATACATACACACACACGACCCAAACAGGAAATTCTTGATGAACATTGTATAATGCCATGCAAAGCAGTGGCCACCATACTTCAGGAAGTCAGTTGTGAAACAAAAATAATTCAACTACATGTACAATGTGTAGGTAAGCTAGCGGTCAAAGCACAATATTGCAAACCGTGATGATATTTGCCTAAGGATTGCAGTTTGCAGACCACACCATGGAAGCAGTGAATACAGAATTATTGTAATGTCATACAAAGACAAGCAAAGAAGTGGCCACCATACACCAGAAACTTGCAGAAAGTCACATATCCAACAGATAGAGAAGTGAACAGCGTCTGGTACAGCCCACACAAAACCAAGCTGACCTGATACTCGTCCGAAGATCGTAAGTGGCAGATCCTTTTCAACGATAGCATGCAGGTGTACGTTACACGCATGGACAAAATCTGACCGTGTCACCGGCATACATTGTCATCACATGCATACCCCACAGGTTACACACGTGCACAGTAGAAGCACAATAAAAGCAATGGAAAAATATGAAGGGGTTGCTGAAGCATCTTCACACTTTAATTTCAGACTTCGATGTGGTCGTCACGGGGTGATATACCTGCAAGATACAAGTGATACAGAAAGAAAGCATAAGGTCGTGAGGTAGGCTATGAGACACCACAAATGGGTCACCTACATGTATGTTCAGGGCTGGTGTACACACACACGCAGAATTATCATAATCGAGAATTTCCCAAACTACAGAAGAGCAATGAAATCCATTTGCATGCACAGGAGCAATTTTGCAGTATGATGAGCAGCTCGGGAATACACCTGTTGGCAATGGATTACATTCCCATTGGAATTCCCATTCACGTGGGATTCACAGAAGCAATTTGGCAGTGTGCTGCGCAATGCGACACGACCTGCGATTCTGCGTGCGATGCAAACTCGCACAAAATACCATTCACAGAATCAGGACAAGACGTCAGCGATGCAACAGCGCCTTGCTGACGTGCCTCAAGTCAAAGCTCAATGAGAATGCGTTTGTCGGTTACAACTGGTACAAATGTACAAGCAATTTCTGAAAATGCTCCTGTGAATCCTGCTTTAAGAAGTGCAGGAATGTCCCTCCTCCGCTCCCCCCCCCCCCCCCTCCACACCTTCAGGGAACTTGACAAGGAAGGGTGGTCTTCGCGGTTCCCAACATCTATTTGCAGTTTCTGGTCTCCACTGTGTCTTTTCAATGGGGATTTGTACGTACCATAAAAGCAAGCCTAAAAAATGAACAGCACATTTGCCGTTCCCCCACTGGGGAGAATGCGTTCCACAGCTATCCTGACAAGATATTCCGAGAAGCGGTGCTGAGTGCAATGCATTGTGAAACTGAAAAAGCTGACCAAGCCGCGGCATATAACGTCTAAACTTCAATTGTAGTTCGCCAGCTGACTACTTTCAAACTCCATGAAGGTTGGAGTACAGCTGGCTTAGAAGTTGACAACAACGGCGCACGCACATAAGCAATGGCCACCTTACCTGTACTGTAGCAGTACTTCCGAGTTCCCGTATGGGAGTTCCCTCACTGTGTGTGCAATAGCAGCCTCATCGGACCAGTTCAATGCGACGCGGACAGTCCGACACTGAGGAGGACATTGAAGAAGTCAGAGACAGGAAGAATGGTTGATTTACAATTCAACTAGCAAGGCTGCACACCCACGAAGTTCCACTCACCATTGTGCCGTCCTTCTTGGAATGCAGAAATAACGCTTCCTCTCGAGAACGCAGCCTGTGACAGAGAAAAAGGAAGGAGCATCGCCATCGGCATTGGTCCTCTGCTATCACCGATTGCCGAGTTGCACAGTTCACTCTAACAACACTGAGGATGTTCAAGAACTCCCCATCCATACCATTATTGGAGTAAGAGGAAAGGTCAGATTGCCTAGTTCCTAGGGCCTAGCATTCCTGGATGCCAGGATGTGCTGCCCCCCCCCCCCCCCTCCCTTCTACTGTCTGGAAAGGGCAACATATGTGACAGCGTTCACCAGTACAGTCGGAGGAGAACATGGGAGAAGGCAAAAAAGGGCAACACACATGAATCCCTTATAAACAAGCAGTGGCAACTCTAGCACCAGCAATGTTGGACTTACATCCCAGCCATTGCCGCCGGATTCAGCGGCTTCTTCTTCTTCGTCTCCCATCTTGGAAGCACTCCTTCCCGTAAGTTCAGTCCTGGGATCGGGAGTACAGTCGGAGGAGGACGTCGGAAAAGGCAAAAAGGCAACACACATGATTCCCTTATAAGCAAGCAGTGGCAACTCTGGCACCAGCAATGTTGGACTTACATCCCAGCCATTGCCGCCGGATTCCCACGCTTCCTCTTCGTCGTCTTCCAGTTCCCAGGTTCCATCTTGCAAATACTCCTTCCCGTAAGTAAGTGCAGTCCTGGCCTGGGTGGATGCGCAGTACATTGACGATGGCGGAGATGGAGCAGGTCAGGGAGCCCTATAGGGGTCCCGAGAGCAGATTGTGGCCAAATTCAGGACGATGCCGGACGCCAGTCAGTATGAAGTAGCGAATTGCGGACCGCCACGTAGATTGGGGTCGCGGGGTCATAATCCATGGGCACTACTCGTACGTTGCTCCAAAAAAGGGCACTGCACTGTTCCACAGTTGCTGTTAGCGGTCACCAAAGGCACTTGGTAGGCCGGTAATTGGGTCACGTGTCAACAAAGTGTCAGCAAAGTGTCAACAACGTGTCGACCACGTGTCTTTAGCGGTACACTAATTTTGGTGTCCCCAAACTGAAAACATCGAGCACCAGTATGGAAAGGCTTTAGACAGAAAGCCTTTCCAATATGGAAAGGCTTTAGACAGAAAGCCTTTCCAATAAGGATAGGCCGAGGCGCGAGTCCCACGCGAGGGCCGGGTGCAGAGCAGCACGGGCTGTCAACAGGCTGGTCAAGTGTCCTAAACACTAACACTAACAACAAGAGTCCATAACCCCATGCCATGGACTCTTGGTAACAATACATGTTAATGGGGGTTTTGCTGAGTGTCGCCATCAAACTTTGTTTTTCTCCCCTGACATAGTCATGGATGCACAAAAACTAGCCGAAACAACGAGATGGCGAGAGCCTAGGGTAATATCAAGAGTATAAAACCCTCGGGGTTATGTACTCTTGGCAAGTGACTTGTTGAACATTTTACATCGCGGCGCACGCACGTGCACCCCCCCCCCCCCCCATGCACACAGGTCAGTCACCATGGTCACTGAGTGTCATCAAAATCGCTCAACGCCTCTGAAAGTACGTTGCTCTGGTCCGTCTGGATTTCACTGGTGCCAGATAGCCGTCCCTCAGGTTCCGCGTCTGCTCGAGTAATAAGCCCCCCCCCCCCCCCAGTTAGCATACATGTAATACAATCATGCAGCGAACATGGGTTCTTGTATTGACGGTTCTACGTGACACCGGCATGGGGTGCAGCACAGTGTCATTGTGACAACACCGAGCGTGCATGTCATGCACGGCCTATTTCCCTATTTCCCTAGCGGCCGTGATGATTATCGACACAGCGCCGCAGAGGGCCCAGGCCAATCTAGCCACAGCGAGCCGCTGACTCGGATGATTCTATTCTGGGAATCACCCTGACCGTGCCCGACTAAGCTCAGGAATACGTATCATGGCCATAAAAAAATCAAGCTGGCGTGTTGAGGTCTTAATT